CTTTAGCCCTTACAACCAACCTAGTGTACAATGATGTACAGTGTACAATGATGCACAGTTTACAATTATGTACAGTGTACAAGGATGTACTGTGTACAATGATATACAGTGTACAATGATGTACAGTGTACAATGATGTACAGTGTACAATGATGTACAGTGTACAATGATGTACAGTGTACAATGAAGTACAGTGTACTATGATGTGCAGTGTACAATGATCTGCAGTGTACAGGATGTACAGTGTACAATGATGTACAGTGTACAATGATGTGCAGTGTACAATGATGTGCAGTGTACAATGATGTACAGCCCAGGAAACATTTTTACCGACTTTATGTGCCGATGGCGAAGATGTCGGGTAAATAATTCTGGACTTTATATGTCCGCCATCGGTTTGTTGGAGACTAAATGTTTGCAGGAGTGTACGATGATGTACAGTGTACAGTGATGTCCAATCAGTGTACAACGATTTAAAGTGTCCAATGTGTAAAATGATGTACAGTGTTCAAGGATGTACAGTGTACAAGTATGTACAGTGTACAAGGATGTACAGTGTACAAGGATGTACATTGTGCAATGTACAAACTTAACAGCAGTGATATCACCAAAAAGTGTATAATATTTATATAGAGTGAAATAAAGTAGAAAAAAATGTATAACCGCCATTTTGTTGTACCAGCTTACCTTAATTAGTACAATTGAACTTATTTTAGAACAATGAACAAAAAAATGTTAAATCGAACTAAAATTTAAAATTTCACCATGTTGTCCATAAATTATAATTATTTAAAAAAAGAAAACATTAGTCCGTTTGAACACAGTTTTTGTTGGAAATGTTCACTAATGTTCACTAATGTTCAATTGCACTATAATATTTACAAAAAAAACGAAACGAACATTTTTTTTTGTAAATGTTCATTTGCACTAATTAGTTCGTTTGAACAAATGTTTTAAGTATTCCAGATCAATTGCACTAATAATCATTTGTACTAAATATTCCTGGCGAAAAAATAAAATATTCCTAGAGGGAAAATAAAATTTTATTTCAATTGAATACAGTAAAACTCAATTTGTGTTCATTTGCACTAATGTTTAATCGTAATACAAACCTGTTTCTGATCAGATGACTTTAGTGTAAACGTACGTTAGTTTAATCGGACATTAGTGCAAACGATAAGTAGACTTACATTTGTAAAACCCTGATATCCAGATCCTGGACGATTTAGAAGATAAATTAAATGACGCATATTTATAATTAACCCTAAATGACGCGTGAACATCTCTACGTGTATAGGGTATGCAGTACAAGGATCTACGTTAGTATCAAATCAGAAGACACTTGTTAAAAATCATCTCTGTTTGTTTGTTTGTATGTCCGATCATGACTCAGAAACCCCTTAGCTTGGTTAAAAATATTAAGTTGAGAAAGTGGAATTTTGTGGAGAGAAAAAAAATAGTTTCCAGGCGAAGCTGGGTCCTGTGTTAGTAAGATATGATTTTTGTTTATTTGTCCGATCAAAACTTAAGAATCCCATGACCGATTTACCTCAAATATTATTTGACTCGATAGAAAAAGGGGAATGTTCCTAGTTTAGATCTCCAGGCAATGTTGTTTTCTTCAAAAATAAAGGTAAATTAAGTTAAAGTTGATAGGAAACATTTTTTCTCAAGTAAATTGAATATTTTCTAATCCCTATATATTTGCAACTTGATGGTGTATACAACGTATTTCAAACTTAGATTATTTGATCCAACAGAATTCCTACTTTTACAAATTGACGATCAATGACATTAGGTTGTAAGGATTTAGGAATTACAAAATCAGATTTTGTGGCAAAGACTCGAATTCTTTTCTTCGTGTGATAAAACTGCAGCGGTTGGTCACGTGTGCTGTATTGTGCGTGTGCGAACTCCTTGGTGCGTGTTACTGAGTTTATGTGGGGAGTAAAATATTTAAGGGGGGGGGGTGCAGGGGTGGATTGAGGATGAAAGGGGGGGAAGTGGGGAAGAGAGGAGTTGGAAGTCTTAGTCTACATAGGTGTTCATTGAAAAAGTTAAATAAAATATTTATTTACATTTGTTAACGAAAAAAACTTTTTTGCTTCGAAAAAAATAATTTAGCGAAATATGTTTAACAAATTATCATGGTAACATATAATCTAAAGTTTCAGTAGAACTAAATATTTCCATTTATTGATAGCGCCGATTGAAGGATTCATAACTCTGATTGGATAATGATATAGATAGAAAGATAGATGTTACCGCCATACTATTTCTATTGGTTCAGAATAAACAACAAACATATGACTGAATCCTGATTGGATCAGGCGCTAATTTACTCGGTATACAGGAGTGATCTTGCAATAATTTTTTTCCAATCATAAGTTTTAGACTCTGTTGCTTAATGTTTTTATGAAATTGTATACTTTTATATGTACTACATTTATTTTGCCTTTCTCAATGTACATTTGCTTAGCTAAGCCAAAATGATCAGACCAATTTTGTATAACATGGCCTAAATAATCATTAAAATACGGTCAAAAGTAAAATAATAAAAAATTTGTTCTAAAAAAAGAAATATAGAAGAAACGTCAGCGAAAGGAACTGAGTTATTGCCACAAACTCAAATTTTCTAATACCTTCATTATTGCAATCTGATGGTGTAAATCTTTCTTATTACCAACTGAGTCTATTCTTGATCTAAAAAATTCTTAGTTTGCAATTTGAAAGGTCTATGACCTCGGGTTGCAATTTGAAAGGTCTATGACCTCGGGTTGCAATGAAATTTGGATGAAAAAATAAGAGTTTGTTTCAAGAACTCATTTTTTTTATTGTGATTGTAAAAAGAAAATAATGCCCGCGGTTGAAGGAACAAATTCAAATCCAAATTATAAAGATGGTACGAAGCTTCCTGAATACCTAGCATGTATTTATAATATTAATGTGCAGTATCCACGAATATGGAAATCAGAATATAAAATTGATCCCAACGGCAACCCAGCGGTTTATACAGTTTAGATATTCATCAAATATTCTTACCTTACTCTCTTACGCTAGAAATATTATGATTATTGGGAATTCAGAGTTCTTCGTGCCCCTTTAAAGGAGGCAAACTTAATCAACAGAAAAAAAATACTTTTGATAGTCATTTTCGTGATCTGTATACTCTTCCCATTGACATTTCAACATTTAAAAAAAGAGCTCAAAAATAGATTTATATAGATACAATGATACCCTGTACGTGATACAGTATATCGCTTACAATGATACACTGCACAATGATGCCCTGTACACAGTGTACACTGTACAATTATACCCTGTACAGTGTACAATGAACAATTGAGAAATATTAAAATGTGAGAAGTTTAAGACGATTTCTGAATCTAAGTATACATGATTGAGGGGAACTACAGGGGGTCAGGTTAAAAAATGACAAGGCTTTTATTTCAAATATATGTTAAGATATTCAACAAAATCATCCTAAAGTATCCAGAATATTTCAATCTGTGGTTAAAATATTCATTTATTATGCTCACCCTGCACAAAGTGTGATAAGCGCTCAATGGACCATCAGAATTCATTACTTCTCGCAGACTCCAGAGAATACATAACTATCTGGGGACCAGGGGAATAATTGGACAACATCTATAAAATGTAAATATAAATATTTTATATTATTTAGATTTAAAGTTATATAATGGGGTCTCTAATAAAAAGATGGGGGTCTCCAACGAGAATCTGGGGGTCTCTAATAAAAAGATGGGGGTCTCCAACGAGAATCTGGGAGTCTACAATGATGATGCTTTATTCCCTGACTCCTAAATGATCTAAATCGCGGCCTGACAATTTGTTTCTGTCCAATCTTTCATTCACGATCTTTATGAACAAACTTAAAGAAAAAAATTCAAGTCTTCCAAATTTCTTTGTACAAAGTTAAAATTCGAAATTGATCTTGTGTTAAAGAAAATGATTTTTGAATATAAATTATCAATCTTTAAAACTTTTTACCTCTTTTTTTAGTGATTTGCCTCTTCCAATTGTGTAATAGAAAACACGCAATTTATGTATTAACGACTCACTCTATAAAAAGTTTAATTTTAATTAGCCTGATGTTATTTTAACACTGTATATTGTATATTGCTTTAGTTTACATATAAAACATATGGATCTAATATTTGGGATTCAAGTTTTTCATTTTAAGAAAATGACACACCACGTCAAACTAACTACTGTTGTATCCACAAATTTTGAAATTTTTATCTCCAATTCAAAGTCTGTTGGAAAAAGTTTAATAGATTTCTAAAAAAATATTTATATAAAGTGATAAACAGAAAACTCTGGAATAGGAAGTCAACTTTTAGACTCAGGTTATGACTTAAAATTTTCCAAAGAACGTGAGGCACAGTAATTGTGCAGTGTAAACAGACCCATTTTACTTAATATGTGATTACTAGTAAAGCTATTTGCTTTGCAGCAACATCAAATGCACTTCAGTATTGCTTTAATATCGTCATCCTATTCTTCAGTATTCTGGTTATCACTGTAGTAAAACAAAAACATCATCTAACGCAAGAATGTAATGAAAGGAAAGTTATTTCAGAAGTGTACACATCTTTTGTACTGCAGTGTACTCTCTCTGGGCGGTAATGTAAACATAAGACAGATGTCAAAGTCTGATAGGATCCATCTTTCACATAAAAAAATCAATAAAATATTCTGGTCACAGGAAACTATTACGTAAATTATCAAAATTTAATGCTTTTAACCTCCCCGGATACTAAACGAACACTGATGCATCTATTCTTGTTTACAAATTCCGCCCAGAGAGAACTGGTTTCAATATGTACGCAGAGTATACGCGACAGTAATTAACTGTCCTTGCATTATACCCTTGATCTAACGGGTAAAAATGGATTCCAATGTTAAGCCTCACCGACTGTTTAACAGGACCTCTATCTTGCCGTGATGCACATTAATATAACTTTAAAATATCTCTCTTGTTCAGGTTTTGATGCCCTTCTTTAGAATCATTAAAATTTTGTATTGATGTTAAAATAACAGAAAGGAATGGAAACTCTTCCACAAAACTATATATTTCGAATCCTGATTCTGAATGCCTGAAAACGTTCATATTTGCACGAGACCTTATTTTAACATTTATTTAGAATATTACAAAAAGCATTAAATACCTACACAATTCATGATAAAACAATTATACATAAAATATCGAGACAGAACCTACTTTGAAGCGTCGCCAGGTAGTTCTTGATCCAAGAAAAAAATGTGAGTCCATAAATGTAATCTACACGTCCCGCCCTATATTATGAGCCCCCTCCACCCCAACCATACGGTATAATGACCACACCCACCTGTCAATTAGGATTAATACGGTCAATAACTACGCCTAACTCTTGCGGTCACCCGAACTGTTGAACGTTTGGTTGTGTAAACCTAGATTCAGTTGTTCACAACTATTGGATCCATAAAGAGAGAAGATTGTGGAGAAGTCTGATCATCATGTTTTGCAAAATCCTAGTTCTCATCCTCGGAGCTCAAAACGCTCTTGGAGCTGTTTCGGTAAATATTTTATATTTCGTATAAAGCTATCTGAAATGTAATTAATTTACAATAATTCTTCATTTTTTTACGTAAGCAATGATTAGTATTAAATACCTAATATATTATTTTTAAAATTGGAATGGATAATGATAATTTTACTCTGGCCTTGCTATCAAAGCGCTTCGCGCCCATTTTTCATTTCAACTCTAAATTGTTGCTTAATCTTTCGGCATTTTCTTTTCGATAAAACAATAATAACAAATTTTACGGAATAAAATATTTTTTCGTGGATTTTAGATATTTTAGGAAAATAATTTTTTTTGAGCACAGACACTGATTTTAGCTGTTGCTAGCAGAATCTTAGCAATCTTAAAAAAAGGGCTCACTGCAGGAGACAATTTTAAAGCCTAATATAACTATGTAGTCATCCTATTTTTAAATTTTTTTAACATTAATGCAATTAGTGTCGAATTCTTTGAAGGCTATTCGAATTCTATTTTTAAATATAGAATTCTATTTTAATCTTTTAAGGATGTATCCAGGCTCCAAGAAGCCCAGTTAGTAGCTAGTGACGCTAACCGGCTAGATTTACAGAAACAGATGCTTAACTACATTGCAGGGTATAATGTATTTAATACACAGGTAATTAAACTACATTGCTGGGTATAATGTATTCAATAGGTAATTATACTACATAGCGGGGTATAATGTATTTCATACACAGGTAATTAAACTACATGGCGGGGTATAATGTATTTCATACACAGGTAATTAAACTACATGGCGGGGTATAATGTATTTAATACACAGGTAATTAAACTACATTGCGGAGTATAATGTATTTAATACACAGATAATTAAACTACATGGCGGGGTATAATGTATTTCATACACAGGTAATTAAACTACATGGCGGGGTATACTGTATTTCATACACAGGTAAATGAACTAAATGGCGGGATATAATGCATTTAATAGGTAATTAAACTAAATGGCGGGGTATAATGTATTTAATACAAAAAAAGGTAATTTAACTATATGGCAAGGCGGGCGAGGCATTGTGTGAAAAATTGGAATACTGTAATACTATTCAAATACTTTTTTACATTTTTGTATTTATCATTTACGGAAACATTGAAAAAAATAAATAAAGTATAATTGTTATCCAGATTGTTGTCCCAATAAACATAGGAATTCAGTGACGATTTTGATATGTCTTTGTAAATGATCTTTTGATTTGGTGATGCCTATTAAGAAAGCCGTAATCTGTCTGCTAGAGTTAATAACTTATTTCTTTTTTTTATGTTTTTATTGCATACTTCCGATATCAGAAATTCTTGTATACAAACACAGTACAGTTGTTCCTTTTCAGTGTTTATCTTGCAAAAATGTTAAAGAGCATAACAGTCTTTTACAGTTTGCATGAAATATACTCTAGCAGACGTTGCTTTATTCAAACCATTGGAATTATGTAACAAAACACTAATTCTTTACAAAGACGATTTCGAAATCGTCTCTCAATTCCCATGTTTATTGGGACACCCTGTATGAGAACTAATTCTAACATTTTGTTTCAATTTATTAATATTTAGAGAAGTATCGTGAAGACCCACGTTTCCTTCAGTGTGAAGGAAGAGGCCGTTGAGGACTTCCTGGTTGCAGCCAAAGAGCTTGTCAGCAAGATTAAGGTAACCAAGGATTATACAGATAGGACAAGTCATTGAACGGGTTATCTTCATTCTCCAATAATATAATGTCCCATCTAGTCCTATCAGCTCAAAATACAGATTTTTAACATTATAGTTTACAGAAATCGAATCTTTGTAAAGATAATACCAATTGATGTAAATGCTGAAAGGATCAATGACTTTACTATTCTTTCTTGTATATCCCAGGGATACTTCACTACGCTTTCTTCTTGTATATCCCAGGGATACTTCAGTGCGAATCTTTATTGATCTGAAGGCATAAAAAAGGCTTAAAAAATTATGATTTTTTTCTATGGCAGTAGATATCAAGAATTATTCATAATATTAAATTTCTGTTCATAAACACTATATTTCTGTTCATAAATATTGAATTTCTGTTCATAAATATTGAATTTCTGTTCATAATATTAAATTTCTGTTCATAAACATTAAATTTCTGTTCATAAATATTGAATTTCTGTTCATAAATATTGAAATTCTGTTTATAAATATTGAATTTCTGCTCATAAATAATGAATTTCTGTTCATAAATACTGAATTTCTATTTAGAAATATTGTTTTTGTTTAGAAAGCTATCGGGAATATTTCCTGCAACTTGTACAGAGAGCTCAACGGAAATAACTTCGCTATTATAGAAGATTGGGAGAGTGAGGCAGATGCTGACAGGTGGAAACTTTTTTCTATTAAAAAAAGTGTTTGATCATTACAATTGATCATGCACGCCCTTGAAATTCTAATAAAGGACTACTACAAAAAACATTTTTTAGAAATTATGAAAAGGCTTATCAACAATGGTCGGCGTTTATATAAATACAATAAAGACGAAATTTCTATTTTAGTTTTATTTCTAACAAGTTTTTTCAAATTACAATTTTACAAGTAAATAAAGAGAAGCTGTTAATTGACAGCTTCTCTAGGTTACCATGTTTATGTGTATCCATGCTGCTTAAAAGCTTGGTAGAAGTGAACAAATTTAAATCTAAAGTCGTCTTCATTGTATTGATACATCGACCGTAACAAAATTGTATTCCCCTAACATTAAAAAAAATTTGTATAACAAAGCATTTTTTTACAAAAATGTATAACAATTAACATCTAAAGTTTTTACCATACTGAGAGAAATCATTTCATTTAATATTATAATTTTAAACCTTAATCTATCTAATCTACCTAATCTATCTAATCTACCTAATCTATCTAATCTACCTAATCTATCTAATATCTATTTTCAGGGACCGACTTGCCCCCTACGTTTTGGAATTCCTGGACGATTTCAAAGACGACATTTTGTTTAGCTACAAGAAATTCTCTCTGGTTGATTAATGATTGATGATGAAGAAAACAACGAAACCAAATATTTGCAAATGTTTAATAAAATTTTCAAGTTAAAACAACAAAATTATATAATATAAATATTGTATTTTTTCTGTAAATTTTAATAACCGCTAAAATGTTTTTTCTTCATTCCTTCAGCGCCTGGGTATCTAAACAAAAGATAAATAAATTTTCTACAAAAACCTAAAAAATACATTTATATTTACCTAAAGAGTTTCGGTTTAGGAGGAACTGGGGGTGGAGGTGGAGGCGGAGGACCCCCTCCGACAGGTGGAGGCAAAGGGCCCCCTCCTATAGGTGGAGGCAGCCCGAATACCGTTTCTAAACAAGAGTTTAATACATTATAACTTTTTATTACATTTTTCTCTTTAAAAAGCATTATTACTAAAAGAAGTATTTGAAAATTAAAAATATTTGATGACCAGGCAAATTTATTCTTTTAATTAAAAGTTTAAATTGTAAAAGATTGCTTTCTCAATTAAATATTTTGATTTCACATTAGCCTTTTCCAACCTCAATTCAATTCATTTCGGATAGATTTGGTTTCATAAAGACCAAACCTTTTCTCAAACTATTTAGAACTTTTTGAAAATTATGGACAGAAGCTTTCTTAACGGGACTAACAGTCGACTGTTAGCATAATTTCAAGTGACCCTCCATGCACAGATGGTGAGATGCCCGATTTACAAAAATAAACTTGAAAACGTTGTCTGATCAAGTATGAATTAGATCTCCATGGTTTAGCTTTTACAAACTGCTTATTTTCATTTGTGGTTTCTCTGCGCGTTTTTCACCTTTCAGAAACAATGGAGAAATTCACAGAAATAAGCACTTTTCCGATCAGATAAAAGGTTTCAAGGGGTACCGTTGTAAATCGGGTATAATTGCTATCTTTGCATGGAGGGAAACTTAAAATTACGCTTACAGTCCCTTTAACTGGAAAAGTTTACGGGACGATTATCCCGTATGTAATTGATCCGGAATAATCTTCCGGTAAACTTTTTTCAGCAGGTCACATCCTAGCTCTGTGTAGCATCTGGAGGTAATGTACAGGATTATCCACAAAGGATAATACTTCAGGGACGATTTTACGGAACTTGATCAATCCTTTTATTTGCATTCAGGGTTCCTTGTAGGAAAAAACTGGCTTATATCTGTGCTTAACCATATAGTAAACCATCAAAATACTCAGTGGAATGCAGAAACCAAAACTCAATCTTCTAATCGTCACATTTTTAAAGTTTAGGGTCGTTTGTTCAATCTCATCCTTAGTGGGTAACCATGTATTATTAATTTAGTTAATTTACAATTCTTAACAGCTTCAGAAAGGGTTCTGTAGGGCCTTTACGGATTAAAATATATCCAAAAGAAATTGGAAACTATACTCAATTCTCATACCCTGAAGCAGATTTTGTTCTCCTGAAAGCATTTATTTTAAGAAAAATATATTTTACCCTGATTGTTATTTTCTTCCAAACTATCTGCTTCTAAATCTCGAGCAAACTATAAAAAACAAAAAAATATAAAATAAAAATATTTCTATTGAAAAATATTTTTTTACTTGGAAAACATCTGCGTCCAGCTTTCTTCTCCAAAATCTTCCCTTCGGAGTCTTTTCGTGTATTTGTACTGTACGGCATACATTTAGAAGGTTATTGTACATTTCAACCTAAACAAATGACATTTAGAAGGTTATTGTACATTTCAACCTTAACAGAGGAACATTTAGCAGGTTCTTGTACCTAAATAGATTACATTAAGAAGGTTTTTATACATTTCAACCTAAACAGATGACATTTAGAAGGTTTTTGTACATTTTAACCTAAAAAGATGAACATTTAGAAGGTTCTAGTACATTTCAACCTAAACAGATAACATTTAAAGTTTTTTGTACATTTTAACCCAAAAAGATAAACATTTAGTAGGTTCTTGTTCATTTCAACCTAAAAGGATGACATTTAGAAGGTTTTTGTAAATTTCAACCTAACAAGATGACATTTAGATGGATTTTGTACATTTCAACCAAACAGATAACTTTAAAAAGGTTTTTGTACATTTCAACCTAAAAAGATGACATTTAGAAGGTTTTTGTAAATTTCAACCTAAAAAGATGTCATTTAGAAGGTTTTTGTAAATTTCAACCTAAAAAATTACATTAAAAAGGTTTTTGTACATTTCAACCTAAAACAATGACATTTAGAAGGTTTTTACACATTTCAACCTAAGAAATTATGACATTTATATCGGTTTTGTACATTTCAACCTAAAAAATGAACATATGTTAAAAAATTATCACTTTTTAACTTAATATTTGTGTTCTTCACATTCTGAGTTAGATATTCTTAAACCAAATTGGGTTAACATAACTATAAGGGCATATTAAATGGCTATGAAGCAATTAAGATTATTATTTACAATTTTTAGGATCTAAAAATAAAAGTAAAAAAATTGTGTTTTGTCGCTTTTAATTCCCGAAAAAAAATTAAAGATCCATAATTGAACTCGTAGAGAAATATCTTTTGATATTTTTCTCTTTCTTCGAATAAAAAAATGTATGAGAAAAACTGTAAATTATATATAATTAGATACATAATCAATAATGATATACCTCATTTGTTTTATCTAGATCAAAATCGGAAGGACTGAAACATTTAAACAACAATATATCCAGCAGGTTTTCTCCGATATCTAGAAAAATAAGGTTAAAAATAAACAAAACAATTTACTGGAGAAACCGTGTTATATTACCTAAGTTTTGAATTTCATGAAGTTTATTATTAAGGCTTCGACGAATCGCTAATCTTGACTGAGAAAGCAGACTAAGTGGGGTATCTATAATAAATAATGCAATAAAAAAGCTGCTGGAAACAAACAATTTAAAGGGTCTGTAGGCGTTATATGAAGATACCCTCCTTTTATAGAGTGCCTTGTCCAATTAACAATGGTACAGAGGTGTCTTTCGCATTTCTGTTGCAGGAGAACGTTTTAGGAAATATCAGAATTAAATATTTTTTAAATTAGAACGACAAATTCCACATTGTTGACTATATAAATATTTGATGGGTACGGTGAATCGGTCAAATGACGCCTAAACTGACTCTTTAAGTAAAATATATTTGTTTCTGACTTCGGTAATTTCCTAGAGAGCGATTTTTGGAACCCCCCCCCCCTAATAAAATTTTGTACATGCATCTTAAATGTAAGACTTGTAGTCGCAGCGCTCGGCCCCCTAGCCTATCCTAGCCGCAACGATCGGCCCAGAAAGTGTCTTAACTTAACCTAACCCGTGGCCGCAGCGCTCGGCCCCCTAGCCTGTCCTATCCGCAGCGCTCGGCCCAGAAAGTGTCTTAACCTAACCTTACCCTAAATAAATACTAATTTAATTGAAAATTGTTGAAAAAGTGGTCATGTACAAAATTGATAGGAAGGGGGGGGGGCCGGGGGGGGCCAAAAATCGTTCTCTAGAACAGACCCAAGGATATTTCTTGGTGAATGGAAAAGCGCTTGGATGAATGTTATTCCACAGTTAATTGGTTATCACGGTACATCTAACCGCAGACTTCACAAATAAAAACTTTTAGTTGGCTTATTGTGTGAGGGAAGTTTAATCTTTAGGTCAGACAAATACCTCGAGAGAAAAATTATCATTAAATACAAAATGTACAGAAAAAATATATATATATGACAGTGAAATTTTTTAAAAATCAAATGTGGTGTACCTGCTCTTGTAAAAAAATATTATTTCTCCATAGTCCAGGTCTTGCACCAGTAGGGGGAGGTGGGGGAGGTGAGGGAGGGCTGGTTTGAGAACAGGATAAAGCTTTACTTAGTTTAGTCAGTGTTTCTACCACTGCAATACCACGGGAAGAGGGTTCAGAAGATTCAAACACAGTTTTGTCTTTTGAAACTGTTTGCATTTTACCTTCACAATTTTACCGTATTTAGGAGACCTTCCAGACAAATAATAAAAATATTTTTTTGGATCAGAAAATTAGGACACATTCAGCGAGCCACTATTTTTATACTGATGTAAAACCACCGAAATATAGGAATTTGAAGGTCGTATTTAATCTTTCGTTTAGCTAGAAATGCTGCTAATGATTTCGAAACTTGTGATTGTTTCACAAAAATCAAAGCTGTGGAATATAGGAAGACGACATTAAATCAATATTTTCATGCTTATGACATTGTTTAAAAGCAAACATTTTCGCTAGAAATCTACTAAACCAATTTTAAAAAATTAAATGGTTCAAACTGCATAGTTACGGTGTCTAAACAAATAGTAAAGACGACATTGGTTATACATATGTAGCAAAACCCAATATTTGTCTCGATATTCCTAGTTTACAAAAAAAGAAAGTAAACCTAGATGTAAGAATTTAATTTTCATTTGAGGAAATCTTGGATAGATAGATAGTACAAGTGCAGAACAGGTTACTGGCATACAACCACCTGTAGATCAGCATAATCTTGTTTATTTTTTATTCCGATTTATTTTTTAATTTTTTTAGAAAATTAATTTTTCAAAATAATTGATATAAATCTTAGACCCACAAAAAGTTACAAATAAAAACTTTTTTATGAAAAACGCTGTTGTATCCGAACATGCTTAATGCGTATCTATATATCTATTATCTATATATAAATTTGGGTTGTCTGATGTTTGTTTGTCTGTCTGTTTGTATCCAATAAACGTCAAAACGGCTGAACCGATCGGGCCCACACTTTTTGTGGGACATCACGTGACCACAGGAAAGGTTTATGAATGAAAGGTTTATGATGAAATTTTTTAAAGATGTGTTCTGAAGGTTTTTAATTTTGTAAAAAAAAAAAAAAATTCTTAAAAATCGGCGAATTTTTTTTAAAATCCGCAAAAATTTTTTCTTCTTTGTTTTTAAATGTAAACAAAAAGAACATGTTCACAATTTAAATAGAAGATGGGCGCGAAAAGTCTAGAAAGAAGGGCGCGAAAAAGAAGGGCGCGAAGCGCCTTGAATTTCTAGTATATATATACTTTGCTTGTCTGTTTGTTTGTATCCAATAAACGTCAAAACGACTGAACCAATCAGGCTCAAATTTTGTGCGGGACCTCACATAACCCCATGGTAAGTTTATAAATAATCAAAAGTACAATTATTCGATTTTGATTAAATTTTGAAAAGTCACGAAATTTTTTTTCATAAAACCTGCGAACTTTTTCTATTACTTTACAATGTAAAGTGTTCCCAATTGAAATAGAAGATGGGCGCGAAGCGCCATGAAAGCCAATACCTTAAATTAAAATCAGTAGAAATTCTTGAAACACAACATGAGAAGATTTTGGTAAAATAAAACAATTTTTAAGATGAAGAAAGTATGCTTAATATCCTTCTATCTCGAGCCTGAAATCCTTGAAAAGAAGATTGTTAATGTACTGTTGAGCCAAGGGCAGGGATTGGATGAGATGGAACCGGTTTCTCCCAAACTGTTGTCTTATACACAGTCGGGCGAGGGAAGCAAGGGATAAAGGTTGGTCTGAAAACAAAAATTGAAATTTTTTCATTGGCAAACTTCAATTTAGGGTAATGTTTACATCCAGGGTTTACATTTTCAGAGGGAGGGATATATTCGAAGATTTTTGGCGAGAAAATTAAAAATTAAACGTCACCATGGTCAGTTTTTTTTCTCACAATTTTTATCCAAAAATAATTTATTTTCTCCTTAAATCGTTTATTATTCCGCGATACATATCTTAAACGTACTTAGGCTCCACGTAAACATCCCTTACATGTTAGGAAAAATCATATTTTATTTTTAAGAGCGGGCGGTTTTTTTTGCATAAATCATGTTTTAGACTAAATAATATAAAAATGTAATCATCAAAATGTACAGAAATATTTTTTGGGACATTAAAAAAATAATCATCTAAACTTTTTTCGAAAAATTTTTCTTCAGAAATAAAAAAAAATGCAGAAAAAAAAGTAAAATAGTCTAAATTCTATAAGTATCTTTTAACAAATAAAAGAGATTAACAAAATCTACCATAAAAAATCTGCTGTTTGAACCAAAAGTTCCACTTGGCTATCTTTGTAAAATTTGGTAAAATTTTAAGCAGATTTATGCTGATATACATTTAATGTTTTGTAATACCTCTTTTAATTATCAAAAGATTTTTATGAAACTTCCGAAAATAATTGAATAGAAACTTTCTAATCAAGTTCGGAAGAAAAAAAATTTTCACAAAAAAAGTTTCGCAGATTTTATTTTCCAAATGTACCATTTTACATTTTGCATTTAGTTCACTTGGAAAAATATGTTTCCACCTAGATTATACAAAGAAAGGAATCATGGTTCAAGGGGTAAACTGTAAACAATGTTGAGTCTACATGGAGTTAGATATTCAAACCTTGCACTTTTCTCAGATATTCAAGAGCCGGAGCATTATCACATATTTCGGAGGCCGTCAATCCTTTCGCGTCCCTGAACATAATTCTTTCTTCGCCAATGTATCTTTAATTTCATCTCTCAAACTTTCTACACATTTTCTACTCATCCTATGATTCCATCTCTCAAACTCTCTACACATTTTCTACTCATCCTATGATTAAATCTCTCAAACTACACATTTTCTACTCATCCTATGATTAAATCTCTCAAACTTTCTACACATGTTCTACTCATCCTAGGATTCCATCTCTCAAACTATCTACACATGTTCTACTCATCCTATGATTCCATCTCTCAAACTATCTACACATGTTCTACTCATCCTATGATTCCATCTCTCAAACTATCTTGTTCTACTCATCCTTTGATTCCATCTCTCAAACTATCTACCCATGTTCTACTCATCCTATGATTAAATCTCTCAAACTTTCTACACATGTTCTACTCATCCTATGATTCCATCTCTCAAACTCTCTACACATTTTCTACTCATCCTATGATTAAATCTCTTAACCTATCTGCACACTTTTTAAACCCCTCCCCCCCCTTGAATACTTACAGGAGAGGAAGAGGGAAAATGTTCTACCAAATTTTGGATTATATAAAAAAAAATCTTCATTTTGAGTGATTAAAATGCGCCGAAGGAAATTTTTTAAAAATTTATTTTCAAAAATCAAAATTAAAGCACTAAAATGTGTCTGCTCTCTCTTCTTGCGCCCCTAATTTATCTATTTATCTATCTATCTATAAACTGAAATTACCGTAGTTTCATGTTTCCACCAAACTCTCTGTAGAGGTAAAGAAACTCTACAGGGCATCTAGAAAAGTTTTTTTTATAGTTTTCATAAAATATGTGTGACAATTTATTTTCTGATTGCAATCTAAAATTCACAGACAGCAGGGTAAACGGTGAATCATAATAAAGTGCAGCGTAACGTTATTATATTTTCATATATAATCTAGAAAAAAATGTATTTATAATGTATTCCGAAGAAAATAGTTTACACATTTTTTAAAATATAAAAAGATAGACTAGTAACCGCCATTTAATTGTTTACAAAAAAACAGTATATTGCAGTTCATGGGAGATTTTAAAAAGTTCATATTTTGTTAAATATTCTTCTCAGATACTGCAATTCACTGTTTTGTAAAAAATATGAGGATTCCTGGTTTATATTCCTTGATTAAGTTATATTCCAAGCTTTAAACTTCAAGAGAACAAAATATATGAGGATTCCTGGTTTATATTCCTTGATTAAGTTATATTCCAAGCTTTAAACTTCAAGAGAAGAAAATGTTGCTTACTTGTACTTGATTACAGTATGGGGAACCGAGCACTGCGAATTCACAAAATCTCTAAGGTCCAGGTTTCTGAAAATAAAATCATTCATAGCTTCATTCAAAACTGTTTACAACACAATTACTCAAGACAAAATTGATTTTAAAAAAACTTAGTAATTGGGGGGTTAACTCGTTAAACAATACTGAAGCACGTTAATAAAATTCCCAAAGTTTATTTTCTTTTCGAAAAAAAATCTATTTTTTGTTGAAAATAAACCTGTACGTTTTGAGGTCGGGGGCCGCCCCGTTAAGCAGAAGTATTACAAAACTCCTCAACAGATTCAAATATTTTAGTTAAATAATTTTTAGAGCAGCTGAAATTGAGGCATTTTTCTGATAACAGATTTCTTTCCACTTGAAAACGTGATTTACAAGAATAAAATTTGCAAACCTTACAAATCCTCTTTTATTTTTGAAATTATCTAATGGTAGTAAAAAAAGTTACTCTTAAAGGGAGTGACTGAGTTACTGAGTTTAAGCGCAAAGTCGACGTTCAAAATCATTAATTTGGGCGAGTACGTTTCGAGAATTATTTTTATTAATTATTGAATAACGACGACAAAAAATATAGTAAAAGTTCTATAATAAACAAATTAAATTGCGCTCAAACTCAGTAATTATTGATCTTTAAAACGTTGTATATGTCTCAAATGAATCCTAAAAAATGTCTCTAGGCAATACAGCAATCTCAGTTCAACCAACATACGTTGCCGGTCACTCCCTTTAAACTTCAATGTTGAGTGGGGCAGTTAAACATAAAAGGTCTTTAAAAATCAAGGAATCTTTCATAAAATAAAATCTTGCTTTCTTTTTTTCTTATTTTATATTTTTATGATCTATGATCTAAATTTCTATTAGTTGTGACTAAACTTTTGGCTGTAGGGTTGTTAATGAAGAAATATAAATATTTCAATTGGAAATTGGAATCAATCATTAACAATTTATAACAAATAAATAATGAATCATATAAAAAGTGTGAATCCCTTAGATGATGGTATGTTGCACATGTGGTTAGAGGTAGTCCAGGCATCCCTGTACAGTGTACATAGAGCAGTACATTCAGTACATGATAATGATAATGATAATGATAACGATAATGATAATGATAATGATAATAATAATAATAATAATAATAATAATATAATATTAATAATAATATTAATAATAACAAGAAGAAGAAGAAGAAGAGTAATAAAAATAAGAACAATAAGAATAAGAATAATAATAAAAATAATTAAAACAATACAAATGATAATAACTATAATAAAAAGAATAAGAATAAGAATAATAATGATGTCATTTATTTATTCAATTTTAAAAATTATTTCGAACTGAAATCTTCTTAATCTAAATAATATTAACCATCGCAAAATGTTCTAAATAGTTTCAATTGTTAATAGTTTAAAACTGTTCTGCATTTTCCCTGACATTATTCTTGTAATATCCTCTGTATCCACCCCGTACTCACATAGCAACTAAAATTAGAAAATATCATAGAATTAAAGGGAGTGTTCCTAAAAATTACATAATATATATATAAATATGTATATATATACATATATATATATACATACATATATATATAGTATATATATATATATAGTACCGAGACATAATATACCTGTATACCCTAGTTACCGAGACATAATATACCTGTATACCCTAGTTACCGAGACATAATATACCTGTATACCCTAGCTACCAAGACATTATATATCTGTATACGCTAGTTACCGGGTCATAATATACCTGTATACCCTAGTTACCGAGACATAATATACCTGTATACCCTAGTTACCGGGTCATAATATACCTGTATACCCTGTTCTAGCCCTCTCTGACAAAGGATGGAAAGGGGACTGCAAAGGTTCCGTAAACTGCCGTTAGGGTTCGCACCATGCTCCTATAGTGATGAGTCATAATTAGAAGAGAAAAAAAATAGCCGAAATAATTTCTAAAATTTCCTATTAGCCTAGAAGATATAAATGTTTCAGTAGTGGTAATCCAATTTAGACAAATTACACCAAAGACTACTAGTCTCAGGATTTTCAAAATGTGGTCTACTATATCTGGACCTTCAAAATTGACAGTATTTTAAGATGCATACAATGCAGACCACATGTTGACACGCTCATAAGGTGCAAAGTTATACTAAAACATTTCCTACGTGGATAGGAAGATTAAATTGAGAAAAAAATCCAGAATAAATTAAAATTTGTTTTTGATTTTTTTTCGTAACAAATGAATCAAAGATTGCAAAAGGTCAAATGAAATTGCTTCAGTGTGTGTTTCTCAAATAAATTCCATTCAGTGTAAAAATTATACTATACAGCAGAATCTTGGAATAATTCGGATCTGCATAGCAAAAATAGGAGGCTCAGGGCGACCGAGGTATCCCTCCCTCTTACCAGTAGTGTTCTTGCTGCAGACCAATGTTGGTTTACAAGAGCAACAAACAGCGGAGTCTGCGCCTTTATCCATTTATATATTTTTAACACTAAGGAGCTATTTCTTATCAACACTACAATGGTTGATCAGATAACGTCTCCAACTCTGAACGTCATAACTATCTACAGGGGCACCCGCAAAGGAAAAGACTGTAAAGACGACCCATAAACTCTAAAAATATGACGATTTGAAGCTTGATTTTTGGTTTCTGCATTCAAGATCAATGGTGGATTTTGATGGTCTATAGAACGATAAAGCACATAAATAAAACAGTTCTGGCCAACAAGGAACCCTGAATGTAAGAAATGACTGAACAAATTCCGTACAGTCGTCTCTGAAGTCTCATCCTTTGCGGGTAACCCTGTATCTATTTGATCAGAATCTAGCGTGAATCATCTTGCGGCCTAAATATCTTCCCCCAAAGTTTGTCAGTACCAAATGGTTGTATAATAAGTTAGGTTACTTTCGATGCACTTTAATGTACGGAAAATGTAATCTCCTATAAGATAGATAGATAAAAACCTCGTATGTAACTCTCGCCTCATTAATCGTGACGTCATATGAGGTTTTTATCTATCTTAATAGAATATTGTGTTGGTATTATTTTGTAACCAATCAACCATATCAGAAGAAAAAATTACATAAACTAAAAAATCTGAAAAATATTTAAATTCCTTAATGTCTTCTTCATCTACTTCAGCTCCATTCTCTTTAAGTAAATAGTCAAAAAAATACTTTTGAATTTTTTTTTGTAATAATTTAAAAAATGTGAGATCCTCTTCCCTCTTAAATTTATTTCTCCACCATAGCTAAAATTTATCTACGTAAAAGAATTATAAATCCTCTGTTAGAAATAAAATCCGATATTTTTGACAGTTTTCCTAAAAGCTCTTCAATGCACTCCACATGCCCGCCTAACGTAACATTCATTATTAAAAAGTATTCATCAATTTAATGTGAATAAAAAAATAAACAAATGCACACAGATCAGGTAGTCATAGATGGATCTTTGACGCGGACCTCCCTGCTTATCTAGTCCAAATGAGCTGAATATATTTCTAGGTAAAGGGAGTGACCGGCTATGTAAGGTAGTTGATCTGAGTATGCAGTGTTGTGGAAAACTGCTTTCGAATTCATTTGAGACATATTAAACTTTTTAAAGATCTGTAAATCCTGAGTTTGAGTGCAAATTCGACGTTCAAAACTCCTACTTTGGGGTGGACACGTTTTCAGAATCGTTTTTTTAATTATTAAATAACGACGACGAAATATAAAGTCAAAATTATACAGCAAATTAATCAGATGGTTAGGAACATATTTCTCAAAAGAAATTTGTCAATAAATCAATGCTAGAATCAATTATTTCGTTTTCATCATTATATTGAATTTCTTATTTTCTTTGAATTTATTCGCAGATTTCTTCAAATCCACAAATGTCGTCTTTTCGATAATAATTCCAGAAAATCTGCGGAAAATCTTTGAATAATGAGAAAATAGTAACAAATAATTGAACAAGATTACTTATTTTCGATGATAAGATTAATTTATATTTTCTCAACCTGTTCCTGAACAACTAATTAGTTTTCTGTAGAATTTTTTTCATTTTATGTCGTCGTTATTTAATAATTTTAGAATAACTAATTCTGAAAACGTATCCACCACCAAAGTAGGAGTTTTGAACGTCGAATTTGCAGTCAAACTCGGGATTTACAGATCTTTAACAATTTTAATATGTCTCATAGCCGGTCACTCCCTTTAATACGTCAATCGAGGTGTAGAATATTTCCGCAGTGTGTCCATTGGTTCCGGGGAGGGAGCGTGGCTAGAAAACAAAACTGGGAATCAAGCTAATTTTCCATTTAAACTCAACTTAATTGTCTTAAATATGGTTCAGTTAACATTTTTTTTTGTTAATATATGGATTTAACATTCTGATACTATTCAGAATCTTATGTGATCAGTTTTTTAAACAAACATATAAACTTTTTTTTTCAAGAAGCTAAAAAGAACGAATTGTATTCTCTAAAAATTTTGCGTTTTTACAATACTCAAACGACAGAAGATGCATTAGCCTAAACGAACCTTAACTGACTATTATCTCTCTGATTAGTTCAGTTAAGGCGTTGACTTAAATCGATTATTTTATAAGTACATGAAATAAACCAAATGGTAACTTGTAATTCTCTGGACATGGGTATTTTATTCCAATCATTACTTTCCTTGAGTGTAATTGTACTCAATCGACAGGTTTAGTGAAGAAATATTTTCAATGGGCAAAACAACTTAACATTTTAAAATTAATCAAGCATTTATAAATTTTAAAAATTCTGAAGTGGAGATTTTGGCTCTCCATAAAAAAAACTGAAAATACTTATTTGACACCCCTGGCATATTATTTGTAGGTATATCCCAAATCAAAAGTTTTATTTAAAGTAAAACTACAAAAAAGTATAGGCCAAAGAGCAACCACGTCTACTTTTACACAACACCTAGAAAAATGAAAACACCAATTTTGCTAATATACCTACGTAGGAAACAAAAATTGGGATCCCTAAAAAAAATCCCGTCACACTATTCTACAAAAATCACAGTTTAGTCGGTATAAACTATTGACTGACATGGGACTGGAAGATCTAAACCAGCAAAGCCTGGAACTAATAACTGAGAATGAATTTAGCATATGCTTGAAATACTTTCCAGCTCGTTATTTTCTTCCATATTACTAGATATTGCTTGATTTCTAGTTATCAAGTCAAGCTTGGTAAAACCAGTGATAAGAGATCTGTCAAAGGCTAGAAAATAAGATATTTTCCACAGCAGGGTACAGCTATAAACAATAAACAGACGTCTGTATTCAGAAATATTTCAGGATCCTTTAGATTTGAAAAACAAAACCTTCATTTATAGAGTAAATTAACAATTTAATGTTTTATGTTAAAAGTTTGAGTATTTCTTTAATTATTATAAGATAGGCATTATATGCCGCTAGATGGCAGTCAAAAATCCTTCTATGGAAATGTAGCATGGCGTGCCAGGACACTATAGCCCTGCTCATCCTTTCTTGTTATAGCTTTTGAGCAGTCAGTGTTAGTCGAAGGAGGAAACCTCCGGACTGCATGAGCCTCTGCTATACAGACACGAGCGCTTCCAGATTTGCTAGGCAAACCGAGCCTCCGCTATGTAGTAATGAGCATGTGCAATACAAGTAAAGTGTGCTTGTGTAATACAGGAGGTTTTGTTAACTTTTGTTTTACATATAAATAAAAGATGTTTTACAAATTTTTCGACATGGTGGTAAGAGAGATTTCTCAAAGATGAGAAGTATTTAACAATTATTATAAATAGAGCCTAATTATGTCTAATATTAAGTGGTATATAAAACTTTGATAAAAATTTACATGAAAAGAAAACTATTTTGAGAAAAACAAGTAAATTGAATTTCATTTTGGACTTCGTGAGTTCATATACCGTGACAATCAATAAATAACTCTAATCTTTAGTAAAATTCTAATACGACTAAGTCAAAAAATGGTAAAATTTTTCATTACACGTAAAATCCAAGATTAACAAAAGCTGTGCTCCATGGTGGAGGCTCGTTTACTGCATAGCGGAGGCTCGGACTGTCTAGTAAATATGGGAGGCTCGTGTCTGCATAGCGGAGGCTTATGGCGTCCAGGGGTTTCCACCCTCGTTAGTCTGTGGGTAAAGCTTACAAACATTAAAACTATGTAAAATGAAACACGCACACAAAACTAAGCAAAGTTGTTAAATCCTGTAAAAAAGTAAAATCAATCAATCAATGAGTTCGGGGGATAAAACAGGGAGCACACATAGCTTACCGGTAGCTGCTAATCGAAGTGGAGTCGATAGAAAAGGGCGAATACGAGCTCTGTAAAAATAAAATGAATAATTAAAAGATCAAAGAAACATCATAAATATATAAAATGAATTACATTCCTTATAAGATCTTTCTTCAGAGGATCTTGGAGAATTTCCCGTAGTGACTGATGACAATGGGAGTAACAAAAAATATTAAAATTAATAAAATTCAACAAAACTTTTAATATTAAAAATAAAATAGTTTAAGATCTGTAAAAAAAGGGCGCCAACTCCACAGTTCCTGAATGTTTCCCAAAAACGCCGCTAGATGTAGACAGGAGTCCGGACAATCGTCGTCATCCAAGTCCAGGATAAAATGCACCGGTAGCTCTCTCGCCATTATTCTGGAAAATTTCCAGTTGACGGATATTTCAATTTTGCAGTGTCAGTTGCAGTATTGGGGAATTTATAAATGAATTTATCTTTTTATTGGTTTCTTTTCAGGATGCAAATTTCAAGATTAACAATATCATAAACTTAAATAAACATATTTACAGACTTGGTCACTAAAATTTGTTTCTACATATTCAGGGCTAAACATAATCTATTTAATGAAGGAGCCACCAAAAAGGATTTATTTTAGGATGAACAATTTAGTTGTTCTTATCAAGTTTTATATCCGACAATCGTATAATTGATGTATATCGCATCTGCTGGACCGTCCGACACGGATCCAAACATGGAGAAAAATATTTAGTTTCTCAAATAATATTTTGTGGTATTAAATTCATCCTAAACACAACTAACTGTTAGCTTGATGCTCATTCAATCTTAGTTTTATCAAAACTAAAATATTTTGAAAAACATGAAACGTTTTTGCATATGGTGTCGCGGTTACAGAAATTTACTAGAACCTTGCATAGATATTTCGGCATTTTTGAAATAATTACGGATGGTTCCGAGTCAGACGGAATTATTGCATAATAAAATATGACCCTATTGGCGGTGCATTAATTAAAAATATTTCTTTAAATATTTTGATTAAGATTTCTTCTCTTGATTCTCTACATAGGACTTCCATTGGTTCCAGTAGTCCTTACTCTGCATCTCTAAACATTTAAAAATATATATAACATAAATTAATGTTGAATGTTATCATCTAAAAATAGGGTTTCCCCCTATTTAAAAGTGTTGACCATTTAATCAAGGCGTCACATGATAACTGACTCACTATGAACTAAAATTATACAAATCATATTCTTGCTTCTCTGTCCTGTACATCAACCAGTAATTTTTAGAAAAATTTAAAATTAAAAAACTTACTAAAATTAAGTATTTAAATTTTTCAACTTTTCCTCAAAACTCTTTCAATTTCCCACAAAAAACATTTAATTCTTAAAAAGTATAGATTTGCCCGAAAGAGCTATTAAAAAAGTTCAACTCAAAGCAAAAAATTCCAAAATACTCGAAAAAAATATCTTTTTTAAGAAAGATGATAAAACTCGTTTTTAAGGCGACAAAATATTTCAACCTTAACTGAAACTTTTCAAGAATATATTTCTAAATAACAATTTTTATTTAAAATATTAATAACCTGTTAGTCTAGATATTGTTCTATCGAAAGCGAAAAGTTCTTCTTCCCCTGAGAATACTCCTGAATCCAAGGAACCAGATCCAGCAGCCTAGAATACAAAGGATAAAGTTCTCCTTCTGAGAATACTCCTGAATCCAAGGAACCAGATCCAGCAGCCTAGAATACAAAGGATAAAGTTCTCCTTCTGTTGAGAATACTCCTGAATCCAAGGAACCAGATCCAGCAGCCTAGAATACAAAGGGTAAAGTTCTCCTTCCCCTGAGAATACTCCTGAATCCAAGGAACCAGATCCAGCAGCCTAGAATACAAAGGATAAAGTTCTTCTTCCCCTGAGAATACTCCTGAATCCAGGGAACCAGATCCAGCAGCCTAGAATACAAAGGATAAAGTTCTTCTTCCCCTGAGAATACTCCTGAATCCAAGGAACCAGATCCAGCAGCCTAGAATACAAAGGGTTACATTTTGTTGTCTTAAAGAGACTGAAGTGACTTTCCATTTATAAGAGAGGCATGCCTATTTCACAACGGTACCCTTTAAACCTTAATATTATAAATAATGTCGAAGATATTGTCGTTTTCTAGATTAAAATTAGTTAATTCTTACGATTTCCTTTCCTGTTTCTGAAACAGAAATGTGCAAGTCACTAGTATTAAGAAACAGTAAATGAAAATAATCAATTAAAAAAATTAAATAATATGATAATCTTATGAGGAAAAAAAATTTAATAATGGAAATTCTTTAACGAAATGAAATAATCTTGATGTATTCTTTAACGAAAGCCGCAGGCCTTATATCAAGATTATTTCATCGAGTTTTAGAATTCCATTATTACATATTTATCCTCATAAGATTCATATTATATCATATTTCTGGGGTTCTATGAGCAAATACACAAGAAATTATATATTTTTTAATTCGTGTGAAATACGACTATATCAAGTAGGAACAATTAACATCATGAAGGGTTGCAAATAAGTTTTTATATTTCACTTATGCCCTTGTCCTAACTATTATTTTTTAATTTTTTTATGTTACAATGGTAAAATGTTAAAAACCCTTTTATAAGTAAAAATTGGTTCTGTATTTGTAAATAATGCATGTGGTGTGATTGTTTCCTTAGTTAGTTTGTTTGTTTACTAATTTATAATGCATTTGCTTGTTTTCTTAAGTTAATGCTATATTTAGATTTAGCATGTTGAATGTCCCCAGAGTTTTTAGATGGAAAAAAAGTAGAGAACAGTAGTGGGTTGTCTCAATCTACTGAACAATAGCGTGAAATCATTTACATAAGAATCGTTTGCTGGATATTAGATCCTAAATCCTAAAGAGGAAAGAAAAGCAGGTTATCTAGGTATTTCAAAACCAGTTTAGCTGTGGTGGGGAGCAAACTGACCCCCATCACCTCTTAATTCTGTCTATTTTGTCCAAATATTACAACTGAATGTAGAATTTTGGAAAAGCTCTTTTAGTTCAGTATCCAGGTGTAAAGTAAAAAGCAGTTGATTGAAATTGGGAAAAGCTCCGACCGTTATATTACAAACATGCAGAGATTTGCTAAATCTCCCAAAACTTGATTTGCAATAAAAAAAAAGGTAAGCTTGCATGTTTTAATATGAAAAAAGGAAGTGAGCATGATGTTATAAAGTATAAAAAGGTAAGTTTGCATGTGCTAATATAAAGGAGGTAAAAGGTGTATGTGCACTTTGTTCGTACAAAATAATTAAGTTAATATCAATATTGAGCTAGTCGAAAAGATCAATAAAAGAAGCGTGTAAGAATTAATATTCTTCAACTAGTGTAATAATTCCAATTCTTTAATGCTTGGAGGTGTAAGAATTTACATTCTTTCACGCTCTGACCGTGTAATAATTTCCATTCTTACACGGTCTGAGCTTTAAAGAAAGAAAATTCTACACCCCCAGTGTAAGAATAAGCATTCTCAAACGCCAGGAAGCGAACAATATTGGAAATTGTTCCTCCTGAACCGTGTAATTATGGGAATTCTTACACGATAGGTTTACTACTATGGAACCCAGATTGAATTTGAAGATAGAAATAATAAAATTTTCATTTTGTTAATAATTTCATTTTGCCCGAAAACGACTGGACCTTAGACGCAGGAAACCTCGACAGTACCTGGGAGATCCTGGACCAACTACTATCAAGATGCGGTCGATTTCTTCAATTTTAATACAATAGCGTCTAGTGGTCCATAATTCAACAATCTTTAAACTTACATAGTTGAAGGGTTTCCAACGCAAGTGAATTTATTGCGCTCAGTTCCGTAATGATTGCGCGCAATAAACGCAACGGAATTCCGTCCAACTTTCTTGCGTTTGTGTTTCAATTTTTTGAGAATATTTTATTTGAATTTTTTGAGAATATTTTATTTGAACTTGATGGAACGCAATACATGCAATTATTTTTTGTGCAATTCTGTTCAAGAACGTTAAGTTAAAAATCAATATAAACATACAATAAAATGAATCTTACAATTTTAATTTAAAAAATGTATCATATTAAAGGTAGTGTTCGCGAAAAATGAAAGGGGGTATAGGCTTACGGCGATAAATAATCGCTTCTGATCGCTACTAATATTACTTCTATCTGTTGCGTCTATATGGAGAAAATTGTTAAAAACGTCTTATACCGAAGAACGAAGCGTTCGTACAAATTGAGGAAGTTGGAACATACGTCTTAACATCGTACATCGTAAAAAAATCAAATTGATATAAAACAAATAATTTAGATAATAAATCCTATAGTCATCGATTTTTTTTGACGTATTTGTATATAGTTGATATTTTATAATATTTTTTATTTGGTGTTTTTTAAAATTAATATTTCGCTTACAACTTGTTTTCACAATTGGCGCATTTCCGGAAAATATGGAAAATGTCGTCTTCAGTATCAAAATCCTCGAAACAGGAATGAATGTTTTCAAAAGTCACTCTCGGAACATAGAAAGTAAAAAATATTATGAAATATTAACTATATACGAATGCGTCGAAAAATAATCGATGATTATAAGTTGTAATATCTGAATGCTTTGTTTGGAATTAAATTGATTTTGTTACGATCCGAGTCGTATGTTGCAACTTACTGAATTTGTAAGGAATCTATGTTCTTCGGTATGAGACGTTTCTAAACAATTTTCTCATTATAGACGCAACAGATAGAAGAAAGATTAGTAGCGATCAAAAGTGATTATTTATTGCCGTAAGCCTATACCCCTTTCAATTTTTCACGAACACTCCCTTTAAGTTGTTAATTAGTAGCTTAACCACAAGAAACTTAAACAATTTAAAAATTTTAAAAATTTGAAGTGACCCTCGATTATTTTTAAATCTACAGGATAACTTGTATCCATTTCCATTCTTGTATCTTCTGCATAAATTTGTAAGTTACAATTCAAAATTATTAATTTCGGGCAATTTCGCGAATATTTCATTGCTTTCTTGTTCGCAATTAAAGCGCAATTCCGGGCAATAAAAAGGCGCAAGCGGAATCAATCATTGTGTGCAATTCCGCGCAACGGAATTCCGATTGGAAACCCTACAGAGTTGTCTTATAAATAATACCTTTTTATCAAAAACGCATCCGCAGACAATAGGTACTAAGAGAAAAATCTATCAGTATCACTTAAATATAGACAACTCGTCTTTAGACACCCTCTACTTGGCCTCCAGTTTTATCTCACAAACTAACTTATAATTTTTTGTAGCCCTAGCCATATACATTTTAAAACTGCAACAAGCATGTTTCTAGCTTAAGTTTAAAGGGAGTAATTGACCAAATACTACTTGATTTTTTTGACAGCACATTTTGGTTTGCAGTTTTATGTTTAATATGTCAAATTGTGATCAATTGTCACAGTTTGCTTGAAACTGGCTCGAACAACTAGACCTACGTTATCTTTGTGACAGAAACTATCTCAAGAACTGACGAGGGTCAACCCAGATCGAAATATATTTTCAATAAATGTGGAACTCACATCTACTTTTTTAACTCTACAGAGGTTTGGTCCATCGCCATCAACGAATTTAAAGTAAAAATTTTTTTTACTTCAAGCAATCATAACAAACCTCATGTTTACTGTTTAAAGAAAGTAATGAATACAAAAAATAAACCTTTAATCCTAAATCATCAATCAGCTCTCTGTTCTCCTGAAGTCTCTGAGCATCAGATATTCGTTCGTTCTAAACAGAACATTCTTTATTCAAGATAAACAAAATTCTGTTATTATTTGCTTCACTGTGAGTAAAACTTCTTCTGTCACCAGCGATATAAACATTTGTCAAGATGCAAAGCAATATATTGAAATATATTAGTTGTGGCATTTAATAAAATTTACGTGCAATATTTTGCTTTGCATCTTTACAAATGAATATATCGCTTGTGACAGAAGAAGTTTTACTCACAGTGTTGATAAGAAAATAATTCTTCTTCTTCAGAACGTGATTTAAACACAATTTAGAACGTACACAACAGTGTGGAAAGCTTTTCGCACCAATATATTTATTCAATAAATTTAAGTTTTCTACAACAGAATATGTTCAAGCGGTACATTTCTTTCTTCTCAAATAATGTTTTTTAAAGCTGAAACTTAGCTTTAGCAGACAGTGAACGTTAAAGCTAAATAGCCGACAGTGAACGTTTAAGCTAAATAACAGACAGGGAGAGTTTAAGCTAAATAACAGACAGGGAGAGTTTCAGCTAAATAACAGACAGAGAGAGTTTCAGCTAAATAACAGACAGGGAGAGTTTAAGCTAAATAACAGACAGGGAGAGTTTAAGCTAAATAGAAGACAGAGAGAGTTTAAACTAGATAATAGACAGATAGAGATATGCTAAATAACAGACAGGGAGAGTTTAAGCTAAATAACAGACAGGGAGAGTTTAAGCTAAATAGCAGATAGGGAGAGTTTAAACTAGATAATAGACAGATAGAGATATAGCTAAATAGCAGACAGTGAACGTTAAAGCTAAATAACAGACGGAGAGAGTTTCAGCTAAATAACAGACAGAGAGAGTTTAAGCTAAATAACAGACAGGGAGAGTTTAAGCTAAATAACAGACAGGGAGAGTTTAAGCTAAATAGCAGATAGGGAGAGTTTATGCTAAATAGCAGATAGGGAGAGTTTAAGCTAGATAACAGAAAGATAGAGTTAAAGCTAAGTAGCAGAAAGGAAGAGTTTAAGCTAATTAGCAGATATGGAGAGTTTAAGCTATATAACAGACAGAGAGAGGTTAAGCAAAATAGCAGACAGGGAGAGTTTGAATTAAATAGCAGACAGGGAGAGTTCAAGCTAAATAGCACGACAGGGAAAGTTTAAGCTAAATAAAAGACAGTGAGAGTTAAAGCTAAATAGCAGACAGGGAGAGTTTAAGCTAAATCGCGTACAGTGAGAGTTTAAGCTAAATCGCAGACAGGGAGAGTTTAAGCTAAATAGAAGACAGAGAGAGTTAAAGCAAGATAACAGACAGAGAGTTTTAGCCAATTAGGAGACAGGGAGAGTTTGTATTAAATAGAGAAAAGGGAGAGTTTAAGCTAAATAACAGACAGGGAGAGTTTAAGCTAAATAACACGACAGGGAGAGTTAAAGCTAAATAACAGACAGGGAGATTTTAAACTAAATAACACGACAGGGAGAGTTTAAGCTAAATAGCACAGATAGAGTTAAAGCAGACCTGAAAAAGTTCCCAAAAAGGCGCTACCCCTGATGCCACTATGCGGATTTTATGATCGTACAAGGTATCTACCAGGCATATAAATCTAAAATATTTTATAATAATATAAAACAAATAAGTTTATTGAAACATCTTTACTTTAAAGTTTAGATAATGAACCTTAAAAAATGTTTCTAACATGAAAGGAGCGGAAATTCTTAAAGAGGAAAAAACTTATTATTCTAAGAATTCTTATTTTAGACTGATTGATTAACGTTTATTTCTATATGCATCTTAAAAGAATATTTTAGATCATTGTTAACACTTCAGCAATATTTTTCAATTCATAGTCGCAGGAAAAGGCTGTTGAAAAAAAATAATCCATTTTCAGGGGGTCAGTATTACTCAGACGTGGACCCCCTACCTTCTTCAAAATTCTTTAAAATCTTGCTTGATTATACTATTCCAGGCTATGTTAGGATAGACAGAAAGTCATCCAAAAAAGCCAAGAAATATAAGAATGGGAGGGGTCCAAATCACTTTCACTCAGATTTTACCCTTTTGATCTACATCTGGTTAAACCACAAATCTATGTATATATATATAATATATATATATACATACATATATATATATATATATATATATATATTTAAAAAGGTCGGTGTGTTCGTTTGTTTTATTTGTAATTGATAAACGCCAAAACGGCTAAACCGATTGTGGGATCCAGAGAAGATCAGAATGACTCGAATTGAAATTCGCCTGAAACAAATCACGATGTTTTGAAATCAACGAAGAAAAAATCTATTAAAGAGCAATTTAAATCGAAGATGGGCGCGCAGCGCTCTGGAAGCCTATTAATCATATAATGATTGTATCGACGGTAAACACTCATTTTTAAAATAAAATGTCTAAGCAAAATAACATTTTTAAAAGATTTTACTATTTTAAGTAAGTAAAAACCATTAATCATGTTTCATCTGTTTACCTGCGAGCTTGAGATTTATTTTGCTGGCTAAGATATGGAATATCATGTATTATAATTGTATGGAACACCTAAACAAAAACAAAACCGGAAATCAATTTGCAAGGTTCTCTTTTTTTTAAACCTTAGAAAAAAGCCTAAAATATCTAAATAATGTCACCCTAAAAAAACTATTTTATTCTGAAAATTCAAAGAATTGAAAGCTTGACTTTATTTATTATTGCTATTAACATATGAATAAAAATATACCTGTGTCAGTTTTAGGTAATCATTTGTCCACAAAGGTCTGGACACAAACAATATTTTTATTCAAAATTAGATTATTAAATGTAAAATATGAAAAACAGATTTGGCAAATTCCAACATAGCTAATTGAACAGTTTTTTTGTCTCCACTGCAAAACCTGAGTTGGCGATGTGGATATTTCTTAACAATCGTGTGAGATTATACTATTCCAGGTAAAAATTCACGAGAGGTTGCTAAGAAATATGAACAGGACTCCCTCCCCCCCCCACGTCCAAATCATGATACCAGAATGTTCACATAACATAAAGCTAATCTACGCTTAACAGTCTTCAAGGCATGAACTCTATATCCACAGCGGAAACCTATGATTTGAAGGGATGAAGAGGTCAAAAAGAGGACTTGAAGTTGATTTTTATAAATATCGAATGGGCCGAAGTCAGGTTTTTAAAGGGAGTGACCGGCTATGTAAGGTAGTTGAACTGAGTATGCAGTGTAGTGGAAAACTTCTTTCGGATTCATTTGAGACATATATAACTTTTTAAAGATCTGTAAATCCCGAGTTTGAGCGCAAATCCGACGTTCAAAACTCCTACTTTGGTGGTGGATACGTTTTCAGAATTAGTTTTTTTAAATTATTAAATAAAGACTACGAAAAATAAAGTAAAAATTATACAGTATTCTAATTAGATGGTTAGGAACATATTTCTCAAAAGAAATTTGTCAATAAATCAATGCTAAAATCGATTATTTCGTTTTCATTATTAAATTGAATTTCTTATTTTCTTTGAATTTATTCGCAGATTTCTTCAAATTCTCCAAATGCCGTCCTTTCAATAATAAATCTAGAAAATATGCAGAAAATCTTTGTGAATAATGAGAAAATAGAAACTAATAATTGAACAAGATTAATTATTTTCGATGATAAGATTAATTTTTATTTTCTCAACATGTTCCTATACATGAGATCTGTAGTTTATTGCAGAACTTTTTTAAACATTTTATGTCGTCGTTATTTAATAATTTCAAAGGAGTCTTTCCTGACCTTTAAAACAAAAAAATAAAATAATAAAATCAATGAAAATAGAAGAAATGATTGAATAAATCTTATGAATGAAAAATATTCCTTTCACAAATCTCCTTGAATGAAGTATCAAGAACTCCTCCACATCCTTTATCAAAGTGTACATCTCTTCCTTTAATCCTGAATTAAATATTTTTTACATCTCTTCCTTTAATCCTGAATTAAATATTTTTTACAACAAACCAAAATCAAATCAAGGGTTTGCTTTAATCTTAGTTCCGCTCGCAGTTTTGAGTATTTGCAGAATTTAAAATTTTGAGTTAGAAAAAAAGAAATTCACTACAGCACTAGATTATATTTTGGCATTTGTCAGTAACGGTGTAGCAGCGAATTATCTTATAATTATGTTTTCAAATATTACATCTGTATTTGTTGCACTAAAATTAACGAATATCAATCGTTGCTAAAAAAAAGGTAATTAAGTGATTTTGTTGTGGGCAAATATTTTATATTAGAAAAAATGTAAAATGTTAAAATGTTAAATGTTAAAATGTTACCTGATTGTAACAGGTTTAACTGTATCGGTTTCTTTTGCCGCCAAAAATTTGAACATGGCGGTCAGGGAGGCCTCCGCCTCATCCTCGGGATTCGAGGTCACAAAAAATAGTTTATCTGATCCTGAAAACAAAATCATTTTACAGAATGTTTATTGAAAGAAGGGGTTAATAGAGAACCATCATCTAGTCCGTCTAATTTTATTCAGATTAGACATCTCTTTACAAAGTTTACACTTACTAAGTATTTAAGGAAACCTCTCAAAATCATTATTAAATGAAAATTGGACATCGAAAGAGAAGGTTTTTTTTCACCCCTTTTGAAACATAATTTCACCTAAATTCCCCCTAATGCAGGGAATGAAACCAAAAATAAAATACCTAATATCTGAGGAGGAAAATGATTGTCCAAAAAAATCGAAATGAAAATAATATTGCATAATCTGGAAATTTTGTTTACAAAACTAAATTTTGGCGCGATTAAATTACCCCTGTAAAATCTCTGGTCAGAACATATTAATTAAAGGGGGGGGGGACCAGTGGTAAAGCAAACTCAGGTTTCTGAAAACAAAACCTGGGCGGATCTAAACAGACAACCCTTTGCCTTTGGCGTGATGACCACTTATGGTAAGTACTGATGAGTTAGAATGACTGTAGACCAGAATACCACCGAGGATTTTGTTAAAAATAAATGAATAAATATATGTGTAAAGACATTTACAAGGTTTTCAGGTTTCATTGACTAATGGTCTAGTGATAGTTGATTTTCAACATTTAGTTTAGATTACCTCTAATTTAATTAATTACCAGCTAGAGATTACCTTTAATTAAATTAATTAGCTGCTAGAGATTACCTTTAATTTAATTCATTACATACTAGAGATTACCTTTAATTCATTAATTAATTGCCTGCTAGAGATTACCTTTAAATAATAAATTACCTGCTAAAGATTACCTTTAATTAATTAATTAATTGCCTGCTAGAGATTACCTTAAATTAGTTAATTAATTACCTGCTAGAGATAACCTTTAATTAATAAATTAAGTACCTATCTAGATAATTAAGTACCTACCTACCTAGATTACCTTTAATTTAATCAATTACCTGCTAGAGATTACCTTAAATTCAATAAATTACCTCCTAGAGATTACCTTTTACTAATTAATTACCAGCTAGAGATTAACTCTCAATTTATGAATTACCCGCCAGAGATTACTTTTCAATTAATTAATTACCTGCTTGAGATTATCTTTAATCAATTAATGTATTGCCTGCTCGAGATTACCTTTAATTAATAAATAAATTACCTGCTATATTACCTCAATTAATTAATTAATTACCAGCTAGAGGTCAATTTTAATTTATTTGTTAATTAAAAGCTAGAGATCACCTTTAATTGATTAATTAATTACCAGCTAGAGACCACCTTTAATTAATTGATTAATTACAAGCTAGAGATCACCTTTAATCAATTAGTTACTTAATTATAAGTTATAGATCACCTTTCATTTATCAATTAATTACCTGCTAGAGATTACCTTAAATTAATTAATTAATTACCAACTAGAGATTACCTTTAATTAATTAATTACCTGCTAAATAATACCTTTAATTTATCAATTAATTACTTGCTAAAGATTACCTTCAACTAATTAATTAATTAATTAGAAGCTAGAGATTACCTTTAATTAATTACCTGCTAAAGATTGCCTTCTATAATCGACCCCAGGATCCAAGGAAACTAATTACAAATTTAATTATTATTTATTAAATATTCCCAAGCATAACATGCAGGATAGCGTAGCATTTTATCAGAAGCTGAAGAAAAAAAGGCGAGGATCTTGATTTAAAAATATTGAGAAAAAACAACATGGTCTAGGCATGTTGCTGTCTAAGTCAAAGCCTTGTATCTAAAAAACAGTAAGAAAATGTCGAATTGTCAAGGGGACTATTAACGTAAATATAAGCCACCATCTATTTATAGAGTAGTATGTCCGATCGACAACGCTATCCTTAAAAGCTTTGTATGTTCCAGATCGAATGAGATATCCGATTTTTAAACTTTGAAAATTGATGGTTTCTTATTGTGGTTTCTATAACAAAAAACAACGATAGTTTATTTAATCATAATTTGTGGTGCCATCAAAATCCGGAGAAAATAAATAAATACAAATTTAAAAATAAACGAAAATCAGCAAAAATCATGAAGAACTCCATTTTGTAAAAAAAATAAAGTAAAAAAATGAATTAAGATACAAAACCAGATCAGGTCTTGAATATTGCTGAAATTTCTTATCTCAAACAATAAATAATAAAATAAATAACAAAACCTCAAATCTCAAAGTTTGTCTATGAACTGTATTTAAACTGGATTGCTTAGGATCCATTTCAGCTTGATGCGGATCCGTATTCGGATCCTGGATCCGTCCTGAAAAAATCAATTCGGATGAGGATCCCCATTAAAATGAAATGGAGTATGTGCAGTGTGAACTGCAAATTAAATAAAAGTTTCCGATTTATAGACAAACTCTGGGATATGAGATATTATTGAAAGCGTCTTATTCTTTAAATGCTAAATCATCAAAATTCAGATCATGAACATTCCTTCAAGATTTCGTTTTGTTTGTTTTAAAATAAAAATGTTCTACATTTGTTTCCTCGCTTATTTATATGTAGAAACTTCAACGATTCAAATATTGGGAATTTGTTAACAATATCACATTAGTTAACAATTGAGGTTAGTGTCTTGAGAGAATAAAAGTTTCCTTTAGCAGGTTTTAGTTGATATTTTGCCCCATGGTTCCTTTTCCGTGGATCCGCATATTCCTTCCGGATCCGGATCAAGAAGTCAAAATGTTGTAGATCTAACGGATCCGGATCATAGGCAGTGATATAACATTGATGGTTCTTTACAATTTTTAGTCATTAATAAGTAAAATCATGACAACTTAAACAGAGAAAAGAGATAATAAAATTTGTATAAATAGCTGTAACATATCTATAAAGAATAAGTAAAAATATCAAAAATGTTGTCAAGATATTAAAAAAAAACTGGATTTAAAGTGACTGTAAGCGTAATCTCAAGTCATCTTCCATTTTAAGAGGAGCACACACGATTCGCAATGGTGTCGTTTAAAACTTTGGCTGATGGAGCTGATGAAGGATGTATTAATCTACTGAAACGCTTTCAATTACTTACACTTAGTTAGATATTTAAGAAATATCAATAGCTACGGTCTAAATGTGGCAGAAAATATAAATTTACTTTTGAAAACAGCTTTTTACGTAAAACAGTCAATATTTAAAGTTGCGTAAGTAACAGATCAGCTGCGTTGAGGTTAATCAGTACACAGCGTACATTAGGCCGCATTTTAGAGGAATTCAAGCGGGTTCCGATATGTTTATACACCGAGATACAGTGAAAGGTTTCAAGTGTACCGTAGTAAATCGGGCATTGTCCTCTTTGCATGGAGGGTCACATGAAATTGCACTTGCTGATCAATAAAATTGTATGAAATATAAAACAAAACAATGTTTTAACATTAACCACAAGGATTTTTTTAGTCCTACATAGGGTTGAGATTGAAAAAAATGTGTTTCAGATAACAAAAAAGCGTTTTTTAGAGAAAACAAACAGAGTTGCAAATGATAACCCATCATATTAACAACTTGAAAAATATCAACAATTTTATCATTTTTTAATGTATGTATATTATATCAATATGTATCTTTTCTTTTTTTCTATTTAGTCATGATTGTGAAAAGCGTCAATTTTTCAAGCTTTCCGTCCCCAAAAAGAAAAGATTTATCAGGGGCGTAGTTATGTTTAATCTGAAGATCTCCCTACACCCCTGTCTTGGGTTAAAGAAAATATTACCTAGTTCTTACTAGTACTCTATAATCAACATCTTTGCGCAATAATTATATAAACAGATGAAAAGATAAAACAAGTGATAATTAAAAAACTCAAGTATTGTATACTAGCTGATTGGCCCGGCGTTGCCGGCTATAGGCAACATATTTATATATATATATATATATATATATATATTTAAAAAGGTCGGTGTGTTCGTTTGTTTTATTTGTAATTGATAAACGCCAAAACGGCTAAACCGATTGTGGGATCCAGAGAAGATCAGAATGACTCGAATTGAAATTCGCCTGAAACAAATCACGATGTTTTGAAATCAACGAAGAAAAAATCTATTAAAGAGCAATTTAAATCGAAGATGGGCGCGCAGCGCTCTGGAAGCCTATTAATCATATAATGATTGTATCGACGGTAAACACTCATTTTTAAAATAAAATGTCTAAGCAAAATAACATTTTTAAAAGATTTTACTATTTTAAGTAAGTAAAAACCATTAATCATGTTTCATCTGTTTACCTGCGAGCTTGAGATTTATTTTGCTGGCTAAGATATGGAATATCATGTATTATAATTGTATGGAACACCTAAACAAAAACAAAACCGGAAATCAATTTGCAAGGTTCTCTTTTTTTTAAACCTTAGAAAAAAGCCTAAAATATCTAAATAATGTCACCCTAAAAAAACTATTTTATTCTGAAAATTCAAAGAATTGAAAGCTTGACTTTATTTATTATTGCTATTAACATATGAATAAAAATATACCTGTGTCAGTTTTAGGTAATCATTTGTCCACAAAGGTCTGGACACAAACAATATTTTTATTCAAAATTAGATTATTAAATGTAAAATATGAAAAACAGATTTGGCAAATTCCAACATAGCTAATTGAACAGTTTTTTTGTCTCCACTGCAAAACCTGAGTTGGCGATGTGGATATTTCTTAACAATCGTGTGAGATTATACTATTCCAGGTAAAAATTCACGAGAGGTTGCTAAGAAATATGAACAGGACTCCCTCCCCCCCCCACGTCCAAATCATGATACCAGAATGTTCACATAACATAAAGCTAATCTACGCTTAACAGTCTTCAAGGCATGAACTCTATATCCACAGCGGAAACCTATGATTTGAAGGGATGAAGAGGTCAAAAAGAGGACTTGAAGTTGATTTTTATAAATATCGAATGGGCCGAAGTCAGGTTTTTAAAGGGAGTGACCGGCTATGTAAGGTAGTTGAACTGAGTATGCAGTGTAGTGGAAAACTTCTTTCGGATTCATTTGAGACATATATAACTTTTTAAAGATCTGTAAATCCCGAGTTTGAGCGCAAATCCGACGTTCAAAACTCCTACTTTGGTGGTGGATACGTTTTCAGAATTAGTTTTTTTAAATTATTAAATAAAGACTACGAAAAATAAAGTAAAAATTATACAGTATTCTAATTAGATGGTTAGGAACATATTTCTCAAAAGAAATTTGTCAATAAATCAATGCTAAAATCGATTATTTCGTTTTCATTATTATACATAGATTTCTTCTTATTAAGAAATATTTGACTTGTTTAAAATCAGGGATCATTTATAAAAAGTAAAAACAGACTGAACTTTATTGTAAATGCTCTTATTTCAATATTGCAGCAAACAAAAATAACCTTTCCCATCTATAAAAAAATCCAATCATGTTAGGATGTATTTGTCACTTTTAAAAAAATCAGACAATGTAAAGGGTAAATGATTCTGTAAAATTTTATTAAAAAACGTTGACCTACCTACATGTGATTTTTCTTTTAGCATCTCTATGAAAGGAAGGAAATTTGATCTTTGAATCCCATTTTTGTAAAGATCATTCGGAGGCCTTAATAATATTAGCTTTATGGGTTTACTGTCCAGTATACTGTGTACTTTCAACATTGTCCTGTTCTGCGCCTTGTTTTACTCAGTGCCTTGTCCTGTTCTGTCCCTTGTTCTGTCCTGTGCCTTATCCTGTCCCTTGTCCTGTCCTGCCCCTTGTCCTGTCCTGTCCCTTGTTCTGTCCTATGCCTCTTTCTGTCCTGTCCCTCATTCTGTCCTGTCCCTCGTTCTTTCCTGTGCCTCATCTTGTCCTGTGCCTTGTCTTGTCCTGTGCCTTGTCTTGTCCTGTGCCTTGTCCTGTCCTGTGCCTTGTCCTGTTCTGTCCCTTGTTTTGTCCAGTCCCTTGTTTTTTTCCAGTCCCTTGTTCTGTCCTGTGCCTTGTCCTGTCCTGTGCCTTGTCCTGTACTGTCCCTTGTTTTGTCCAGTGCCTTGTCCTGTCTTGTGTCCTGTCTTGAGTTCTGCCCTGTCCTGTGTAATGTCATGTACACTACACTGTCCTGTCCTGTCTGCACTGATCGTACCTGTTACTTGTTGCGACCAAAATCAGACCCTTGTCGAAAAGATAAGCAAAGAGTTGTCGAAGGATCATGGCATCAGCGATATCCGTCACCTAGGAAATCAAGGCATAGGATTCTATTACATATCATACTTTTAAACTTAACTGACAGTGAGTACTATAAACTATGAAAGAGAAAGACGACTTTTAGGCTAAAGTTATGACTTCATGTTTAAATTGTCTAATGAACATGAGAAATGGCAAATGTGCAGTGGAAACAGACCAATTTCCTTTAGTAAGTGATTTAATAAGTTTGACAATTCTTTAATTGTTCGACTTCCCCCTTTCCTTTAAAAATAATTATGGAAAGATAAAATACTTTTTTATTTTTTTATTTTTAGGTAAAAAACCTAAAATGAAATGATGCTATAATTAAAGTGATCATAATGATTTTGCAGTTGAAAATTATTTTTAAATATATTTGACATTTGCTTTGATATTTCACAAACTTTCAACTTATTGGGCCGTGAAACTACTTTAAATTCCTCAAACCACTAATTAATCAACCAACCCACCAACCAACTTATTAACCTACCAACAAACACCCATCTACGGCCACTAACTAACCCAACAACCAACCAACTAACCCACCAACCATCCAAACAACCAACCCACTCACCACCCACCAACCAACCAACCAACCAATCAACCAACCAACCAACCAACCAATCAACCAATCAACCTACCTGAAATTCATCTAGGCAAAGTATCCATGTCTCTGCTAGAATTGTATCTCCTACAGGTGGAACAGGATCAAAAGGTTGGTAAGTATCCCATCTTGATATATCTCTGAACAAAAGCGTATTTTTAAACATTAGTTTGGCTCCTATGTTGCAATGTGGATTTTTTCCTTTATTTTTTTCAGGCTCAAAATAGTGGAATAATATAATAAAAGCAAATGTTTTTTTAAATTGTTTATTCTAAACATCTGCTTTTTTATACTATGACAATATTTGACCCTGACAGAACATATGTGCCCAAAAACGGTTCAAAAACGATGCAAAAACATAAGTGTTCCGTTTTTGGACCGTTTTTCTATTTTTATCTTTATCAAAATAAAGATATTGCAAAGTTTGATAAAAGCAAACTTCAACACATTACAATTTAAAGTTTTGGAAGTTTAGTTATTTTCTTAACCATAACCATAACGATCAACACACGGGGGATGATAGTTCTCTACCTGTGTGCTCAGTTAGCTGTACTGTACACTTACAACTGTTTACTAATATTGATATACTATAGGTTAGGCCAGAATCAACTTATAATAAACAGATATGCAGTACGCTCTCGGTATAGTTGATGGCCTATGTAATTAGTAAAGGATTAGCGTACATCATCACTCTATACACTATTACCTCGTTGGATTAACAGCACATGTATTGGCTTAATTCTAATCTGACCAAAATAAACTATCACCGGCGTTTTTACTATGCGAGATATATTAATTAGAGTTCATCTAAAATTACCCAGTTTGAATTCCAAATTTAATTTTCATTCAATTATTATAGAAAGAACATTATATATAATTAGTTTGGTTGCATGACAATACGAATACTACCATCTTCAACAGGATCAGATGGTTAGTAAAGAAACTGTACACTTGCCTCAAACTCTAATTTTCAAATTCTTTGCAACCTGGTGTCTCTGATACTTCAAACTTTCAATGGTTTACAAAAAAAAAAACAGAGATAAGAAAAATAATATTAGAGGCAAGTGCCTTATAAACCCCGATTTTATTTCACCTCGGCGGAGCCTTCTTCTTAGCTTCGTGCATCCTCGTGTGAACCTCTTGCATGAAATCATAATAATGAATTCGTCTCTTCTTTATCTCAGCGTCTAATCCTAATCAAATTTAAAATATCAACTATCAATATAAAATTTAAAAAAGATTTTTTAGGAAAAGATTTTAATTTAGAACATCTAGTTCATAATCATTCTTTTCTGAGAGGCCAAGACATTTCAAAGAACATATCCATCACAAGCATTTACCTTCCAAGGTATCAAAGAACATATCCATCACAAGCATTTACCTTCCAAGGTATCAAAGAACATATCAATCACAAGTATTTACCTTCCAAGGTATCAGAGAACATATCTATCACAAGTATTTACCTTCCAATGTATCAAAGAACATATCCATTACAAGCATTTACCTTCCATGGTATCAAAGAACATATCCATCACTAGTATTTACTTTCCAAGGTGTCAGAGAACATATCCATCACACGTATTTACCTTCCAAGGTATCAAAGAACATATCCGTCACAAGTATTTACCTTCCAAGGTATCAAAGAACATATCCATCACAAGCATTTACCTTCCAAGGTTTCAAAGAACATATCCATCACAAGTATTTACTTTCCAAGGTTACAAAGAACATATCCATCACAAGTATTTACCTTCCAAGGTATCAAATAACGTATCCATCAAAAGAATATCTACCTTCCAATGTGTCAAAGAACATATCCATCAACATAGTTTTCCCCCCTCCTACAGTTCCCCATAGATATATTCCCCTTGGCACTCTTTCTCCTCCTCCACTCTAAACATATTAAATTTTGTCAAAGCCGGGGTAAAGATTTTCAACTATTTTTGAGTTTTCCATCTAAAAAAATAATAAGCCGAGATTACGTTTAATTTTAAGTGTTGTTATATTAGATTCACAGCCCAAGTTTTTAGGGCTGTGATTTAAAGATCTCAATTATTTTCCAATTTAAAAAAAATAAAGAAAAAAATCGTACAAAAATTCATACAATTCCTTTACTCAAAAATGCGTCATACACAGCACAAGCTGAGGTGAATGTGTGGTTAGTAGGATGTCTCTAAAACTCTGATTTAATATTTGATTTGACTCATATCCTTCATTTCTTTTTAAATGCGGACATTTTTAGAATACATTGTTTTAAAAATCGTTTCCTTACCAGCTGCCATCGTCTACTCGAAGGTCCAGGGAACAACATGGAAAACAAGGAGGCTGACGTCTTTGGTCTATATTAGATCGGTTGAACTTTTCAAATAAAATAATAATGTTAGATCGGTTGAACTTTTTATATAAATAAAAACAGACGCGTACACAGGATCAGTAAAATCTATGGTTTCCAGGGGGCAGGGGAAAGAAAAGGGGAAAAATGTTAGATCTTTTTTTGAACTTTACACTAAATAATAACTAGACCAGTTGAACTTTTCAAAATAAATGATAATGAAACATCGGTTTTACTTTCCAAATCTTATAATAATAATAGATCAGTTGAACTTTAAACTATAAAATAATAATTAGATCAGTTAAACTTTGCATATAAATAATAATATCAAATCGGTTGCACATTTTAGAACAGTTAAACATTAATATTGTACTAGTTACAAATTCTCAAATCAATCTTGCAAAAAGTTTTGTTAAAATCAATTTTTTTTTTATTTGAGACATAAATTTTTCGTAACTTTCAAAACCCAGTCGAATTTTTACTTTTTTCGTGCACTTATGTGAGAGAGAATATCTTTGAATAACTCAAGATGGGTATAAACAATCAATTTTTTCGTCAAACATCAAATTCGGAAACGTTAAAATTGTAAAGATGTCAGCACAATAAATAGAAGATACTTGTGAATGTATAAAAACCTATTTTTTTAAAGCTTCAAGTTAAGCTATTTTGAAGTATCAAAAAACGTACAATTGGACTGGATTCAGCGGTTCGAGACACATCTATAGACATCGCATTAACAGTATAGAAAAATTTTAAGATTCAAGTCTCCAATGATTTTAATTCGTTTTGGTTGATTATCAAATCGAGTTTTCACATAAAATAATCTGATTTATTGATTACCTGTAAGTACCAATTTTCTCGTATAGAGACTGGAATCGTGCAACAACCTCCCTCTGGTGAACATCCTCAGACAAGTCGTTGTACATGACCTTTACATTGTACAATACAATGACATTGTACAATACCTAATATCATTGTACAGTGAAAAGTGTACAATACCTAATATCATTGTACAGTGTGCAGTGTACAATACCTACAAGAAGAATATCATTGTACAGTACATACAAGAATATCATAGCACAGTGTACAGTGTACACTGTACAGTACTTACAAGAAGAATATCATTGTGCAGTACAAAAAAGAAGAATATCATTGTACACTGTACAGTACCTACAAGTAGAATATTTCTGTACAGTATCTACAAAAATAATATCATTATACAGTAACTCAAGTAAAATATTGTTTTAACTTTTACAGTTCCTCTAGAAGAATAACATTGTACAGTACCTCCAAGAAGAATATCATTGTACGGTACCTTGAAGAAGAATATCATTGTACACTGTATATTATTTGTTAAATTCCAAACAACACACAAAGCTTAAGTTTTAAATCTGCTTAGTTTTTTTTTCTTTTCTGCGCTAAATTCGTTATACCCTTCAAATATTCTCTTTGTATCTTCTTTATCCTTTTTAATAAATCATCAATAATCTCCAAAAATCTCATTGAATTCTTAATATTCAACACTTATGTGATCTTCTACTTTTTCCATCTTATTATTAAGGTCCTTTTTCAAAATTTTTTACACTGGATTCTAAGGGGGTAAACCCCTCCCCTCCCTCCCACACCCTGCATACATGGTGAACATAAATCTATCATGTTTTTTGAGACTCACTTTAAGTAGAGAGTATAACATTTTTCTTCAATTATTAAAAACTTTGTAACGCAACATACAAAGCTAGAGTTACAGCAACAAATTTAATTTACTGAGCGTAAAAAGACAGATCTTCCAACTCAAAAGTATAAACAAAATTAATTTGTTTTCATCACTCAAAATTAAGCTCGAACTACAAATAGTTAACTACGAATTTTAACTTTTATTCTTTCACTTATAGTGTTGATTTAGATATATTATTAGATATGATATAAAAGCTTTATAATATATATATATATATAAATATAAAATACATATATATTAAACTTATTTTTTATTGAACAATTAACAATACACAAATGTTCACTCTATAGACTGTATAAAGCACAAATGCCGAGATTCTTATATACTGTATATACCTACAGTACATGCCTTCGGTTCGGTATTACTTACACACACTCTTCTTTTACAGAAACAAACACATGACGTTTCCGCCGGCCCTGATTAAATTACCTTATGATCAAAAACAGTTGCAGGACTAGCATGTGGAGGAAGTGGAATTCTTTCATTTGCCGGAACAGGAATAGGTTTTGAACTTGCTAGAAAATAAAAAAAGATTCTTTGTAAAAATATCCGTCAAGAACCAATAACCAACTAATATCGTAAATTTCAACGGATTTATTTTTGCTCAGTTCTGGACTTTTAGCATGGTTGCATGTTTCACTTAATCAAAGCACAAACATAAAAGAGAATGAATTTTATATTTTCTTTCAGACTAATGAACAATATTGACGTTACCTACAACTCTTTTTTTTACATGAAATCAAAATCTTTAAAGGGATTGTAAGCTAAAGGGGATGGTGGAGTTGGCACATTTGATGTAGGGGGGGGGGGCCCTGCCTTCATTTTTGGTTCAAATCTTCCAATTTTTTGGGTGCACGCCTAATTAGTGATCGAAATTCATAAAATAAAATCAAATTGAATTTTAATGACCTCTAATGACCTCTAATGACCTCTAATGACCTCCACAAATAGAAAATATTTCAACTATGGCTTTANTTTTCATTTTTGGAGGTCATTTAGGTCATTAGAGGTCGTAAGAGGTCATTAGAAGGTCAAACACTGGATTTTTTGCTGCTACTGTATTCCCTGGGTCCCTAGCTTTCGTTTGATGTGCATAAAGCCATAGTTGAAATATTTTCTATTTGTGGAGGTCATTAGAGGTCATTAGAGGTCATTAGAGGTCATTAGAGGTCATTAAAATTCAATTTGATTTTATTTTATGAATTTCGATCACTAATTAGGCGTGCACCCAAAAAATTGGAAGATTTGAACCAAAAATTAAGGCAGGGCCCCCCCCCCCTACATCAAATGTGCCAACTCCACCATCCCCTTTCAAGTGATCTTCCGGCCTCCATGCAAAGATGACAACGTCCGATTCACAGCGCTGAAACCAATGCATTATCTGATCAACAGTTTGGGAGATATTGTTGTTTTTCTAGGTTTAATTCTTACAATTCCTAAATATTTTCCTGCAATAGAAATGCGGAGTAACTTTTGTAGTGAAACACCAATTCAAAATAATAATCAGTTTTCAAAAATATAAACATTGATGTCTTAATTCATACTTGATGAAAAAAAGTACCGATGTGAATAGAACATTGTCATTTTTGCACGGAGGGTCACTAGAGAGTACGCGCACAGTCTCTTTAAGTGAAATAGTAGAATACAATTTTGTGTGATACTTTAAAATAAACTTTCGACGTTCGAAACGCTACGGCTGTGAGTGTGAAATATACATTTCAAATATGAACCGAGGCCGAATTTTAAGAATTTGAGCGCGGCTTAAAATTAAGGCGCGGCACAAATATAGTCAGTTCCACTTAAAATTGTATTTAATTTTTCAAGATTTAAGCCGGCGCTCAATTTAAACCGGTTTTTTGGGGAATTTAAGACGCGGCTTAAATTCATTAAATTCGGACACCGGCCGATTAAGCAAATTTTTACGTGGATCATGGATTTGTCCAACTTAGGGTTCATTTTAATGTCAGTTAATATTTTATTCTTTCTTAACTTCTTTAATGTCCCAAGGTCATTAATAAATGGTAAAGATTTAAAATTTATGGGTTTTAAATGTGAAAACCAACTGTAAAATGTCTAAATCGATTTTTGTAATTGGCAAACCGTTGCCATACTGTCGTTTGGTCATTAGGTCGTGTACCTCGTGTACCTCTAGTTTCTGGATTTGTGTAAGGTACTGCAGAATAATATCTGATAATTGATGTCTCGTAAAATCTAAATCATAATACATAATCATGTTTTTGTTCATGTACAGTGTACAATGTACAACACCTTTTCAATACACAATAAATGTACACATTAAAATTGTACTTTTAAGGAAAAAGAAATTTAAAGGGAAAGTAAAATAATTTGGATAAAAGGGTATAATTATTATTTACTTGAATATTTAACATTTTAACATCTTTTTTTTTCTGTTATTTGACAGAAAAAAACAAATTAGAATTTTACAAGGAAAATATCTTGCCTAGATTTCAAACTAAACTGAGAAGTGAGCCGAGAACTCGGAATTCCTTTCAAACGTTTGCCTAAACTTCCTTCCTCTGCTCTTGAAGTTGTTAACGTTTGACATGGGTTCACCAGGACAGGGCCACTTCTTCTTAAATTATTATTATTACTAGAATTATTAATTGTTTTAGAGACTCCAACGATGCATGTAACGGCACCACCACGCCGGGTTGTTAAATTCGTACATCCCAGCATTCCAAAGAGAAAATAAACTTCTGAAAATAAAATAATTTCACCTTTTAAATTAACAATGTAGATTATGATTACAAAGTGATAATAATACTAAGGTATACATGTTTCCCTCCACTTTTTATACATGGAGCTATTTCAGGCACAGAAAGTTTTCGCAGAAATCCACCACTGTCCGCGGGTAGAAGAAACACAATATGATTATTTGAGATTTTGGTGGAATAATATTCAAATCCCAGTTTAAGAGATTTTTGTCCATTCAACGGCTTAAATTAAAACTCAACTAAATAGATTCATAATTTAGATGAACGCTACAAATATTAGTAGATAGTGATTATAAAATGGACATTGCTTTGAAAATATCGTTTAGCTGAACTAACATAATAAATGCCCGAGAGATTTTGAATGAATACATAAATAGAAAGTCCAGGGACCAAATTATTGAGTAGCTAGTCCAGGGACCAAATTATTGAGTAGCTAGTAGTTCAAACAACGTTGACTTAGTTGAACCACATCGCTTTTGAACCAGTTCCAGTTCAATAGAAGTGGTTCAACTTAGTTGAACCACATCGCTTTTGAACCAGTTCCAGTTCAATAGAAGTGGTTCAACTTAGTTGAACCACATCGCTTTTGAACCAGTTCCAGTTCAATAGAAGTGGTTCAACTTAGCCTGTGAAGGAAAATTATTTCTTACTATTCGTAAATTTGGTCCCAGAATGATAAGTTAAAAAAATTTATGAACTGACAAGTTTAATTCGTTATTACAATTAATGAATGTCTGATATGTTAAAACAATAAAAACTAGATGGTTGTCAGATCTAGTGGAGGAGGATGATCTACTGCTGCATGGAATGGAGCTGGATAGATCTAGTAGAAGAGGATGATCTACTGCTGCATAGAATGGAGCTGGATAACGAATTTGGCTCCGAAAGGAGATGCAAACTTTATTCCCACCTCCTAGTAAGCAAGGGTCAATTATAGATTTGTGCTCATAATCGCAGGCGTTCCTTTAGGATCTTGGAGGGGGGGGGGGGGTTGTAAAAAATTCAAATTTTTGTTTTTATTATTTGGAAGTTTATTTATTTCAAAAGGAAAATTACGATTATAAAGCTGGGAAGGGTTGAGGGGGTACATACACATTACAAGGAAGGTTAATGGATGGTCAGAATAACAAACAGTTGTCTCAAACAAATTTTGATTTTCGTAAATATTTTGAAAATCAACGGAAACAAAATCAGCAAATCAGCAAACAAATTTATTATTGTTTCATCGAAGAGAAAATGCTGAAAGATTGATCATCAACTAAAAGTTAAAATAGAAGATGGAGGCGAAGCGCCCTGATAGTGTAGTGGGTTATACTCCAGCATTAATTTGTATTTTTTGATTGATTTCAAAATTGCAGGAGACATGAAGAATCATGCTTAAATTGAATTAAAAAATTTAAAAATTGTTTCACCATCAAAGCAAGAAAATCCCATTTCAACGATTTCATTTGAAACGCACATTGCCATTGAATAGCCATCAAATATCATGTTTGGTAAGACACACTGTACTGTACTAAACGCAAACACTGTAGAACTATAAAAATATGTTGACCCCTGCCTTGAATACATTACAAGGAACCCCTAGGTTAGCCAGGTACAGATTCCCACACTGTGCCGGGTGCGCCAGGGGCAGTAGGCTCACCAGGGTCATTCTAGAGGAAAACAAACTATAGACTTTTACCACAGGGGAATACAAACATATAAACTTTTATTCCAGGCAGTGCTTAGGATCCATATCCGGATCCGTTGGATCCGCAAGATTTTGGCTTCCTGGCACTGGCTTCCTGGCAAAAATGTGCGGATCCACGAATCCGGATCTAAGGCCGGGGCAAAATGTCAAACAAAAACTGAAAAAGAACTGTTTTACTCTCAAAACCCAAATAAAAACTATTGAAAAAAGAGAGATTATAATAATTCCCGATTTCTGAATGTTTCATCAAGTTTTAGCATAAAAATAAGCCAAAAAAATAACAATAAATTTGAAACTTCTGCTTGTTAAATTCAGTAAATCTTTAAGAAATGACCTGGTTCCGGATCCTTTTTTATCAAGTGAGGATCCAGAATCCAGCATCCGGATCCGCATCAAAATTAAATGGATCATAAGCACTGTTTCCTGAGAAATACAAACCTACAGACTTTTACTTCAGTGGCATACAAACATATGGACTTTCACTACAATGGAATACAAACATACGGTCTTTTACAACAGTGGAACACAAACATACAGACTTTTAAATAAGAGGAATAAGAGGAATTTTACTACAATGGAATACAAACATATAGACTTTTACTACAAAGGAAATCCATATAGACTTACACTACAGTGAAATTCAAACTATAGACTTTTACTACTGTAAAATACAAACAGACTTTTACTACTGTGGAATACCAAAATATAGACTTTAACACAAGCTATAGGCTTTTACTTCTGTAAAATAGACTTTTAATACTTTTACAATACAAGGGGACTGTTGGGTCCCCCTTGGTTTTATTGTTTATATAAATGATGTGGGTGAATGTGCAATCAACATAACAACCATTAAAAAATTTGCAGATGATACTAAGGCAGCTAACAAAATTAAAGATGATCAAGATAGAATGAACAGCGATCCCTAGATAAACTGGTGAAGTGGGCTGAGGAGTGGGACATGCAGTTTAACATAAATAAGTGTAAAGTCATGCACCTGGGCAAACACAACCAGAAGTATAAATATAGCATGAATGGAGTTGATATTAAATCAGTAGAAGAAGAAACAGATGTAGGTATAAAGCTAGCCAACAACCTCAAACCTGGATTTCAATGTGAAGCAGCTGCTGGAAAAGCTAAATTTGTTCTCAGTCAAGTCTCAAGATCGTTTCACTACAGAGATAAGAGAGTGTTTTTGAATCTATATAAACAATTTGTGCGCCCACACCTAGAATTTTCTGTACCTGTCTGGTGTCCCTGGCAAGAGGGGGACAAATTGGTTCTGGAAAAAGTACAAATGAAAGCTGTAACAATGATTTCAGGTCTGCAAAGCAAGGAGTATGAGGATAGGTTAAAAGAGCTTGGTCTTCAATCTTTAGAAGAAAGAAGGATTAGATATGACATGATTCAAGTGTTCAAACTCATGCACAATTACGATGATGTAGACAGGAGACAGTTCTTCCAAACTGCAGGAGAAGAATCAGTTAGGGTTACCAGGCAATCTTCTGATGCATTAAATATACTAACAACAAGATGCAGGACTGAGGTTAGAAGAAATTTCTTCACCAACAGAGTAGCGGAGAAATGGAACAAATTACCAGAATATATCAAAAGAGCAGGAAATATTAAACCTTTCAAGTACTTATATGATAAAATACCAGAACAGCAGGAATGAGAAACCTATGAGTAAAATGCTGGATACATAAAGACGTCATCTCTATGCTCCTATCTGGAACTCTGATGACAAATCTACAACTATTCCCAAGTAAGTACTACAGTGGAATACAAGCATAAAGACTTTTACTACAGTAAAATACCAAAATATAGACTTTAACACAAACTATAGGCTTTTACTTCTGTAAAATAGACTTGTAATACTTTTACTACAGTGGAATACAAGCTTAAAGACTTTTACTACAGTGGAATACAAGCATAAAGACTTTTACTAAAGTGGAGTACAAACATAAAGAATTTTACTACAGTGGAATATAAACATATAGACTTTTACTTCAGAGGAAAACAAACTATAGACTTTTACTTCAGTGATATGCAAGCATAATTTAGACTTTTACTATAATGGAGTACAAACATATAGAATTTTACAACAGTGGAATACAAACATATAGACCTTAATTCCAGAGGAATACAACCATATAACCTTTTACTACAATGGAAAACATATAGACTTTTACTACAGTAGAATACAAACATTTAGACTTTTGCGAGAGGAATCCAAAAATATTTACTTTCATTCCAGAGAAAAACAAACATATAGACTTACTACAGTGGAATAGAAACTATAGACTTCTACTACAATGGAATACAAATATATAGACTTTTACTTCAGAGAAATACAAAAATAAAGACTTTTACTACTCAGAAAATCAAACTATAGACTTTTAATTCAGAGGAATACAAACATATTGACCTTTACATTAGAGGAATACAAACCAAAAACCTTAGACTAAAACTAAAGAGGAATACAAACATATAGACTTTTACTACAGAGGAATACAAACATTAAGGCTTTTACACAATGTAATACAATTATATAGACTTTTACTACAGAGGAATACAAACATTAAGGCTTTTACACCTTAAATTGAATTAAAAAATTTAAAAATTGTTTCACCATCAAAGCAAGAAAATCCCATTTCAACGATTTCATTTGAAACGCNCCATGATTATTTATGAATTGAAAAAAATGAAAAATTTAGTCAAAAGACATTTTTTCATCTTTTAAACTTTCCCCCCAAAAAATCATTTATTTTAATGATTTTTCAAGAAAATATTGACCCCTGCCCCCTCCTCCTAACCCTACCTAGGATTAAGAGCTGGTAGTTCTGGGGGTGGATCTATTGAAAGAACAGGAGCCTTCAACCCCTCGGCCCAGGCTACAGCTGCTCTGTGCCAGGGCTGTATTCTCTGCTGTGACCACATCTCCTCATCCTTACATTAGACAAATATTATTGATCGAATCATCATTGATTGATTGATTTGTTGATTGATTGATTTATTGATTGATTGATTGATTTATGTATTTAGTAAACTATAAATAAAAGTTGAGGAGAAATAGAAGATTCTCTTAAGAAATTTTAAAAAAGCGCGACTTTTTTAAGACGAATAATATTTTTCGGATTAGGGCCTTATTAAAAAGTACCTCTAGTGCAGTTACAACTGCGTCTACTGAGCCTTTCGGAAGATCTTTAGCCTTAGTAACAACCTTCCCTCCTGATTCACAATAATTCAAATATAAAGATTAAAGAACGTTTGAGTTCGGAACTTTTGAATAGAAAAAAAAACATATTTAAATTCAATTCAAATAAGTTCAATTTATTTTCGCTAAAAGGGGAAATTAACTGATTTTCCTGTTTACAGTTTTTAAAGATGAAAGATTAGTTTTGTTCAAGACGTATTAACCCCATTTAAATCAACATATAATCAGTGCTCATCCGTTCAAAAGGAAGAATCAATGAAAAAACGATTTGCTGATGTTGTTTTATTTACTTTAATAGAATTGACTTGTGTTCCTGTAAGCCTGTAAAGCCTTAGTTCCTGTTCCAGAATTCCGGACTGTGTTCCAGTTTCCGGAAGGTAGACCTGGGTCCGTACACCGTGACCGGCCAGGTGGCGGGCAGCTGTTAAACCGAAAACAGCTGGCCTGCTAGTGCCGCATAGGAATACCGCTAGAGGGAGTTGATGTGTGTTATTAACGGCAAGTCTGTGCTGACCACCGAGAAGTTGGAGACAAAGTTCTGTAGCTGCACGGCCCATCAATTCTGTCTGCTTACTCAATCCGAAACCGTGATCCTCTAATCTTTCCTGCAAGAAAAAACAATATTCAATCCAAAACCATGATCATCTAATCTTTCAAGTAGAAAAAAAACAATACTTAAACAGTTTTAAACTGATTCCCTGTAGTCTAACGCTAAGCTGTAAACTGATTACCTGTAGTCTAAGCCTAAACTGTCAACTAATTACCTGTAGTGTAAACCTAAACTGTTAACTAATTACCTGTAGTGTAAACCTTAACTGTTAACTAATTACCTGTAGTGTAAACCTAAACTGTAAACTGATTACCTGTAGTGTAAACCTAAACTGTAAACTGATTACCTGTAGTGTAAACCTAAACTGTAAACTGATTACCTGTAGTGTAAACCTAAACTGTAAACTGATTACCTGTAGTGTAAACCTAAACTGTAAACTGATTACCTGTAGTGTAAACCTAAACTGTAAACTGATTACCTGTAGTGTAAACCTTAACTGTTAACTAATTACCTGTAGTCTAAACCTAAGCTGTAAACTAATTACCTGTAGTCTAAACCTAAGCTGTAAACTAATTACCTCTAGTCTAAGCCTAAGCTGTAAACTAATTACCTGTAGTCTAAGCCTAAGCTGTAAACTAATTACCTGTAGTCTAAGCCTAAGCTGTAAACTAATTACCTGTAGTCTAAACCTAAGCTGTAAACTGATTACTGTAGTCTAAACCTAAACTGTAAACTGATTACCTGCAGTCTAAACCTAAACTGTAAACTGATTACCTGCAGTCTAAACCTAAACTGTAAACTAATTACCTTTAGTCTAAACCTAAGCTGTGAACTGTTTACCTGTAGTCTAAACCTAAGCTATAAACTGGTTACTGTAGTCTAAACCTAAGCTGTAAACTGATTACTGTAGTCTAAACCTAAACTGTAAACTGATTACTGTAGTCTAAACCTAAACTTTAAACTGATTACCTGTAGTCTAAGCCTAAGCTGTAAACTGATTACCTGTAGTCTAAACCTAAGCTGTAAACTGATTACCTGTAGTCTAAACCTACGCTGTAAACTGATTACCTGTAGTCTAAACCTAAACTGTAAACTGATTACCTGTAGTCTAAACCTAAGCTGTAAACTGATTACCTGTAGTTTAACCCTAACTTGTAAACTGATTACCTGTAGTCTAAACCTAAGCTGTAAACTGATTACCTGTAGTCTAAACCTAAGCTGTAAACTGATTACCTGTAGTCTAAACCTAAGCTGAAAGCTTATTGCTGGAACAACTAGCCCAGAGTCTGTAACGTATTCCGTCTCCATAACCTCTCCTATAAGCAACGAAAGGTTAAAGGATACTGAACTGTAATTAAAAATGAAATGAAAATAAGTAATTAAATTCTTTAGATTCCACGAATTAATGCAAGATTAAAGTGCTGTAAGAATCGCTTTCATGTATTTAAAATTTCCAAGATTTTACGTAACAGTCGCCAGGACATGTCGTCTTCGTATATCTATAATATTTAGCTTGTCTGAGTGTCTGTTTGTTTGTTCGTATCCAATAAACGTCAAAAATTTGTGTATAAAAGTTTTTTTTTGTACAATTTTTAAAATGCACAAAAAATAGTTTGAAATCCGCAAACATTATAAAAAAATTTATGCTATACAAAGAGAAGATGCTCACAGATAAAGCCACAATTAAAAGTTGATAGAGAAGATGGGCGGGAAGCGCCCTAAAAGCCTAGTGTAAATAATAAACATAAATAACAAACTAAAAAGGGCATTTTTTTCTGAGATACCACAAAAATGTGGGGCCCAATTGACTTAGCCGTTTGGACGCTTAATGGATACAAAAAATACAGACAGCCCTGACCACAAGACAAGTCATACATACATGTATGTATAGTGTATAGGTAAGCCGCCTAATTTTTATTAAAAAAAAATACAATTTTTGACATTTCTCTGAAATTGGATTTAATTCCATTTCGTTCCTTTAACATTTTGATTCCAGATTTACAAGAACCACGTGTTATTCCAGTACCTGTATCTATCTGTCTATACTCTGTGACGAAGTTACCAAGAATGTTTTCGTCGTTTTTATATTTTGGTTCTGGGGGTCGTCGGTTGCAGTCCACTAGACGAATTATATCAGGTTTGTTTGCAAATTCCTGATCAGATGGGATAAATGTAATAATTATTTTATCTTCAAATTCAATATTTATTATATTTTCAGAATTCATTTAAGGGAGAGTGTAGAGTGTAGACACTCTACGAGTGTCTGATACGATTAACAACGGTACCCTTTAAACCTAAGTTTGATCAAGGACGATTGAAATATCCTTGCTTTTCCAGCTGAAGATTAAATATTCTCAATTTTTTTTCTCCAAAGTTAAAGGGACTGTAAAGGAAAAATGAAAGGGGGTATAGGCTGAAACATGCGATTCTCAGGAGTAGAATTATACCTTTAAGACATCTATCTGCTGTTCCTGTCTCGACTCCCGAGAAATTGACATAAAACTGTGTCAAAATTATACCAAAACGTATATATCAGATAGAACTATTATATGTCTCAATCAACTCCTGAGATTCTAAGGTTACAGTCTATACACCCTTTCATTTTTCCTTTAAAATCCCTTTCAGGGAACTGCGGATTTATTTAGCACTACTAAAGGATAGTAAAAAAGGGATTATATCATCTTTATTGTTACTCAGACAAAAGATTTCCGTTGTGAATCGGACCGGACACTTCATACATGGAGGATAACTTTTTATTTGTCCCTTCCCTGATCAATCTCTGCTAGAATAGTATGTTTGTCGAACAATGCCAAATTTTTCTCGAAATCAAAATCCTCATTAATATCGAACACCGAGGGACTGAAACAATCTTCGTCTTTGTATCGACGGTTTGGGGTTCGAGTCCCACCCTTCGGCTGTCCTCGAAACTCCTCTGCTCCATGTTTCGGAGATTGTCGGGACTGCTTGTTCTCGAGGATATAGGACATTAGAGGCTGGAATCCTCCTGTCCTCTTATCAAGGGCCGAGTTTGTTCTTCTCTCGTCCTTGCCCTGAATTAATAGATATAATATCTGATATCTAAAAACAGATTATTTTTCCAAATTGTTTCGTGGATTAAACCAGTGCTTAGGATCCATTCAATTTTGATGCGGATCCGGATCCTGGATCCGCACTGGAAAAAAATAGGTCCAGGTCATTTCTTTAAGATTTTCTGATTTTTTTTTAACAAAAAATAATTTTCAAATTTTTATTTTTTTATTTTTTCACCTATTTTTATCCTAAAACTTGATGAACCATTCAGAAATGAGGAAATTTTTATAATCTCTTTTTTCAAAACTTCAGATTTGGGGTTTTGGAGTAAAAACTTTTTTTTGCAGTTTCTGATCGATATTTTCGCGGATCCGGATCCGGATCCGTTGGCCTGGATGATTGAAGGATATTATTATAAATTGTATGATATTATAATATATATACAGAGTGAGTAAAAAAAAGTTTGATTAGCGGCGCCTGGCGAAAATTGTACCTTTTTTGTGCAACTCTCCTGTATGGTGTTTTTTCAATATTTTTTGAAATTTTTTTTTTTGGTATTCCAATGGCTCAAAAAAATCCGCGAACCTTTTTTCTCTTAAAATCAAAAGTTCAGAAAATCAAAAATGTGTATGAATTAATTCTATTAAAATCTAAAATTTTATAAAGATTGAATCACAGAATCATAGAAAATTCCCAAAATTGTCATAAGAAAACTTTCAATTTTCAGTTCTAGTCTAATTTTTAAGGAAAAGTGGTTATTCAATGGTTCTTAATCTTCAGGTTTCAACTGAAAAACATAAATTTAAAACTTTAGAATATACTAAGAAGAAAGGAACTAGAAAATAACTTTTCCTTAAAAATTTACCAGAATTTTTTTTACAATTTTGCGAATTTTCTGTGATTCTGTTATTTTTTGAGCCATTGGAATACCAAAAAAAATTTCAAAAACAATATTAAAAACGCCATACACGAGAGTTCAAAAAAAGGTACAATCTTGCACCAGGCGCCGCTAATCCCACTTTTTTTGACTCACCATGTATATATCTTTAAAATATTGTATTAATGACATAAACAAAAATATATTAAATATACCCCATTCTTGGTGGGAGCAGGCTTAGCTCTTTTCTTCTCTGAAACAATAACAGTGCTGCGGGATTTTTCTGTTGATTCGGACAGAGCAACCTCTTCTTTAGTTTCTAGTATACGTAGATCCTATACAGATTAATCAAAGAATTAATCAATCAATCAATCAATCAATCAATCAATCAATAAATCACTCAAGTCATCAATCAAAATATTATAAAATCAATCAAATCAATCAAATCAAATAAATTAAATAAATTAAATCAATCACAGTCATAAAATCAGTCAATAAATCCATAATAATCCTCATTCATGATCATTTTGTTCCGATTAAACGATTGAGCATAAACTATCAAAACTTTCTTAGAATTTAATTATCTTTAAACTTTCATCAGTTTATCCAAGCAATATTTAGTTGCTAACGGCTCAATGATAACAAATGTAATCCAATCAAAAGAGATAGAGTTTTAACTTTTACTTTTCGGATCTGGATTCGAAACCATTAAATCCGGTTTCTGTGCTGTAAAGATAAAAGTTGTTAGTTCATCGTCGAAAAATACAAACAATCCACCACTAATATAGTGTAAACAATAAATATGTAACTTTCCTTATCCTTTTCTTTCCTTTTCCTTTTATTTCTATTTTTATATTTTTTTAGAATTGGGGGGAAATATTCCCACAACCTCTACTTTTAGAGGTTTTTAAATATTTTCTCCTGAAACACTTTATTATGTATGTTTTTGTTATATTTCATAAATAAAATTTTTTTTACTTACTTTACTTAATATTTCATACCTGGATATCTGATCCGTTTAATGTGATCGCAGGGAACTTGCAGGGTAACCCATTCTGGAAGGGATTTCTTAGTGATATAGAGGAGTCATCAAGGGATACCTAAATACAGATCAATATGATATCAAGGGATAACCAAATAAAGATCAATCTGATATCAAGGGATACCTAAATAAAGATCAATCTGATATCAAGGGATACCTAAATAAAGATCAATCTGATATCAAGGGATACCTAAATAAAGATCAATCTGATATCAAGGGATACCTAAATAAAGATCAATCTGATATCAAGGGAAAATTTTTTTTTTGAGACTATTGTGTACTTCATAATTATTACTCACTTCATCGTGAATTTCGTAATAAACGTGCTAAAAAGTACTCCTCGTACTATAAAGTTAAATTAGCTGTAACGTTCTGATTGGTTTCCGGATTTCCTCCCAAAAAAATTAGGATATTTCCAAAATAATGAAAATAATTAAGAGAAGGAAGCCTTTTTAGATTTAATATTACTTTATAACACGATCATAATGAAATTCACGATGATGTGAGTAAGAATGATAAAGTACACAGTAGTTTTATAAAATTGAAATCAACTTTATACTTTTGCTTTGTTTCAAAGCTGATTTGAACGTCTTAAAAAATTACCAATAACACTATTATTTTAACACGACGTGCTGTAAAGTTTTTGGACTTAAATTTTCTCTAAATCTCGAAGGTTCTCACCTCTTTGGATTATATTTTGTTCCTCACTAAAACTCGAAACAAAATAAAATCTAAAAAGGCTTAAACCTTATCAATAAAGAGAAAATTTCTGTCCAAAAACACTGCGAACAAAAATAACAGAGTTATGAATAGTTATAAATAAATAGTTCACCATAGAGATGATGCCCTGGAAGTGTCCCAGACCCCCGCAGTCAAGGGATACCCTGCACCCCACCCAGTCAGAACTCATTTTATCCTCTCTACATCAATAACATTTAAAGCTATATAAATATTTTTATCAAAAATTGTTGTAATATTTTCCTTTTTGGGCAAGATTTTATCTTTAATATGTTGTTAATTATAAGTTCGGCATCAGCTCCCAACAGCCAACTATATTATAGCGATAGGATATGAGTTGATTGATTTATAACTTGTCAAGTACATGTAGGTATGTATTGCCATTTGCCATTTGTGTACTTTCAAATCTATTTTGAAACGGAAAATGAAAAACAGCTGACTGTTGCGTCTGCGCAGAAAATCATGCCACATCAATCGCACTAACGTTTGCTTGAACTCCTTGAACTACGTTTATTGTTACATTATTTCATGGAACAACAACGATATATACGTCAATCAGCAATGAAAAAGGTTCTGCAGTTCTAAACAAATTAATTTTTTCAATGGAATTAAGTCTGTGTCACAAGCTCAGATTTTCTATATATCTTTGCAACCCAAAGATAATATANCTACCCTCCCGGATGAGTTTATCCCTGAGATTAGGAGGTCTCCTATAGGTAACCATAGGTGGATTTTGAAAAACCTCCTTAATCCAAGGATCCTGGACCATGGTTCTCCAATGTTTCTGTATGATGGAGGAGATACATACATAGGCAGCTGGGGATTATATGAGATATAGAATATAACTCGATCTGGTTTCTCCTTTTTCTCCACTTTCTCTAAAGCAACTTCTCTAGGTATAGCTTTAGCTCGGACTATAGCAGGATACGAGATACTGTATATATATGACATCTAAAGATCGCCTAGAGAGATTAGCATTTACCAAATGTTGGTTCGTATAGAGGCCTCAGTCTGGGATGGAATTCTCCAGGGTGAGATCTCTAAACTTACATTTAAGGTTATGGCTCAAATCTCTATAAAATTTCTGGCATAAATTTGTCCCAGAGATGCAAGCATTCTAAACTAACATTAGGTTAGATTGTGTCTAATTTCCCCAGATGATAAATACCCCTGGCCCAGAGTAAATTCATTTTTGTTCTTGCATTCAATCCAGAGTAATTCACCCTTAAGTTCTAGCATTCAATCCAGAGTAAATTCATCCTTATTCTAGCATTCAATCAATGGTAAATTCATCCTTGTTCTATCATTCAATCCAGAGTAAATTCATCCTTCTTCTATCATTCAATCCAGAGTAAATTCATCTTTGTTCTATCATTCAATCCAGAGTAAATTCATCCTTGTTCTAGCATTCAATCCAGAGTAAATTTATCATTGCATTAGCATTCAATCCCGAGTAAATTCATCCTTGATCTAGCATTCAATCCAGAGTAAATTTATCCTTGATCTAGCATTCAATCCCGAGTAAATTCATCATTGATCTAGCATTCAACCCAGAGTAAATTTATCCTTGTTCTAGCATTCAATCCAGAGTAAATTCATCCTGGTTCTAGCATTCAACCCAGAGTAAATTCATGCTTGTTCTATCATTCAATCCCGAGTAAATTCATCCTTGTTCTATCATTCAATCCAGAGTAAATTCATCTTTGTTCTAGCATTCAATCCAGAGTAAATTCATCCTTGTTCTAGCATTCAATCCAGAGTAAATTCATCCTTGTTCTAGCATTCAATCCAGAGTAAATTCATCCTTGTTCTAGCATTTAATCCAGAGTAAATTCATCCTTGTTATATCATTCAATCCCGAGTAAAATCATCTTTGTTCTAGCATTCAATCCAAAGTAAATTCATTATTGCTCTATAATTCAATCCAGAGTAAATTCATCATTGCTCTATTATTCAAACCAGGGAAAATTCATCATTGCTCTAGCATTAAACCAAGAGTAAATTCATCTTTGTTCTTTTTTAGTTACTAAGGGAGGAGTAAATGGTACTTGATATATGCAGCTCAACTACTTCTTTCGGAATTTGGTCCAAACTTAATTCTTTTTACCTTCCCTAAACTTTATTTTCATCCAACCCCCTCCTAGTACATAAAATCTTTAGCTCCTAATTTGAAAAAAATAAATTTTGCGCTCCTAAAAACAATTTTCTAAATACGATAAGATACAAAGGACTAATATTCAGGGGGAAATATATCACTAAATGAGTATATGTATAAAATGTTAAAAGTTTAATATTTTCAGCATCAGAAACTGCTCTCAAACTTTTGGCCTACGTGTAAAAACATATATTAAAAATATTACATATTTATTTAAATAATATTTCGCTGGCGCTGGATTTTCAAACAAATTCCTGGAAAATATGAAACTGTCGTCTTCATTATCAAAAATCTTTGAAACAGGAATTATGTTTTCAAAAGTAACTATCAGATCATAAAAAAATAAATATATGATGAAATATCAACTATATACGAATGCGCCGAAAAATAATCGATGATTAATGGTTCTTAAATCTGAATGTTTGGAAGGTTAAACAACATTTTCTTCAACCTACTTTCTAATTGAATTACTTGAGGTCCAGAAATATTAACAATTTAAGGCATTTATATGGTTATAATATCCAATAATTTAAAGGAACGTTTTTCAAGTGCCCTAGTGCAGTTAGAATTGTGTTTAAATTGCCAAACACTTGTCATAGGTATTTTATCGAACCATTGTCACAGTACTCATTTAATGACCATGCTCTGCAGTAGATTTGTTTCATTCATTTCTTCATCAGAAAATTCGTCAGAAATTTGTATCAGACTTTTGTTAAATCTTTTGAAATTTGATCAAAGGTCAGTAACTGCAAAAAATCTGAGAAATATTGCAGACAAATGCAACAAAGATTTGAATATTATCGACCAACGTATTGTAAACAATTGTATGATATTTCAAGAAATACCCTTGGAAGAAGAATGGAGGATTCCATTTTTTATGAACTAATTTCTGCAAAATACAATAAGATTTTTATCAATAGAGTTGACCAAGCTGAGATTGACGATATTATTAATTTTATATGCACGACCTAATACAGTATAATTTTGTTTCTCGTATTTAATTTTGATATATACTCTTTAAGTTCTTTTTTCTTCTGTTTAATTGTACCAATTATTTAAATTGTGTACGTTTACGAAATAAATAAAACTTTGTAATTAGAAGAGTCAATAAATTATGAATAATCAATTTATTACCAAATAATTTAATTATATCGGCCTATGATATAAATGGTGATAATTTAAGACATTATTTCGAGCTTGATTACGGTACAAGGATCACATCATTAACAGGTTCATAGAAACATTAAATGCATAAAATCAAGAGCGCTTCGCGCCACTTCTTAGAAGCACTTCCTGTGGACGATGGAAGGTCCGGACTCGTCATATTCCTGCTTGGAAATCCACATCTGCTGGAAGGTGGAAAGAGAGGCTAGGATAGAACCTCCGATCCAGACGGAGTACTTCCTCTCAGGGGGAGCAATGATCTTGATCTTCATGGTGCTGGGGGCCAGGGCGGTGATCTCCTTCTGCATCCTGTCGGCAATACCGGGGTACATGGTGGTACCACCGGACAGGACAGTATTAGCGTAGAGATCCTTACGGATATCAACGTCACACTTCATGATGGAGTTATAGGTGGTCTCGTGGATACCGCAGGACTCCATTCCCAGGAAGGAAGGCTGGAAGAGGGCTTCAGGGCACCTGAACCTCTCGTTACCGATGGTGATAACCTGACCGTCGGGAAGCTCATAGGACTTCTCCAGGGAGGAACTGCTGGCAGCGGTGGCCATCTCCTGCTCGAAGTCAAGGGCGACATAGCACAGCTTCTCCTTGATATCCCTGACAATCTCCCTCTCGGCGGTGGTGGTGAAAGAGTATCCTCTCTCGGTCAGGATCTTCATAAGGTAGTCGGTCAGATCACGACCAGCCAGATCCAGACGAAGGATGGCATGGGGGAGGGCATATCCTTCATAGATGGGAACGGTGTGAGAAACACCATCTCCGGAGTCCATGACAATACCGGTGGTACGTCCGGAAGCATAAAGGGAGAGTACAGCCTGAATGGCAACGTACATGGCAGGCGTGTTGAAGGTCTCGAACATGATCTGAGTCATCTTCTCCCTGTTGGCCTTGGGGTTGAGGGGGGCCTCTGTGAGTAGGACGGGGTGCTCCTCAGGGGCGACACGAAGCTCGTTGTAGAAGGTGTGATGCCAGATCTTCTCCATATCATCCCAGTTGGTGACGATACCGTGCTCAATAGGGTACTTCAGGGTGAGGATACCTGCAAATAATCCAGATTAAAACCTTAAACAAGATGGCATCCAGCCTATTAAAGAACCTCAAAAATGACGGAACAATAGTGAATAAATATAAAATCAATGTTCAAATACTAGAAATGAGAACAAAAAAACAGGTTTTTATTTGACTTCATCAGGTTGGATTAAGATTTTTAGATTAAGACTTATCTAGTTTTATCTAGTTTTGTTTTCAGCCTCGACATTTATCCAAGTAAAAGCCAGTTTACTAGTAGTATTTTTAGATCAGGACATTTTACTATTTTCAAAATAATAGATTGGACATTCGATAAACAGGATAAGAATAGGACATTTCATGGATAGGATTCATTAACAGAAAATAAATTTAGTAGAGAAACTTTTTATTCCTCAGATTTAAGATTTTTAAAAAAGATTTCAGTTAAGTTCGTTAAAAATATGACATCTTTGAGAAAATTTGATCAATTTGAGATAGATAAAATTTTAGAATATTTCATATTAATATATCATATTATTGATTTGCAATGGGGGTGTTTCCACTATTAAGATAATATATTATGTTATCAGTTTCAAGCAAAAAAAAAAAAATGTGAAGTAAAAATCCGGGAGATCGCAGAACAAACAAAAAAAAACCAGGAACACTTAATTATTTTTATTCTAATTGAAAAATATCATGTTTATGAAAATGAAATTTACTGTCTATGAAAGGTCCCTATACATTACAAAATTAATATATATGCATTTTATCAAAAATTTTATATCCCAAACTAATCACATTTTATAAAATTATGACATATTTGTTTCTAACAAAAACCATGATTTGTCTGTGCAAAAAATGCTTTTCTGTTTAAGTAAATTTTTCTTAAAATTTGGCAAATCAAGATCATGCAGTACTGTTAAAAAAAATCCGGCTCAAGCTAATGATTTTTTACAAATTCATGAGATATTATTAAGTTGGGTCTGTCCTAGTATACGATTTTTGGACCCCCCCCCCCCTCCCCTATCAATTTTGTACATGANTAAGATACTTTCTGGGCCGAGCGCTGCGGCTAGGATGGGCTAGGGGGCCGAGCGCTGCGGCCACAGGTTAGGTTAGTTAAGACCCTTTCTTGGCCGAGCGCTGCGGCTAGGATGGGCTAGGGGGCCGAGCGCTGCGGCCACGGGTTAGGTTGAATTGAGAAACTTCCTGTCACACCCATGTACAAAATTGATCGGACAGTCGCTTAAAACGCTTACAATCTATTAAGGGGAAGAAATCCATCTGTGTAATACCTGAACTACTCAACATTAAATAATTTTAAGCAGAGAATTAATTGGAAATAAGCCAGGATCCGAATAATTTTACGGATCCGCTTAGTTGCTGATTAATATCTCACCTCTCTTGCTCTGAGCTTCATCTCCCACATAGGAGTCCTTCTGTCCCATACCGACCATAACCCCCTGATGCCGGGGACGGCCGACGATTGACGGAAAGACGGCACGAGGTGCGTCGTCACCGGCAAAACCGGCTTTACACATTCCAGATCCATTGTCAACAACAAGGGCAGCTACTTCGTCATCACACATTCTAGTAAAAACAAATTGTGAAAATAAATATTTAAACCTTGATTAAAATAAATAACTGAAAATAATTTGAAATAACAAATATTTCAAAGAGACGCCTAATAAAGATAAAAATTCAAATCAAAGACTTCAAAGATATGAGTAATACTAAATTTAATCAGTTAAAACCGCAAAGTATGAAAGTGTTTTACAGGTTTTTGTCTTAATAACGCCCCCTTTTTCCACCTCCATGCACTCTCAAAACATTGTTTCAGCTAACCATGTTTTACATCAAAATAAATAAATTTATACTTTAGTATGGATCCGCGGGTCCTAACAGCTCTTGAAATAAAATTCCATATAATAAATATATTTTAATATAAAATTTGGCTAGAATTACGAAAAACTGCATTTACGGGAGTTACGGCGGCCGATGGAACATAATTCATAGAAAATTAAATCTTACATTTGTTCAAAATACTAATAACTAGAATAGGGGGCAAAACTTATAAATTTAACTCACTTATCAGTTGAAAAGATTGACCTTCACCGCTCAAAGCACCAGTTCTGAATGTATTAAATGATTGATAACTTGACGAATGCGCCCTAGTAGCTTTTCTATCCGGGCCAGTACAATGGTTTCCTCTGACCAATCAGAGTTCACCTATAATACATTCCAACCAATCAGAGCACTGAATTCCCGGTATGACCATATATGGTAAGAAACAAACTTCCTAGAAGAACTGGTTTTTGATTCAGCCCAACTTAACATTACTATCCTATCGGGAGAATCGGGACGACATTTGAGGTAAAAAACTCGAATTGTGGTCAATTTCTTAGACGTTCTGCCATAGGTAAAACCATAGTTACACTATGGTTACGCTTTACCAGAGCAGTGTAGATAGATAGATACGACCTATAGTTGTACCTATGGTTAAATGAATAAGAAATTGGCCAAGGTAGATACGACCTATAGTTGTACCCAGAGGCGCAACTAGGGGGGGCGGCCGGGCGCGCGCCCTCCCCTAGCACCTGAGAGGGGGGGCGCGCCCCCCCTGCAGAATGAAAAGAAAGAAAGAATGGCGAAAATCAGTATCATAGGAACAAGAAAACCAATAAGAGTTATTGTAGAAATTTTATTATACTATATGTTAGTTTTAAAAAATATATTTTTATCTTTCTCAATTCTAAAGGCTTTTGTATATTTTTTAATGTAAAAAAAAGTTCTGAACTGTATTTTATTTGTGTTGAGTTTATAGAGTACAAACTGTCTCAATTGGATACTGTTATTATGCAGCTATAGATGAGAGATTTGCTCCAATAACATCAAAAGCCATGGGTTTGCTTTACAATTGTTACCAGAGAAAATAGCTTCTCATACCCTGGCTGATCTCAAGATAAACTTTCAGAGTTTAGAGTTTTATCAGTCTTTACTTCCAAATCCTTTACTCTTACTGGACCGAACTTGTACTATACAAGAGCAACCTGGAGATGAGAGGGAGCAAAGCCATTCCAACAAATCTAGACGAAGCTTTGCAGAAAATAAATTCTTCAATATTCCCAAACTTATTCACCAGCAGTAGTAAAAACACTTCCTGTCTCTAGCTGTGAGGCCGAGAGGTCTTTTTCTTCGCTCAGGATGGGTTAAACACTTGGTTAAGATGAAGCATGGGAAATTCTTTGTAAATTTGCATCCACGAGCCCTACAATATTCCATTGTTGAAGGACAGATATTATTGAATTGTTCTTTTTTAATCATAAGAATTTTTTTTAAAGTACATTTTAATTCTCCTTAAAGGAATTGAAATGCCAGAAACTCTGATATTTTAATTCCCTTAATTTTATCTTTGCAACCCAATGTCGTAGATATCAAACTTTGAATTCTTTTGGTAAAATATTCCAAGTTTGAAATATCAAATATTTACTCCACTTGGTACAAAGATTTAGGGATTAGAATATTTGAGTTTGTGGCAAAAACTCAGTTCCAAATCTAGAGAAAATTCTGAACCTGGCAAAGTAATTGAGTCTTTGCCACAAACTCAAATGCTATAATCCCCTTATCTTGGCAGCCTGATGGTGTAAATCTTTGATATTTCAAACTTAGACTATTTGATCCGACAGAATTTAAACTTTGGAATATCTAAGTTCTACGACATTTAGATTCAAAGAAATGGAGATTAGAAAATCAGAGTTTGTGGCAGAGACTCAATTCCTTTCTAACTGATTATCATATTTGATAACTTACAAGATTTATCTTCTTTGACAGAAGTTCTATAAAATCGAAAATGAATTTAGATTATGAATGTTGGTTATCAATCATTAATTCAATAACTTCAAGAGAAAAGGTAACATTATCTGTCCTTTTTCAATGTAGATTAGACCAATTATATTTTGGAGACTCAAACCAATGTAATATTTTTCCCAATTCCTTCTTTTTGAGTTGATGACTATTATGCTTAAAGCTTGAAATAGTTTTTTTAAATCTTCAAATTTTAACTCACTCCAGGCTTCTGCAAGGTTCTTTGCAAGAGAGGGGGAGTCCAGAATTCCTCAACGAGTAATCACCGCCACCCAAATGTGTTTTGCGGCAAGCGCGCTCATCAATTGGTAATCACCGTAAAACTTTGTTCTCTGAGATTTTAATTTAATGCACTTTTAACACAATTTTCGACATAGCGGGGTTTTCAGATTTGTTTGGCCAACAAAAACTGAGAATCGAAAGGCACAGTTGATTTTAGCCGAATCTTAGATCCAAAATTCGCTCATTTAATGACTGCATTCCATGCATGATTGGCGTTAAGATACTAAAAGGTCGGGCTGCATGTTTACTAAAAATTTTCTCATCCCACGTGCAAAGTAAATAGATCCATCTCCAATAGCCCCCCCTTTTAAAGAAAAAAGTTTAAGCCCTTCACATGGACAAATTCCTGAATACGCCTCGTCCATCTTTTGTCAAACTTTGCCAATTAAGAAAAAATACCAAATTTTTTCCATTAAAATTTTTAACTATATTTTCTGCAGTTCAACTTAGAGAAGTCAGTCATTATTATAAATTTATTCTCACAAAAAAAACATGTATGTCGTACTTCTCAATTACAATAAATTTATCATTTAATTGGTTACACAAAACTTAACTTAAAACCTAAATAACTTAAGAAAAGCATTATATCGGACTATTAGGATTTTTGCAGGGTAATGCAGCTATAAAAGGAAAACATGGATAAGCCCCTTACTCATGGCAAACAAGGACATGGAAGGACTTCGATCAGAAGGTCTATAATGGCATGGGTTATGGACAGACAAAAGATAGTCAATTACTGCCAGGAGTTACTTACAGCATTGGTTAAATTCTACAGTAAAATTTTAAGTTGGTCTCCAGAAAAGGGGTCAAAAGATACTCTAGACCCCCCTTTTTTCCAAAGGGGGGTCTTCGACCCATTGACCCCCCCCCTGTATTCGCGCGCTTGCCTCGAGTTCCTCGGGGTAATATATACGAAACAAATTTCGAATTTTTTTTATCGATTTTTTTTTCATAATTAGATTTTTTAAATTCTACGGGCAACGCGGGGCATTTCAGATCGTAGTTAAAAATATAAAGATTGATATTTTGCCTGTTTTGCATTATGCTTTCTTTTCCTTCAGTGCTATTGCGAAGCTATTTGCATCAAAAAAATGAATAATGAACAATGATGCAATGTTCATGACTGACTATATTGACTGATATATCATTAACAAATATTTATTTTTACTCCAGAAAATGTGGCCTCAGAAAGGGTGTAAATGCCTGTAAAAGTTCATGAGAAGCTCAAGCTAGAAAATCTTCAGTTAGTACTAAACTTCGAGAACAACTACCCTGCAAACTTGAGGATGAGTACTAACAAGGAATAGCTTCTCTTAAACCTGACCATATTTTATTCACAGTGATAACCCAAAATCAATGACATTCAAATATTTATTTTTACTACAAGGAAAGTGGCCTCAAAAACTTCAGAAAATTTTAAGATTTATGAATCAAGACTAAAATAAATAAATTTTAGTTTAGATGGATATACAACTGTTTTAAAACATGTTATCGTTTTCTTACAACTTTACAAGGTATTAAAAGAATTGAAAAGATGTTTGTATTTGCATTCAATATTTCTATTATAACTGAAGGAATAATAATGTGGTATCTACTAAATCGAAAAACTCTGTTCAGAAAAGAAAATTTTGTAAAATCCGCAAACTTTTTGTTGTTTTTGTTTTATACTGTACAAAGATAAGATGCCCAGAGATAAAGCCACATTAATTAAAAGTTAAAATAGAAAATGGGCACGAAGCGCCCTAAAATTCTTAAATCCGGAAGTGGTGCAGCCCTAATTCCATTATGATAAATGATTATTAGTTATTGGGGACCTCACTTCAATACTTAATAGCCTAATATATAGGTTTTTAACTTAATTTTGTTTTGGCCAACAGATTTATACGGTTTAACAGAAACCATTGTTTTCAACATCATTATTACATATTATATATTATATATTATATATATATTAGGCTCTTCTATTTAAACTTTTAATTGTGGCTTTATCTGTGAGCATCTTCTCTTTGTACAGTATAAAACAAAAACAAAAAAAGTTTGCGGATTTCGTAATATTTTTTCTCGCATTTTCAAAATTTTACAAAATAAAAAACTTTTAAACACAAATTTTTTAAATTTCAATCATTCATAAACCTTCCCTGGGGTCCCTAGATGTCCCAAAAAAAATTTGGGCCCGATCAGTTCAGCCGTTTTGACGTTTATTGGATACAGACAAACAAACAAACAGACAAGCCAAATTTATATATAGATTACAAATTCGTCGAATGCCGATTTATTCACTGAACTAAATTCAAGGACTTCGGCAAAATCGTACCTTTTTTAAAATAAAAAATATCTCAATCAAAATTATTTATTTCGAAATTGACTCTACTCGGCACAGTTTCCGATATATACTATACATTATATACAGATTACAGTGGTACTGTCTCAATAAACATGGGAATTAAGAGGCGACATCAGACTTTATATATGAGCCAATTTCTAGAGTCTATAAAACTTAGCGAAGATATAAAAAGATAATAATAAATATAAACTGAGTCCGAATCTTAAAACAGAGTATCGAAATGAACCCCAGTGTCGGAAACCCGAGTATCGAAATTAAACCCAGTGTCGGAAACCCGGTTTCATGTATGAGGTCAGGCAGTTTTGTAGATACTAACAGTTTTGCTAAGAAATATTATTTCATGTGGTTTCTTAACATTCTCTATTCTGAAATCTACGCAAATGCATGACCCCAATGAGGAGACTCGGGATTTTGTTTAACGATATTCTCTTAAATTTCCGGCTCTAGAAAAAAAGTAAACATTCGGTACAATTGTTGAAATTTCGATATTCAGTGTCCGACAAAATATTTGAAAATTGTGAAAAATTTCTACAAAAACGTCTAATTTATAATGTTTCTATTAAATATTCCAACATGATGAAAATGGGACGGAACTTGAATTCCGTGACACATTTGACACCATGGAAAACAAAAATCCTATTGCCACTGCACCTATTGTATTAGCTATTTTTTTTCGAAAAGTAACGATAATAATAATCGCAGTCAGCCCACTAATCCGATATTTATTAAGGCTTGAGCTCCCCTTTGTTTAAGTTGCTCAGCATTAATTCAGTTTTGAGCTGAATATGAATCCAGACGAGGGAGTCAAGCTAATACGGCCACCGCAGGCCCTTCTGTGTACTCACCCGATTCTACTTGGTCCTGAGCCCGTTCTTTCCCGAATAACGTATAGAGCCCGTCCTAAAGACGTACTTTAGGGGACTATAATTTGGCCGCTAGATGTCTCACGCGAAATTCTTATCTGATAGATAATTCGTACGCACACAATCGGAGACATATCATCTGATCGACCATTGTACGTTAAAGAAATAACGGGCTATGCCGGTACCAATAGTATGCTGAAATACGCAAAATGTGGTTTTTGGATTACGGGTTGGTAAAATAATAAACAATAAACAATTAACAATAAACAAATAAAACAAGGATTTCATTTTACGAGGAAATACATAACACACCCAAAACATGGAGTATATTTTTCAATGAGGCTTTATACTCAAAGATCATTTTCATCCCATATAAATCTTTCTTTTTTCCAAATTCAGCGAATAAAACCTTTAAAAATACCTAACATATAGAAATGATTTTAAAAGCTGGGGGGTGGGGGGCACTGTACACTGTACAGTGTTCATGCTTGTTGTTAACTAGTTTTCTTATTTTTTCTTTTTTGATTTCTCCGTCGTTTTCTCTTCTTCTTCTTTCTCCTCCGACTCCTAAACATCAATGTTTGATTTCAGTAGCAGTGACATGCTAATAATTATAATATTATTATTAATAATAATAATAATAGTACTGTCTTCACACCACATTTTTAGAAAACGAAAAACACTAGACTGGGGCCAAGAAACTCCATTCCTGAAAACCACCTCTGAATATCTAAACTGTACTCATGCTAAAAGTCTTGTATTGCACCTGTTTTTTTTTGGCAATTCCTGTCAATTATAAAATGCGATATCCAGAGAAAAGAGTATTAGTTTGTAAACTTTTATATTGTTTAATGTAATTTTGCTTAAGACAAATTATAAATGATAAATATATATTAATAACCAATCAACTATTATTCCATGGAAATCAAGGCTGAGCCCTTATCATAAATAATTCGAACCACAATCAATATAATACTAATTCATTTATTTAGCAAAACATGTGCAAAAATATTATTATACAATTCTTCTGTTATACCCTTTCCAACGAGCTATAAAATGTTGAAATCCAATGACGGGAAGTAGGCCCAATTATAGATTTAGTCTGGTAATTAAATATAACAAGGTGCCTAAGGTGTCAGACAGTATGTATGAAAAAGCCCAGTGAGGGGCATGAATTATTTAGAAAAAATTATCGCAAAAATAACAGCATGGGGGGGGGGGTGTCAGAATAGGGTTAAGATTTTATTTGTCTCGAATTAATACCAAAAATATTAAGATCATGATTCAAGACATGGCATGCAATGACATGGCCAACAGAGTTAGAAATGGTCGGGATTCGAAAGAAAAAAAAATGATCTCGTAATTTTTGAAGATTTTTTTAAATTAGGAATTTTTTCCATTTTTAATACACATGGTGAAAGAAAAGAAAACAGGAGAAAAAAAACTTCAACTCCTTGATAAAACAAATGTATGAATACCTGATCTTTGTATTGACATGATTGCAGATCAACAGTTTCTCCAGTAACACGACATCTAGTCAAGAAATCAATTCAATAAAACCCCGGATGAAAAATTTTAGGTCAAAATATAATCATTATTTTTCAGAAATGTCAGACATCGTTTCTCAGAGTACGGCTTAATAAGAAGCAAATTAAAACTTATGGTCAATCAAATTTAAGTTCCAGGCCCCTTTAACAAAAGAAAATGTTTTAATAAAAGAGAACAAGGAGGAGTCACCTATGAAGGATTGCTTCTTCATATGCTTTCTTGACAGCTTTCTTCTCACTTGGTTTCCTGCTCTGAACTAGTTTGCATTTATCTAGCTCTGTATCCACTCCCAGGGGTTCAAGTTTATCTCTAAACAATATATAACTTATATATCGAGCTCTGTATCCACTCCCAGGGATTCAAGTTTATCTCTAAACAATATCTAACTTATATATCGAGCTCTGTATCCACTCCCAGGGGTTCAAGTTTATCTCTAAACAATATCTAACTTATATATCGAGCTCTGTATCCACTCCCAGGGGTTGAAGTTTATCTCTAAACAATATATAAAATATATATAGTAGTGGGAATATATATATATCTAGCTCTGTATCCACTCCCACTCTCAAAGCATTTAAAATATGAAAAGTGGGAATATTAAGAGTTATCCTCATAGTATGAGCATTTAGAGACAGACGACAGTACAGAATTTATTTATTCTAATTTCTAATAATTCCTGGCTCCCCGCAGCTTAAAATTATTGAGCAAACCAAAGTTATTTTCCAGGCATTTGTCCAAATTATACATTATAAATGTCATGTTTTAAGAATTTAAGGCCGTCATTAATATCTCATTCTTTGTTGGGAACCCTGTATGAATTAAAAATTTAGTTTCTCATTGCTAAATTTAGCTTTTTTATTGGAAATAACTGATTAGTTGGGTGGAAAAGTATCAAACTGTTTTTTTTTTGTATTTNGGGGGGGTTGGAAGAATTCTTTACAATATATTCTAAACAATACAAAATTCTAGGAACAGTTTAAATTTACGTGACATTTCATAAATTCCAAGTCAAAGAATGAATAAATGAATGAATGAATGCGTTAATTTTTGTGTTAATTAAGAAACTAAAGAATCAATTTGATAAATATACTAATGAATGGATGAATGAATGAATGCATTTCATGATCAACCTGGTGAATAAATAAATGAATTAATTGGTAAACTTATTGAATGAATGAATGCCGCGTAGAAGAATGACTTCTTAACTCTGTATGTACCTTGGTAACCACTGCCATGTTCGCTTAGTATCAAAGAATAAAATGAGGTAATGAGGTTTAGTATGAGTCTCCGCTAGGTTGAGAACCTCTACCGGAGGTACTGGTATAGGAACTCCGTTGTGGAAATATCCTAAACAGAAACATTTTTCTAATTTTTAAGAAATACATTTGATCCAGTACAACCAGAACAGCTCGACCCTGCTGGACATGATACTTTGACTGTAGGTTAATTGATAATAATAATAACAATATAGGCACTCCGTTGTGGAATTATCCTATACAGAAATTTTTTATAATTTTAAGAAATACATGAGAGCGTAAAGGGTACAGCACTCAGAGAAATAATCTCAATTTATCTAGTATTATTCAATAATATTTCTCTTTATCTAGCAGAATTAATAAGTTAAAATTCATCCATAAGCAATGATCTAGGAATTAGAAAAATTCGCTATGAGAAATAATCTCAATTTATCTAGTATTATTCAAAAACATTTCTCATTGTCTAGCAGAATTCATAAGTTAAAATTCATCCATAAGCCATGATCTAGGAATTAGAAAAATTTGTTATTTTCTGTTAGGGATTTCGTTACCCAATTAATCACTGTTGTAATTATTGTAGTAGTATTAAATCTAATACAGAGGAAAGAGTGCTCCAGTAAACGTGGGAATCAGCGGCCGATTTTAACTTGATAAACATTAAAAAATTGAAAATTGTTGCAATTGTTGCATTAGAACAAGTTTTTAAAGATTTCCCAATAATAATAAAAACAATCAACTATCAAAACCATCACTGCGTGGAAATCAAAACCGAGACCCTATCATAAATAATAATAATAAAAAGAAAAAGCATGGTCTACTTTCATATGCAATATGCATTGTCGAAAGATTGACGAAAAAATTGATCTTAAAACAATTTACTTACAGGGGAGTCTTCAGAGACGACTGCACGGAATTTATTCTGTCTGAATTCTTAAATTTATGACCCCCTATCAGTTGTCAGCTAAATTTGTTCAGCGCCAAATCAATTAGTTTGTCATTATAAACATTATTATTAACAGAAAGCCAAATTCAATCTTTCGATCATAATATTTGAATAGCTACAGGTCTTCATTAAAGTTTCATCCTTTGTGAGTACCCCCGTAGGTTGTATTTTAAAATAAAATATTCAGAAAGATCTAGTAAGGTGTCACCTGTTCTTGGCATTTTAGGATTAATAATGAGAGCAGGATACCAGGGATATCCTCGACACTTAGCCCACACTAGGTCCAGAGGTTCAAGAGGTATATTCAGAGCTCCGGCTCCGTAATAAGAGTCATCTCCTAAATGAGAGTTTGTTATCCACTAGATTGTCAACGTATTTTTACGCCATCTTTAATTTGGGGATTTCCAAGTACAATCTTTAAACCAATTCAGATTAAAAACGAACAGCATTAACATGAATAAAAAAGAGATTGGCTAATAGTTGTTCCATTCTATACAGAAAAAGAACAAAAGATTGTCCATTATTTGTTCCATTCTAGATCGAAAAGAGCAAGAGATTGCTCAACAGTTGTTAAATTCTAGATTAATAAAGAACAAGATTGTCCAATATTTGTTCCATTCTAGATTAACAAAGAGCAAGAGATTGTCCAATATTTGTTCCATTCTAGATTAACAAAGAACAAGAGATTGTCCAATTTTTGTTCCATTCTAGATCGAAAAGAGCAAGAGATTGCTCAACAGTTGTTAAATTCTAGATTAATAAAGAACAAGAGATTGTCCAATATTTGTTCCATTTTAGATTCAAAAGAGCAAGAGATTGTCAATTATTTGTTCCATTCTAGATTAAAAAAGAACAAGAGATTGCTCAATATTTGTTCCATTCTAGATTAAAAAAGTGCAAGATAAAGTCCAATTTTTGTTCCATTCTAGATTGAAAGGGGGCAAGAATTGAAAAATATCATAAAATCACCGAATTTTCTAGGTTGAAGAAGGGCAAAAGATAACCGAATGTTTGCCTCATTCTAGAGCAAGAAATTGCCCAACTTACTAGCCTAAAAAGTATATGACACTGCTCAGTGTTTAATCAAGATTGAAAAAGGAATTCCTTGAAACCTGTAAGTAATATGATAAAAAATATTCAAGTTTCAAGTATAAATCAATTATCAATTTTTTCCCATCTTAAGATGGTTTGCTTTGACCATTGATCAAGACCAGTTTGGGACAGAACAAGGCTTTACTTGATTTTTTGTTAAACCAGAATTGTTTGTTTACTAATTTACAAACTCACCTGAATCACTAGAATCCTCAGAGTCATCTGTAGTATTGTTATCGTTGGTAGATTCGGCACCTAAAAATAAAACCTGGTAAATGAAAAAGTAAATCACAATCTATACATGACATTTATATATAATTTAATTATAATTATAATAAAAAATGGAAAGCCATTATCCGTAGAAATCAAATATACGCAGTAAACTTACAGGGCGCTTCGCACGTCTTTTCTAGTAACAATTTGAAGTCGCGCACTTTTTCCTTATAACAATTTTATCTTTTAACTGTTGCCCTGAAAGTGGCCATATTTTACCATTCTCAAATTTTCGTGTAAATTTAGGCAATTAAAAAAAAACTTGAAATTTCTTTTTGACAACATTGTTAAACTTTGACCATAAACCTTCCCTGGGATTATGTGAGTTACCACTAGAAATTTGGGTCCGATCGGTTCAGCCGTTTTGACGTTTATGGGATAAAAACCAACAAAGAAGCCAAATATATATAGATCCAAAAATCATAAATACTAGGTTTATATGGCGCTTTGCGGTTCAACCGTTTTCACTTTTATTTGATACAAAAAAAAAGACAAGCCAAATATAAAGATACAGAAATTATTGACAAGATATACCTGTGTCTGTATCTGTATCTACTCCTCCTCCCTGTCTGTAGGTTTTAAACATTTCCTCGTGGATCTTAGGTCCTCCAACAAACCTCTCCGCCTTAGCTTCAAGAATAGATTTCTCCAGCTCCCGACCCTTCCTTGTCTTCCGCCCTTTGTACCCTTCACGAGGAGTTTCCGGTTCATGGAACTCAAAAGTATCCGGCTCTTCCGCCTCAGTCTTTTTCTTTTTTCCATCCTCGTCCTCGCTCTCCACCCTGTCTTTGTCCTTCTTATCCGTCTTATCCTCCGTAGCTGCTTTCTTCCGTGTGAATAGAACCGCATTTCTCCGGTTGACACCCGCAACAGCTTTCCCGTTTTTTTTCTTTTCCTCTTCCTCCTCTTCTTTCTTCTCCTCCTTCTCTTCCTCTTCCTCCTCGGCTACGCTTCGTTTCCTTTTCCTTCCCTTCCCGAGAGGTTTAGTGGATTTCTTGCCTCCCTTCTCCTCTGCAGTCTCCTCTGTGTTCTTATCCTCCAAACTGATTTTGCGTCTCAGTTTACGGATTTCAGAATTCACAATCTGTATTCTCTAGAACATAGATACACCATGAAAACTAGTAACTAGCAGTGAACAAATATGTAAATGCTTTTTGTTGACAAATAATGATATTTAAAAATAACATAATAATAATAATAATAATCGCTGTCAAACCTTCAATCTAGGTTATAGGCTTAAGCATAAAAGCATAAAAGAAAAGTTTAAAATAATAACTTGAAGTCCAAAAATAGAGTATAAGAGAAGAGTATAAAAATCTAAACTTCAAAACAAAAATTTGATAGTTTTTCGTTGCTTTAGATCAGATAAAGAATTCTTTCGATGGTATATCGGTTATAAATGATATCTTATGTTATTACCTAAGTAACAGGTTATTCACCCAGCCCTTGTTTTTGAAAGCGTTGGGATGAAAAAGTTGAAAGGAAATATGATTGATTTTCCGAAATTAGAATAAAAGATATAAAAATATTTTTTTCGTTCCATGCCATTTGGCTAAACTTTTTAAAAAATTCACCGCGCACCTCCCTTTAGAAAATAATTTAAACCTTTTTCTTTGCAGCCGGGTGGTGAATCTGTTGAACCTTGTCACTACAGACCAACAACTTCTCCAGGTGTTCCTTCTTGTTCATCTTCTCCCTCCCCTCGTCGTTCAGGAAGGTGTCCACCTCCTTCATCAACTTCAAATCAGACAACTCCTCCTGATCAGAAAAGTTTTTGTAAATAAAGCAATTTCAGATTAAAGAATTGTTAAGATATTTTAGTCATGTGACAGGTTAAATTGCGTTTTTGGTTTCTATTAAAATAATAATGAAAAAAGATATTTTTAATATTTTCTATGCTTCAAAACATTTTTTCCTTTAAATTGAACTAGTTTCAAAATTATTAGATACTTATTGCAAACCGTTAAAAATCCACATTCTTCAGCTGAACGTGGAAAATTCATTTAATAAACAGTTAAAGTCATTTTTAACATGATTATGCCATGATCAGTCAAGAAGAACATCTTGTCTTTTTGAAATATTTAAAAATTTATTTAAATTTTATTTAAAAATATAGTATTCATGAAACAAAAATCATGAAAAAAACATTGTACTAGCGTTACCAAAATGTGATCTGCTTTTTTGCTAAGGTTGTAAACGATTAAATCAATACAATTGAGACGAAATTTTATTTTAATTGTTTACAATCTTTTTTCGAATTACAAGTTTAAAAGTAATTCAAAAAGAAGCTTTTTTAGTTGTTAGATTCTCTTGACTTCTATGTTTAAGTGTATCCATGCTGTTGAACAGCTTGATTTAAATCAAAATTTAAATTGAAAGTCGTCTTTATTGTATTGATACATACGCCTACCACCGTATGAAAATTTAAGGAGATTTTAATTTATAAAATAAAGCTAAAGTCTGAACATTCAACATCTATGTCAATTTAAAGATAGAAAAAAAAGTTTTCTAATACACACTTTCTCATTGAATAGTTGCGGAAAACCAGAACTATCTCTCATTGAATAGTTTCGGAAAACCATAACTATCTCTCATTGAATAGTTGCGGAAAACCAGAACTATCTCTCATTGAATAGTTTCGGAAAACCATAACTATCTCACAGTTTTCATGATTATTGAGACACACTATATCTAAATCTTATGTTTAAAAAAAAGATGTAAATACATCTGAGGAGCTGGTCTTAGTCGTAAAATGAAACCCTGACTGCAAACTTCTATGGGTAACTTTATTTTTGTATTTTTATTTTAATTCCAAACCTATTATATTCAATGAGTGCATACTCATTTTTATTTTTTGTAACATGTTTTGTCCGCTTGTTTACCAGTGTACAATTACATCATTAAGCAGTAGAAAATATGTTCTGCTGGAAAAAATTCATAAAATGCGTATTATTTTTTAAGGATATTTTTTTGGAATAAATCACCCAGGAATAGGAATTTTGTACAGGGTTTTATTTTTTAGGGACTAGCTCCTAGGACGAGTTTAACATTTATTTTTCACCTGTTCCTGTGGGTTGGAAGGATTATCTGTCCCCATCTGTCTAATCTGTTCAACTTGTCTTCTTAGCTGTCTAAATATTATATCATAAACTGCTTAATATGTTAGGACAGTTTTTTGGCTGAATTGAACTTTTAAGGCAAACATTTAAAATTTTTAAGGAAAATTACGAGATTTTGAGGACAAGTATGCCTATACAATTACAGCTGATCAAATGGCAGAACCAAATTGGCTGAAATATTTTATATATATAGATATTATATATACAAAAAGAGAAGAGCTTTATTTAAAAGATGAAGTGATCTTCGTAATAAGCGATACATATTTTCCATAATGGAGAAATCTTTGTTTTTCATAATATTTGGTCATGGCATTTTATATACTCCCCCCACCCCCAGTCCCCGCCCCCTTAATTACTCTACTCCTTGAAATCCAATCCTTGTAACTAGCAAAACTGATAAAACTATCAAAATACAAATCATATTTTCTCCAGCATTTTTTATTTGTAATAAAAAAGTTAACATTTTAACATGAACAAACTGGAACGAATATTTCTCAAGAGAGAGCCTGGGGGAAGGTTTTCCAAAAACATTAATTTAGTTATTACTATCTCGCACTCACCGAAAGAGTCGTATTTGAAGTCTGCAACCTTTTTCCTCATTGTAGAGAAGTCCATTGGTTTCTTGATGAGGTCTAGGTAATCAGGGACCTCTGCTGGGTCAACTGGGTCCCTACACATATGTTAAATTGACCCAGAGCCACCGAGCTTTCAATAATTATTTAAAGGGACTGTAAAGGAAAAATGAAAGGGTGTAAAGGCTGAAACCTGAGAATCTTAGAAGTTGAACGATACCTTTAAGACATCTATCTGACGTTCCTGTCTCGATAAAATTGACATAAAACTGTGTCAAAATTATACCAAAACGTATATATGTAAGATATACGTCCGTATCACATGACCAGAATTCCTTGTAATGGCAGTGCAGTTGATTGGTCACGTGATACAGACGGAGACACGTGACAATAATACTGCACTGCTATCGGTTAGAGTTCTGGTAACATGTTCCGGAGGCATAAATAATATTATCAATTATATCTATTAAAAATGAAAAATTATTGAATTCAAATAATAATAGGAGAAAACTTGAGTTTCTCAGGCTCCTCTGGGATAGCGTTGATTTCAGAATGGTTGCGTATTTTTTTAATATGATCTGTTTAATACTACGAATCTTATACGTTTTGGTATAATTTTGACACAGTTTTATATCAATTTCTCGAGACAGGAACATCAATAAACTCCTGAGATTCTCAAGTTTCAGCCTATACCCATTTCAATCTATTTTATAAGATAAAAAATTTCGATTTCTTTGACGTGAGTGCGCTAAAAGCAATTATGAATTAACGCATGCAGTGCTTAGAATACGTTAAATGTGTATGGGGATTGGGGATCCAGACCCTGAAAAAATGGATCCAGATCCAGGTAATAAACATTTCTCTAAGATTTACTGATCTTTAAAAAAAAAAGAATTTTCAAATATTTTTTTGGCAACTTTTCATGGTATTACTTGATAAACCATTTATAAATAATAAGTTTTTAATACTCTTTTTTTCAATAGTTCTTATTTAGGCTTGTAAAAAAAATGAATGAAAGTTACCCGAATATATCCTGTGTATCCTGTTCTTGTAGAATATCTATTATCCGACCCAGGAAGTAGTTGAACGGATCCAATTCTTAAAAAACATGGAAATATGAAAATTAGAAAAACATGGAAATATGAAAATTTGAAAATTAGAAAACATGGAAATATGAAAGTTAGAAAACATGGAAATATGAAAATTAGAAAAACATGGAAATATGAAAATTAGAAAACGTAGAAATATGAAAATTGGAAAAACATGGAAATATGAAAATTAGAAAATTAGAAAACATGGAAATATGAAAGTTAGAAGACATGGAAATATGAAAATTAGAAAAACATGGAAATATGAAAATTAGAAAGCGTAGAAATATGAAAATTGGAAAAACATGGAAATATGAAAATTAGAAAAACATGGAAATATGAAAATTAGAAAATTAGAAAACATGGAAATATGAAAGTTAGAAAACATGGAAATATGAAAATTAGAAAAACATGGAAATATGAAAATTACAAATCTTCTTAGAATTACATAATTTTCTCTTCGTTGTAATTAAAGAGTTTGTTAATAAACTTATTTCAAAATTACCTAAAACTTTGATATCAGCATCAAGAAGAACACCTTCCCGTTTTCTTTGCTCTCTCTTTCTTATTAGTTCACAAAGTAATCTAACTCTTTCAAGATCCTAAACATACTCAATAGTCAGATTCACAACTTTATTGTTGAAAGATTTATATAATTAAAAACGAAAAAGAAAACATCAATTTTTTCTTGCTTTCATGATGAAAAGGTTAAATTTGCAAGTTTCCTGTCTCGTCTCTGCTGCATAAAACCACAATCTTTTAGATAGAGACCCTGGAATCGAAAATTTTGAACTATTTCAGAGATGAAAACAGGAATATCTCAATTAATTTTTCTCAAAAATAGGTTTAATGGGTTCCGTTGTAATTCAGACATATAAGTCTTGAAATGTTCACTACAAATTTCGTGGAGAGTCCCTTTAGATTCGAAATATTAATTTTCCGCGAACACTGCCTTTAAATAAATCAAAACCATTGTTAACCTGTCTTAATCTTCTCATCTTCCTTCTCTCATCCGTCATCTTCTTGAAATCTTCCGCCGCCTTCTCCGCTATCGTCAACACGGTCTTTTCCACCTTTTCAGCCTTCTCAGTTTTATCACCCTTTCCCGTCTTCTCCGTCTCATTCTCTTCCTTCACCTTCTTCTTTTCCTTCTTCTAAAAATATAAAAATAGTAAACTTGTTCTCCAGAGGGCATCGTTTTCTGTAGGTAATTTTTTTGTGAAAACAATATTTACCTCTCTTCCCCATTTTCCAAACAAATCCATCTCACTATATATCTTATTTTAGAAAATTTTGTCAAATATACGCGTTTACTCTTATAAACACAAAGAATTTGCCACACCCAACATCAAAGACCATGTAAAGGCGGCCCCAAATACCAAAGACCATGTAAAGGCGGCCCCAAATACCAAAGACCATGTAAAGGCGGCCCCAAATACCAAAGACCATGTAAAGGCGGCCCCAAATACCAAGGACCATGTAAAGGCGGCCCCAAATACCAAAGACCATGTAAACCGTAAAGTCGGCTCCAAATAAAGTGAACGTAGAATCTGCCACAAACATTAAATTGAATTCTTACACCTGCCACAAAATCTTAGATGAACCACAGATTTAAAGGGACTCTGCTCGCGTAATAATTTGAGACCTACTACTGAACTGTGCTTGCGTAATGATTAAAGACCTACTACTGAACTGTGCTTGCGTAATAATTAATTAGAGACCTACTACTGAACTGTGCTCGCGTAATAATTAGAGACCTACTACTGAACTGTGCTCGCGTAATAATTAGAGACCTACTACTGAACTGTGCTTGCGTAATAATTAGAGACCTACTACTGAACTGTGCTCGAGTAATAATTAGAGACCTACTACAGAACTGTGCTCGCGTAATAATTAGAGACCTACTACTGAACTGTGCTCGCGTAATAATTAGAAACCTACTACTGAACTGTGCTCGCGTAATAATTAGAGACCTACTACTGAACTGTGCTTGCGTAATAATTAGAGACCTACTACTGAACTGTGCAAGTGTTACAACTGATAAATCTCAAGAATGATCTGAGATTGGAAATTTTGAGCGGAACGCTTGATCTCGAAATCCAATGTGGGCACTTATAAATTTTAGGATCAATCCCTCAGTTAGTTATCCCCGCAAGGTATGACCACGGAATATCGAAGATTAATCCATAGATCAGCAGAATATGCATATCTATGCTTGAAACTGAGATTTACAACACAGTTCTGACTTCAGATCATTAATAAAAAATATAAACAATATCCCTAGAGGCATTTTCTGATTTAATGAAGAGAATTCCTTTTTTATTTACTGGCTCTTAATGCAGTATTTTCTGCCTTTTTTAAAGAAAAGTACATAACTTATGAAAAGTACTATACAGTACTATACTAGTAACTCAACCTTTGAAGTTCAATTCCTCATCGGTCCGTAGACGGTATATTACTATACATTTACATCCGAATAAAGAAACTGGAAATTAACGTTTCATTCTCTGATTTTGTTCGCTTTCATTATTTAATGCTCCTTCTCTTCTCCTCTTTTAAAAAATTTATATTCATTGATAATCTTGTCTCCTTAAATGTTTTAACAATTTAACATTTCTTTAGTTTATTAATTATTCCTCACTTATAGAATATTCCGAATGATTCCCTTTAGCCTACCTTTTTCTCCTTCCTAACAGGAGACAATTGTTCGTTTTCTGATTCTAACTCCTTAATCCGGTCTCCTCGCTGTGATTGAGAATTCTTTTGTGGAGTCTCGATCATATTCTTCTCACACTGATCAAACAAGAATATAAAAACTTGGAGAAATGTCAGATTGAAGGAGTTAAACGTAACCCTGAAGTAAGTTGCAACAACTAAGATAAAGAATGAAGGTCTACATTTTTTTAAAACTTTTTTATCCAAACTTTCAACGGACGTCTTTTAAACCTCTGATTTCACAAATAATGCTAATGTTGTTTTAGTCAGATAATTTCTTGAAAAAATCTCAGAACGTTTAACATCCCCCCCCCCCCCTCCTGTTTCAGAAGAAGGAACACAAATAATTGTTTAGAAATTAGAAATCCTCATGATGATGGAATGGATCCTAAGCACTTTTGTATATTCTTTCCTTAGCAAACTGTAGCCGTCTGATAAGAGGAACTCCATTTCTAGTTTGACGCTTGAGTGTCCAGTACGCCATTAACCGTTGAATAAACTGGTTTTTCTGCAGTACGTTTACAAATCAGAAACGGTAGTACACTTAAATTAAAGTATGGGGGTTTGGGAAGTGTACTACATGAATAATGAATAATGTGGTTTGATAGAATTATCTTAACCCTAGCACGATTGTGGTATTTACTAAATAACTTAAAGATGGCTGACATATAACACTAAAACTTCTTCACTTTTTCAACTTTAACTTTGTGTCATATGTTAATATTTGTCAAAAGTAAAAATAACTATTTTTGAACTTTTTTCCGACGTACCTTTTGAACTGCTTAAAAATCCCCCCTTGCACCCTAACCATTAAAGAAAGCGGTCTAATTTTTTAATGAGCAGGCCTGGAAATGTTGGTCTAGGAACATGTATTACACAACCTTATCTCAAAGAGAAAATCGAGGGGGGGGGGGTTGGAAACCCCTCCCCCCCTAATCCAAACTTTATTACAGAAAAATAGCTCAATAGGGATAGGGTTAGTAAATATTGATTAACTTGTAACTTTAGAACTCTATTAATTTAATAAAAGCCCATTTTTAATTCTTTGAAATCCGGCTAAAGCTTCTAATCCGGTCAATTAGGTTGATATAAGTGTGGTTTCAGAGAGTAAATAGAGAATTAAACTACTTCTCTTGTGCGTTGATTACAGTTTAAGAGAAATGATTCAACTTAGTCTACGTAGTTCGACTACTTTCTTCTATATTTCATTGAATTTGGTAATCCTCGGAGTGAGAGTCGAGACCCAATTTTATTTAAATAATAAAACTCTGAATTCTGATTTGAAAATATTCCTTCTGAATATCTACTAGGGAAGCTATTTTCTGAACCTTATCCCAGGGGCACTGAGGACTGAAGTTCATTAATCCTCTGAATCAAAATCAAAGTCGACAAAAGAACAAAATTAATAAACAATACAAAGAATTTTTTTTTTTTTAATTAATATTTTTATCGCCAAACAACACGTTTATATGAACAAAAAAACTAAAAATTTCTAAAAATCTGAAGGAGCAATATGGACTTTCAAACTCAATTTAGACATTTGAGATACAAATTTTTAAAAAGTGATCTTTGTTGATTTTTTTCCTGAATAAAATTGGAAGAGGATGATCATCAACTGATTTCTTTGGAGATTTTTTATTCTTAGATGTTACTATACCAAGGGCTGCAACATCATCCAACCTTAAATTTATAAAAAATTATTATGATTATGTTTATGAAAATAATAATAATAATAGTAATAATAATAATAACAGTGATAATAACAGTGATAATAACAGTGACAGTGACAGTGACAGTGACAGTGACAGTGACACTAATAACACTAATAACACTAATAACACTAATAACACTAATAACACTAATAACACTAATAACACTAATAACACTAATAACACTAATAACACTAATAACACTAATAACACTAATAACACTAATAACACTAATAACACTAATAACACTAATAACACTAATAACACTAATAACACTAATAACACTAATAACACTAATAACACTAATAACACTAATAACACTAATAACACTAATAACACTAATAACACTAATAACACTAATAACACTAATAACACTAATAACACTAATAACACTAATAACACTAATAACACTAATAACACTAATAACACTAATAACACTAATAACACTAATAACACTAATAACACTAATAACACTAATAACACTAATAACACTAATAACACTAATAACACTAATAACACTAATAACACTAATAACACTAATAACACTAATAACACTAATAACACTAATAACACTAATAACACTAATAACACTAATAACACTAATAACACTAATAACACTAATAACACTAATAACACTAATAACACTAATAACACTAATAACACTAATAACACTAATAACACTAATAACACTAATAACACTAATAACACTAATAACACTAATAACACTAATAACACTAATAACACTAATAACACTAATAACACTAATAACACTAATAACACTAATAACACTAATAACACTAATAACACTAATAACACTAATAACACTAATAACACTAATAACACTAATAACACTAATAACACTAATAACACTAATAACNAAGTGTAAAAATTCTGAATAATAATAATTTAAAAAAGATTTACAGAATTTTACATAAATTATGTATAAACATACAATTGTACAGTGAACACATACCTTGGTTTTGCATCACTATCTGCCGGGGTGTGCTGTTCACAGAATGCACTTTTACGAACTGTTATGCTTGTACCTCCTGGACCAGACTCATGTACAGTCTCCATCTAAACATAATGAAGTAGTAATCCCTGTATGTATATCTGTTTATTTGTTTGTTCGAATGACCGATCATAACTCATGAACCTCTTGACTGACATGCCTCAAATATTGATTGTTAAGCTCAATGAAACTACGGAAATGTTCTTGGCCAGGTTAACAATTCTATATTAAGTGAATTGACTTTTAGAGAGAGTTTATTTTCCGGGCAAAGCTGGGTTCTTTTATCATTGCAAAACAATAATAAATAAAAAAATCAAGCAAAAGAAACCAGCTCAAATTGGAAAAAATTTCGTGGAATGGATTACAGAAGTGTTTTTGAAAAATGCTGATGCTATGTTTTTGCTAAGAAGGATAAGGGGAGAAGATCATGAGCATTTCCTTTTACTACATAAAAATTACCTTCATATGTAGACCTGTCAGTAACCCGCAGGTGACATGAAATATTACCTTCATATGTAGACCTGCCAGTAACCCGCAGGTGACATGAAATATTACCTTTATATGTAGACCTGCCAGTAACCCGCAGGTGACATGAAATATTACCTTCATATGTAGACCTGCCAGTAACCCGCAGGTGACATGAAATATTACCTTCATATGTAGACCTGTCAGTAACCCGTAGGTGACATGAAATATTACCTTCATATGTAGACCTGCCAGTAACCCGCAGGTGACATGAAATATTACCTTCATATGTAGACCTGCCAGTAAACCGCAGGTGACATGAAAGGCAGCAAAACATGAATTCTTATGACACTGTATACAAGCTCCTACAGTTCCTTTCGGTCTACACACACGACAGGGTAGCTTCCATCTGTAATAATCATCAAAATATGATAAATCTATTGAGGAAAAAATTGAATAATGGAAATTGTTAAACGAGATGAAATAGATGAAATAATCTTGATGTAAAGAATGCATCAAGATTTGTTAATCGAGTTTTAGAATTCCATTATTACATATTATATCATTTTGTGAGGTTCCATGAGCACATACCCAAGGAAATATCTTTAAAAAACTCCTGGTGAAATATGACTATTACAGTTATTATATAAATAAATAAATACCTAACCTGAGGGTATATTTGCTATACTATCAATAGGTTCAAGGTATACAGTATTATATAAATAGATAAATACCTAGCTGAGAGTATATTTGCTATACTATCAATAGGTTCAAGGAATACAGTGTTACATGAATAGTATAAATACATAGCTGAGGGTATATTTGCTATACTATCAATAGGTTCAAGGAATACAGTATTATATAAATAGATAAATACCTAGCTGAGGGTATATTTGCTGTACTATCAATAGGTCTAAGGAATACAATGTTATATAAATAGATAAATACCTAGCTGAGGGTATATTTGCTGTACTATCAATAGGTCTAAGGAATACAATGTTATATAAATAGATAAATACCTAGCTGAGGGTATATTTGCTATACTATCAATAGGTTCAAGGAATACAGTGTTAGCAAATCTAACTTCAGGAATCCATAGAGCGCACACTACATGAGCCCACCGTCCATCGTCCGTCTGTTTGAAGGCTCCACCCTGCAAATAAATGTAGTTAAACTGAGCTCAAAAATTAAATATTAGTAATATGTTAGTTAGTCTGTTTGTTTTTAGTAAGTTCGATAGGAACATGGGAACCGATTTGCCTCAAATTTTGATTGGGGAACTCGTTCTAACCATGGAAATGTTTTTGTCTTGGTTAAAATAATCTTAGTTTAGTGAGTTGACTAGCAAAGAAAAGGTTTAGTTTCCACGCAAAGCTCGACTCCCAACCAACTAGCAAGTATAAAAAATAAAGCTGTTCATAAACGGTGCACTTTTATTATATCAAGTCGGTCATCCCCAAAATAGTCTATGTAATGCACGTTTTTAAATTTTGCACACAGCTAGCAGATTCTATGAGAACGTTAAATACAGAATCAGAATTATGTGACCTGCACACTGGTTTAAAATTCGGTGATGGTGATGGACCAAACCTCTGTAGAGTAAAAAAGTAGATGTTAGTTCCACATTTATTGAAAATATATTTCGGTCTGGGTTGAACCTCGTCAGTTCTTGAGATTGTTTCTTAACAAAACTTCAAGCAAAATTACATATGCGTTCATCAGCTATAAATTTTCATTAAGATATCATGCTGATTTAACGCCATTTTTACTGTTTAAAAATAGATTACATTTTTTATAAAAAGTTTTTGTTAACAATAATTGTATATGCTTATAAATTATAATTGTATTTGTAAAACAAAGTTTTCAGTTTTCATAAAGAAACTTTAGATATTCCCTGAAATGCATAATGTATTAAATGATTTGCAAAGTTTCATTTTTTTGTGTTCTATTCTTGTTAGAACCACTGCTTTTATTATTAACAATTTTTTAAAACAAAATTGTGAACACGACATTTGTATGATTTGTATAATTTTAAAATTTTGCTTGAAAAACGCGAAAAAGTTCACCAAGGTACACAGAAAACCAAATATAAAAGATGCGGCTCCAAAAATAATTGAAGGATAAAAAACATTCCCGCAATTTATCTCAAAACCGTCAATTTAAAAGTCCAAGCTGTGGATATAGAGCTTCGTCGATGTAGCTTTGCGCTATCCAAACCAGTCTGTGTTTATAAATTCCAAACCACAGTTTAAATAAACGAAGGACAAAACTTTTGTGTTAGATATCAATCTTAGCCTAGAATTCTTAGGCTGAATCCTACCTTATTTGGACATAAGCAGCACTCCACACTACAACTTGGAGACTGCAGGCATCTTCGACACAACCATTGTCCTTCAGGTATATAGGGAACTCCGTAGCATTCCTAGACAATATATATAGATTTCATTTAGAATTTAGCGTCAAATCAAATCAAGTGTAAAAATTCTGAATATAAATAAAAGGTTATCAGGAGATTGTTGCGTTTTCACTGATTTATATTCACAACTTAGCATTCTTAGACATTATATATATCCAGTATAATTCCTAGACATAATCTATAAATATACTTTGCTTGTTTGTCTGTTTGTATCCAATAAACGTCAAAACGGCCGAACCGATCGGGCACAAAGTTTTTGTGGGACCTCTTGTGACCACATGGAAGGTTTATGGATGATTGAATTTTTAAAAAATACTCCTAACAAAATTCGATTTTTGAAAGTTTTGAAAATCCGCGATATTTTTATTTGTTTTTGTTTTACCATGTATTGTATACAAAGAGAATATGTTCACAATTGAAATAGAAGATGGGCGCGAAGCGCCCTCAAAGCCTAGTTTATAATATATATTCCTAGACAAAATTATCCTAACTATCCTACAGGGGTATACAATTTCTTGAAAATTATTCCACCTGAAGTGTTTTCATTCCCAGATGTAAGGTATGTTTTTTAGGGAAAATAAATGAATTCTTGGGTGAATGAAAAAGGATGTAGAACACTTTAAATTTTTTTTCTCTCCCAAGCATCAAAATCTACACCCCTACTGTTATTCTAACCTGGTGTACGGCGAGATTACACAGATCACAGAATAGAATAACATTTGTATTTGTTGCCTCCCCATCCATACAAACACAGCAGATAGCGTCCTCATCAACAGGAGCCGTGTAGTTCTGGGAACCTCCTGAGGACGCAACCTTGAAAAAGGATAGATACACAAGTATTCTTACAGGGATTCTGAACACAGTTAATACTAAATCCTGGAACAGTAAGGGGCATAAGGAAATGGAATCAGAAAGAGACCACACAACATAAACATTTCAATATTTTCAGAAAAGAAAAAATCTTTTATCCGACAATTTTTTTCCATTTATAACTTCGTTAAAATACCTACATACAACAAACTCTTCGGAAAAATCTCATGGGGGAGCGAATACCATCGAAAGGTTACCCAATCATTTTTAATTCGAAAAAAAGCACTGTGCTGTAGAAAGTCTCATGCATCTTTCTAGAAAAGCTGTAGTCTGCAAACTTGGTTTCAGTTTCAGAAAGAACTACGGTGGACTAAGCCAGTAGGGTCGGTCAAATAGACCTAGGATTAGGCCGTGTACTGTAAAAAGTCTGAACGCGCCATGGGAGTTGTCATAGTTAGCCCTCGCACGGGACTATGCCAAGAAAATTGACCCCTGTCGTATGTTAGTCTGGTTAGGGCGACGTACTGTACCATAGGATCGGGTCAGTACACGCAGTTATCTGGCAGGCCAGTACAAACTGGGTAGGTCCTGTTCGAATTCAAATTTACTACGGGGATAGAGTGGAACAGTTTGTATCAGTTATGTTTTCATCTTTTTAATGATTATTTTGAATTTTAATGCAAATAACATTATTGCACTGATAAAACTTTTTTTTCTTTATATGGCACTTGATCTAATTTTGCAAGGGTGACATTTCTAATCTTCAAAATGTGCAAAATACAATTTGTTCTAATAATTTTCATGAAAACTTCGAAATTTATATTTCAATTTTTGAAGACTTAAAGCTTACCTGAAAATAGGATTCCTTCTCTAGTCGATCCATCAGGAGTTCAAACTGATCCTCACTTATACCAACAAGATTATCCTCTAAATATACCAGATTATCCTCTAAATATACGAGATTATCCTCTAAATATACGAGATTATCCTCTAAATATACCAGATTATCCTCATAATATACCAGATTATCCTCTAAATATACCAGATTATCCTCTACATATAACAGACTATAATCTAAATATACCAGATTATCCTCTAAATATACCAGATTATCCACTAAATATACCAGATTATCCTCTAAATATACCAGATGATCCTCTTATATACCAGATTATCCTCGAAATATACCAGATTATCCTCTACATATAACAGACTATCACCTAAATATACCAGATTTTCCTCTAAATATGCCAGATTATCCACTAAATATACCAGATTATCATCTAATAATATACCAGATTATCCTCTTATAGTTCAGATTATCCTCTATATATACCAGATTATCCTAAAAAATACCAGATTATCCTCTACATATAACAGACTATCCTCAAAATATACCAGATTATCCTCAAAATATACCAGATTATTCACTAAATATACCAGGTTATCCTCTAAATATGCCAGATTATCTTCTAATATACCAGATTATCCTCTAAATATACCAGATTATCCTCTAATATACCAGATTATCCTCGTAAATATACCAAATTATCCACTAAAAATACCAGATTATCCTCTACATATAACAGACTATCCTCTAAATATACCAGAATATCCTCTAAATATACCAGATTACCCTGTCATATACCAGATTAGCCACAAACATAAAAGATTATCTCATAATATACCAGATTATCCTCTAAACAAATCAGATTATCCTCTACATATACCAGATTATCCTCTCAATATTCCAGATTATTAATATACCAGATCTTCCTCCAAATATTCCAGATTATCCTCTTATATACTAAGTTCTCCTATTGAAAGTATCTAAAGCTCAGATAAGGGCTCCTATAACCACCTCCACAGAAAGCTCCTGCATCAACCGAACAAATTCCACGCTTTTATCTTATTTTATTTCATCAAATATAATCGATTTAATTATTATTCCTTGATCACCTTTTCTTCGTGTATTCATAAGTTTTAGCCAGGCAACATCTTCTTCATCCATATCATACTCAACCTCCTGATAAACATGAGTTAGTTTAAAGGATAATCAGTTCTATTTTAATTACCTAAACCGCTTCATGCCCTTAGTTATAACCATTGGCTGAGCAAAATTTATTAAGATACCCTTTTTTATTTTACAGAACATTTATAGTTTCCAATTACGATTTCCCTTTCACTCTGATATATGCAGCAGAGACAAAGAAGGAATTTTTCAGAAATTAACAATTTTCAAGATAAAAAAGGCAATATCTTTCTCATTATTGGTCTAAGGCAGATAGGACTAGGCAATATTCCATTAGCAGACCAGTTTTTGAAAATTAACGGAATATTCCGTCAACAAACAGAAAATTAACGGAATATTCCATCAACAAACAGAAAATTAACGGAATATTCCGCCAACAAACAGGATATTAACGAAATATTCCGTCAACAAACAGAAAATTAACGGAATATTCCATCAACAAACAGGATATTAACGAAATATTCCGTCAAAAAACAAACAAATTAACGGAATATTCCGCCAACAAACAGAAAATTAACGGAACATTCCATCAACAAACAGAAAATTAATGGAGTATTCCGTCAACAAACAGAAAATTAACGGAATATTCCGCCAACAAACAGGATATTAACGGAGCATTCCGTCAACAAACAGCAAAATCCGTTAATTCTGAAAATGAACGAACGAAAATAACTGTTTTGAAGACAAAAGTACAAACTGAGGTTTTTCAAAATAACGACAATTTTTTTCTGCTTAAAATTGCATGAAAGTTAATAACAGATAATTCTTAAAAATGTGTTTTTTTATGTTTTACAATGTTTTTTACCCCTATTATAGTAATTCTTTCAGTTTTGATGAAAAGTTACGACAAAAAATGCCATTTTCAATAATAATTGTCAATCGATGGAAAAACATCTTTATTAGCAAATATTCCCACCATCTACCTTGTCTAGTTCCTCTAGAGTTTTCTCCTCGAACTTGAAATATTTCTCCGGCATAGAATCCGCAGGTTTAAGAGCGTAGTTGGAAATCTCGCGATACTGGGCTTCAGGCAGTTTCAACATCTACAGGAATATGAGTAAAAATGTGAAGCCTCCGCCCCCCCCCTCCAGTAAATCAGACATGCCTTGCTTTAGATTTACTTTAAATCACGTGTACAGTCCCTTTAGGTGTCCTAATAATATTGCGTTACCTTTTTATCTATTGGCTGAATATCTTTGTTTTCATCTTTATCCATCGTCTTCTCAAGATTACGTGGCATCAGATTAGGATTCTGAAATATTTAGATTTTCATTTAACAATCAATTAATTTATTGTTCATCATGAATCCGCCAGGCAATCTCTTGTCCAGAGGAAATCGTTCCAAACCATGATTTTGACCAGACCTGAAACTGAGTTAGGTTTGGAACTTTCGTTCCATATTTTCATTATTATTAACGGACATCATTCGGTGAAAAAGGGATCAGCGCTCCTAGCCGCCGAAACGTATCCATGGGCACCGCAGTCTACGGTTCCCTAGGGAGAAAACTTACAACAGGCGGGCTGCCTGATGCAGGTCCATTTCTAGAAACTCCTTAGATACCAAGCAGTCTGCCCGAAGCAAAAATCATAAATCAACCATAGTCGACCACTTCTCATAAATCAACCATTGATTATCAACGGGATCCTCAACAAAACATAGGCAACCACTGCTCATAAATCAACCATTATCTACGGAATCCTAACAAAACATAGGCAACCACTTCTCATAAATCAACCATTGATTATCAACGGGATCCTCATCAAAACATAGGCAACTACTTCTCATAAATCAACCACTTATTATCAACGCTTAACAAACAATAACAGTGACTTCTAATAAGTCAATAACTAGTCAGTTATCCGATATTGGCCAACACTACGCAATATCTTCTTATAAATCAACTTATCACCAACCTTATTTCAACAACCACTTCTCATAGTTCATATTTCACCTACATATCATTTACCATTCATGATCAACCCAAAACTCAACCACTAATCATAAACCAATCTCTCAATCTTCAAAGAAACATTAAACTTTATAATCCCAGAATAACAATATTAAACCCAGATAAGGGAGGAATCAACTCAACAGCGACTCTAATTGATCAATTAATCAATCAATCAATCACAGTTATAGTCAACTTATCAATCATTGACCCATTCAGTAAGAACAAACAGGAACCATTAAGCAAATCTGTTAATCAGTAAAAAACAAAACAATTTCTCACACGTGACATTCCATTTTTGTACATCGATCAATACATCGATCAATCAATCAATCAATCAATCAATCAATCAATCAATTCAACCAACCAACCAACCAACCAACCAACCAACCAACAAACCAATCAAAAAGCCGCTAACAGGACCAACCAATCAAAAATTCGACCAACCGGACCACCCAATCAAAATTTCGACCAACCAATAAAAAAGCCGATCCAACGGACCAACCAATAAAAAAGCCGAATCAACGGACCAACCGGACCAAAAAATCAAAAAGCCGATCCAACAGACCAACCAATCAAAAAGCCGACCCAACGGCCCAACCCATCAAAAAGCCGACCAACCGGACCAACCAATCAAAAAGCCGACCAACCGGACCAACCAATCAAAAAAGCCGACCACCCAGACCAACCAATCAAAAAGCCGACCAACCGGACCAACCAATCAAAAAGCCGACCAACCCATCAAAAAGCCGACCAACCCATCAAAAAGCCGACCAACTCATCAAAAGCCGACCAACCAACAAAATCTATTGAAAATACCTTTGGTGTTGAAAATCTGGGAGCTTTTCCTCGTTTTTTATGCGAGTTCTTGTTACTGACTGGGGTACTCGCAACTTCTTCTTCTTTTTTAACCTAAAAATAGTTTTATTAAGAATTTGGTCATTATATAAATTCCAAATATTAGAGTTGCAGTCTACGTACTTCAAATTAAAAACTAGATTAAAAGAGTATGCAGTACATGGATATAGTTTTGGGAAATTCCATTGAACCATATCTAGAATAAAACTAGATATTAGACTTGACTAAACTACTTGTAATTTAAAGTCAGTCTCTAAATAAGACTAGGTATCTATACGAATAAGATTTGAAAAATGAGGAGGTAGATTAATCTGTAAGATGTAAGAATGTAGCGCTCTTGGAATCTAATTTGTTGATCTAAATATTTAATCTCGAGACTAACATAATCTCGAGATTCTGTTAGTCTCGAGATTAGCCAAAACAGAGGATTAAGCATTAATCCTGATATCCACCATTCTAAAGTTCCCAGCTCAGCAACAATTAATCAAAAACCTTTTAAATGCATAATGAAACACTTGACTTGACCTAAATAAGTTAATGATAAAATATTAATTTAATATTCTGCCATTTTTAAGGCTTTCTCAACCATTTAAACTATTTTTTTAACAGTTTTTGTTTACTAAATAATGTATATTACATATCAATCCTGCTTTATAGATAAAAAATACATTATAAACATATAAAAAACTACAAACAATTAATTATGAAACTGTGAAAATTTATACACCCACCATTTTCTCCTTCATATCAGGGGGTAAACTAGCCTCGTAGTCCTCCTGTAAGGATTATACAGTTCATTTACAGATAAATAATGATTTTACGCAGTTTTTAGGATATATTGGCTCCCTGGATCCGAATCAGAACCTTAAAGTCAACTCATCGGAGATTATTATAACTTTCCTGGGACCAAATCTAATGAAAAGGAGAAGTAGTTTAACTACGTTCACAAAATTGAGCCACAACTCTCCTGCTTGACCAGCCACACACGCTTTCTGGTTGACCCGGCAGTCCATGGTTCAGCTAATTCTTTCTATTCATTAAATCTGGTCCCTGGTCTCTACATGGTAAATCATGCGATCAGCTTAAAAATTATCGAAGAACAAAAACATGCGCCATTTATTTCTAGATTAGTAAAACTGTAGAAATCCATATATTATAAAAAGCTCTTTGCTCATATATAATGTATATATATATATATGTTAGCTATAACTGGCAAAACGGCTGGCCCCAATTGGCTAAAAAAAATTTTTGGGGGGGGAACCCATGGGTAGCAGGAGGTACCTAACGTATGCTAAAACACATATTTTTTTATTCAAAAATCTAAATTTTTATTCCACGGGCAACGCCGGGTGCTTAAGCTAGTATTCTATAAGGATTAAGATGATAATCCGGATCCATATTCCACAGGACGGATCCAGGATTCACAGCAAAATGGAATGGATCCTTAGCACTAGTTTTAAGTCACATCAATAATAATCAAAAAATAATAACTCAACAAGAAAGCCAAGAAGGATTTCTGTAACTTTAAAAGAGATGTATGCTGATAAAACTTTTTAATCTTTTCTCATCTGAAATAGTCTTGAAAAAAAAGCTGCGTAAGGCCCATTTTATAACCATCTAAAAACATCTATTTATAGAGGTTTATTTTCTGTAAAAAACGCGGTTTTTAAAAAGCTGCGTAAGATCTATTTATGTAGACACGTTGCAGAATAAAAAGAAAAGCTGCGTAAGATTTACTTCATGTAAAAACAATGCAAACAAAAAAACTCTATCTAATGTAAAAACGGGGTTTAAAACCAAGTTGGAGCTGCCTAAGATCTGTTTTATGTAAAAACGGGTTTTAAAACCAAGTTGGAGCTGCCTAAGATCTATTTTATGTAAAAACGGGTTTTAAACCAAGTTGGAGCTGCCTAAGATCTATTTTATGTAAAAACGGGTTTTAAAACCAAGTTGGAGCTGCCTAAGGTCTATTTTATGTAAAAACGGGGTTTAAAAACAAGTTGGAGCTGCCTAAGATCTATTTTATGTAAACCGGGTTTCAAAACCAAGTTGGAGCTACCTAAGATCTATTTTATGTAAAAACTGGTTTTAAAAACAAGTTGGTGCTGCCCAAGATCTATTTTATGTAAAAACGGGTTTCAAAAACAAGCTGGAGCTGACTAAGATCTATTTAATGTAAAAACAGATTTCGAAACCAAGTTGGAAATAACTAAGATCTATTTTAATGTAAAAACGGGTTTCAAAAACAAGTTGGAACTGAAAAATATCTATTTTATGTAAAACGGGTTTCAAAACCAAGTTGGAGCTGACTAAGATCTATTTAATGTAAAAACGGGTTTCAAAACCAAGCTGGGACTGCGTAAGATCTGAATATACTAATGAATCCTGTATTCCTTGGTGACAAGCTGTAATGCATCGTATATGCTGAACTTGTGAAACCTGCCATCTGCTTCAAACTCAACCATCTTCTCAGACTCAGTGTATACCAGGCTATCCTAGAGTATACTAATGTAAGAAAACTTTTTAATTCGTGTAAAGAAGACACTTTAAAATGCTTCAACTCAGAATTGCTTCTGGAAAATTTGGCAGCTTTATATAATACTTAATTATAAGCTATATTTTGATTTTAATCTTAAATAAAGGGGGGGGGGGGGGCATGAAACGTATTACTCTCCGGAAAATTTAAACAGTGTTTTAACATAACTTAGAATTGTCGTAGGAGGCTGATTTTTTGCATGCATACTCAGAATTATGTATAGTACATGCATTTTTTGATTTTGAAGGAATCTGAGCAAAAGTGCGCGCGCGCTTTTTGTGAAAAAATGCGACTTTTTTGACAGTAAATCAATGTTAACTTCATTAATTGCACTTGAACATTTTTCCTGACACTCTTGAAACGAATATGCACTAAAAAAATTCACAAGGCACGCAATAAAAGAAAATATCTTTGAAAACTGATGTGCTAAGTTTGGCCTAAGTTAGAATAACAGTTGCATGAGATACATCAAACTATAGCAAAATTGGGACAACAAATTGATTTCCGAGGTCAAAATAGAAATTGGAGCATTTTGACCGGCACGATAGTAGCCAACCATTACATTGTGGGTGATCTAAGTACATTATTTACATTTTACATGTTGTATGCCGATTTATAGGTAATTTGGCACGAGGAATTTATTTCTGAGGTCAAAATAAATATTCGAGCATTCTGACCGGCGCGCTTGTAGCCGGCAGTTACATTATGGATCATCTTTCCACATACTTACATGTTGTATGTCGATTCATAGGTGATTTGGCACGAGAAATTCATTTCCGAGGTCAAATTTAACATTGGAGCATTCTGACTGGCGCGCTAGTAACCAGCAGTTCCATTATGGGTCATCTTCCCATATTTTACATGTTGTATGTCGATTTATAGGTAATTGGGCACAATTATCCATTTCTTAGTAAAAACTTTTGTAAGAGTACTCTGATCGACGTGCTAGCAGCCAGCAGTCACCTTGTGGGTCATATGTTTTGCATGTAGTATGTCGATTCTGGGGTACTAGAAAGAACGATTCTCTTTCTTAGGTTCAACCTATCATAGTTTTTCATGTTGTGTGTAATTTTATAGGTATTTAGATCAGAGCAATCCATTCCCGTGCACAAAACTAATTTTTTAGAACAATGGTAAGAAGAAGAATGATATCAGAAATGAATCATTTTTCTATGATAGGTTGAACCCATGATTACCCTATGGCCAGCAACGCGCCGATCAGAGTCCTGAAACTTATTTTTTTACGTAAGAAAGAGAATCGTTGTTTCTAGTACCCCAGAATCGACATACTACATGCAAAACATATTACAAAAAACGCGCGCGCGCACTTTTGCTCAGATTCCTTCAAAACCAAAAAATGCGTTGTCATATACATAATTCTGAGTTTGCATGCAGAAAATCAGCCTCCTACGACAATTCTAACTTATGTTTAAACACCTGTTTAAATTTTACGGAGAGTAATACGTTTCATGCCCCCCCCCCCCTTTTATTGATCTTAAAAATGTATTGATTCTCTCTATTTAATTAAAAATAAGTTTCTAATCAACCTTTCTGCAAAGTAAGTTAAAAATGTAAAGTTTAAATGATCGAACTCGAGTATCATACAAATCCAAAGTCTTTGATGTAAGTTAAAAAATTGCGCTAATTATTTAAAAGTTTGATTAAGAATTCAATACGTATTTCAAAATCAATTGAAAACTATCCAATTGCGGCGTTATTTAATAATATAATAAGTGTAAGACATAATACATAAGATACAATAAGGGTGGCTCGCAAAAATTCTCCCGAATAAAAATTTTAATTTATTCGAAAAAATAATGGCTTTTTCAACGAACTACTCAGGTAGTTTGATGTGAGTGGGTACACAATAGCAGTACTATGCACACCACCAACCTCGTTATATAACGCCTAGTTGGCCTTTTTGGTTTTAACCTAGATTAATATGAAATGGAAAATGAGTCAAGGTATAGAATATTAGAAAGGTTAAATTCAGAATTAATTCATATATCAAAATTATTAATTTCAAAAACTCATGTTTTTTAGTATTACCTTTTGAGGGGAACCAAAGAAAGGTCTTGGAATAGAATCCTTTCCTTCATCTTCTGCTTCTCGTTCCTAAAATAATATCGAGATAAAAATAGAAAATCTGGACTTCCTTCGAAAACATAAATGTATATTGTACAGGGTTACACACAAATGATGAAACTTCAGAGACGACTGTACAGAATTTAATCCGTCATTTTCTCGAATTGCTGCTACCCTGTGGTTGGAAGCTTGTTTCTATGTCAGCCAAATCATCTGATATACATTTTAAAAACTTAAATAAGTAGAAGAGTTCAATTTCAACCTCAAGATAGTCTTATTTGAACAGTTTCAGGTCGTCATTTATGTCATATTCTTTATAGGTAACCCTGAATTATGGCAATAAGGCAAATTCCGAAATTCAGTCAATATTAATTCCGACATGGCTTCCGGGATCCTGTATTGCATAATTCCGACATGGCTTCCGGGATCCTGTATTGCATAATTCCGACATGGCTTGCGGGCTCCTGTATTGCATAATTCCGACATGGCTTCCGGGATCCTGTATTGCATAATTCCGACATGGCTTCCGAGATACTGTATTGAATAATTCCGACATGGCTTCCGGGATCCTGTATTGCATAATTCCGACATGGCTTCCGGGATCCTGTATTGCATAATTCAGACGCACTCCAACTAAGAAAGCATAACCTAGTCCCAACGATTTCTAATAATTTTTTAAAGTGCAAAATAAAAAATTAGGACTTGACTGTTAAGTTTTAAACCCAAAAAGCAGCCTCTCATGCTCATTTTCTTGAAACATTTTTTAAAATTTCTTTTTATGTTGTTATCGCTGAAATAGACATTTTTGGGAAAGCTGGGTTTTATTGGGAAAAGTATAAAGTTAAAAAATTTGCACTCCCCGGACATTTCAATGAATATAAACTCCTATTACCTTGTCAGATATACACTGATGTATGTGAGCAATAATTCCTGAGGAGGATTTGTAAACCTTACCGCAGTGCTCAAACGGACACCTGGACCCACCAGACAATATTCTGTTATAAATCAATTGATCAATTATCAAGAAGAAATTGATTATTTAATTAATCAGTCGATCCGTCAATTATCTAGATAAACACAAATTAAATTAAATTAAATCATTCAAACAAGTTTGAAATTAATTGTTATAGGTCTTAGAAAATATCCTAGCAATATATTACCGTTGTTAACTGTATCGATTTTTATTGCTGATTGGGGAAAATAATTGGATTTCGCACAAAAGTTTAAAAGTTTGAAGTTTCAAAAAAGGGCGGGAAACTTATTAGTTGATGTCGACTACAAAAAAAACCATTTCCCTCCCCTCAGGGTAAAGGGGGAAATTCTTCAAAATAAGTTCTTATCATTTAGTTCAATTTCGATTATGGGTATCTGTGGTGATAGAAACACAAGTTTATAATTTTTTGAAGTTGTCTGGGTTTCCTGTAGGGTGGTTTACAGGCCTTCATCTCTTCTAAAAAGGCGTTCAGATTAAAATCTGACCCCATTCTGATCTGAAATGAAAAGAATGTATGTACAGAATGTTAAGTTTATCATTTATTGTGATAATTAATCGTCTTCTTGTGACGCGGCAGCATGAGAGGCTCCGGCAGCAACTGCATCTGCTAGATCCACTCCTTTCAGTCTCTCCCTAGACATAAATAAATAATAATAAAAAATAGTGTCTCTAGTGTCTAGTGTCTAGTGTCTAGTGTCTAGTGTCTAGTGTGTACCGTCTTCTGAATTATAAGTTTTTAACTTGTGTTACCGACAAGAAATATTTAAAGAATAATATTTTCTGGTTTCCTACCTAATAATCTCACCAATGGCTCTTGAAGTTCTTTTTTCCAGTTTTTCTATGAAGTTAAAACAATTTTACATTATATTTTTTGACAAAACATTTTTTAGCATACAAGTAAGGAATTTGCGAATAAAATCCGCAAAACTTCTCTTTTTCTTAAAACCTGAAGGATAGGAAAGCAAAGATAATTGACTATATTATTTCTATCTAATCCTAAAATTTAATAAAGGTCGGATGTACAGAAATGGAAAAAATCCGCAAACTAGTAAGCAGTAAATTCGCAATCTTTAGTTTAGGTTTTATTGTTTTACCAATTTATATCAGCAAGGCCACCAATGAATATATATTAGTAGAATTAGAGCAATAAAATGTTTCCAAAAGAATGGAATTTTTATGTAAATTGGTTGCCTAGTTTCTTAGCAATATCTCTCTTCAAATCCCAGTCCGGTTTCCGCGGAGCTACAAAAAAAACCAATTAATGTTAAAATCATGGTAAAATCGTACCAATAGAATGATATGAATGTTGCAGGAATATATTAACTAACCTAAGTTCATGAAGTCCAAGTCCTCCAGTATTGTTCCTTTAGCGCTTTCAATAGTTTCTCTGACTACCTCTTCCACATTCGCAGGTTCAGCCTGGTATTCTTCAATATTAGTTTTAGCTTAGAAGTTATAACTTTTGAGAGTGAATCTTGGGATTAAGCATTTAAATCTTGTCCACTATGCCATTCCGTGATTGTTAAAAGGAAAAAATGAACAGTGAAAAATCAATTATTTCACCTTAAAATTGATTTTTTCAGAGGGAAAACAACNCCTAAAATAACACCCATATACACATTTTAATACATATTCACAATAACATGCCAATAAAGGGTATTTACAGAAACGACGTTTTTAAGTTTTTAAGGTTTTAAGTGAATAAATCAAGTTCTTCATCTGATATGTTTTGGATTCAAAGAAAATATATTACCGTCGGTAGAACATTAGCACCTAACTCCTCTGTAACCGGTTTGTAAGATCTAAACAAAATTTCAATATTATTTTAATTCTATTTTAATATCTTTTTACCTTTTCTTATCTCTACACTTTTCCTTTTGTATTAAACTAGAACTTGCGGAAAGCGCGCCGTGTTCTGCGCCAGTTCACACAGGTGTGAATTAGGGGTGTTCATTTTTAGGGTCACTTTTGGTACAGAGATGCAAGGTCGCCAGAAAGTTGCAAAATTTTACAAGATTTTCAAAAATAATTTTTAAAAAATTCTTAAAATTTTTTTTCAGGATGCGCCAATTGATTAAAATTTCACCTTTTTTCGTTTTTTTCACAAAAATTGTAGTATGCCCATCCCTAATTTGGTTATCAACATGCATATCAGTTATTATGGATATAAACATGTCTAGAATACACACACAAAAAATTAAAACCCTATCTTGACTGGAAAGGTGTGCGCAAAATGGTTTCTTGAACTACGCAAAAACTGGACAGTATCATCTCAACTTGTCCGGGGGGGGGGCGTGTCCCCCCTCTTTTTAGTAGAAATGGAAGAATTAAATCATAAAAACTCCTCATATACAGTACATTTTTACTTGGGTTTAATGCAGTATAGTAGGCAAATACTATTTCTTGAATATGTACAGTATAGTTGTACTTGGTTTAATACAGTATAGTAGGCAGATACTATTATTAGAATATATACAGTTGCATGTTGATAACCAAATTAGGGATGGGCATATTACAATTTTTGTGAAAAAAAAAAACGAAAAAAGGTGAAATTTTAATCAATTGGCGCACCCTGAAAAAAAATTTTAAGAATTTTTTAAAAATCATTTTTGAAAATCTTGCAAAATTTTGCAACTTTCTGGCGACCTTGCATCTCTGTACCAAAAGTGACCCTAAAAATGAAGACCCCTAGTGTGAATATTTGTAATACCACCCCGGAAACGATTTTTGAATAATATGGGGAAAAATGGAATTTTGGACATTGACAGACAAGTTTTCTTTCTTTTGTGTTTTACACTCTTTTTACTCATTAAAATACATAAATTTTCCAATTCAGAAAATAAAACCTTAAAAAAATACACATCTTTAAGAGAAAATTTATATATTGTTTTCAAAGAAGGGGAGAGGGATGATTTTTCGATAAAATACACACCCCTGAGTTCATCTCCCGGTGTTTTAACCATTTCATGATTTCTACACAATGCTAGAGATCAAAGTTATGTTTTGACACTTTTAGATGTTTATTAATGTATTTTGATAGAAAAAAAACGCAAGATATTATATCTATGCCTCGAACAAATGTCAATTAATTGAAAATTTGAAAGGAAGACGACATTTGAGAGAAATCAAATCTTTTGTATTTGCCCCTTTTTTATACATTTTGAAACTAAATGCGAATTCAATTATGCAATTTGATAATTTTTAAGTTTTAACATTACTTTTTTAGTCAAACTTGGTTATAAAAACTAGAGGAGATGAACGAAACCGGCGTTACCAGTGCCTGTCACTCTTTAATTTTATAGGTTTATCAAATCTTAATTGATTGATGAGGTCTTAATTGGTGACGAGATCTTATTTTTAAAATTCGTTGATGGTGATGGACCAAACCTCTGTAGAGTAAAAAGTAGATGTTAGTTTCACATTTATTGAAAATATATTAATGTCTGGGTTGACCCACGTCAGTTCTAACGATATAATAACCATCAAAATCGATAAAAAAAATTTAAAAATGTTTGTTAAAAATCACAAGAAAATAAACAAACAAAAAAGATTTTTCAAAATAAAATTTGAGCTGTCAAATGGACATATGGGAAACGAACTCAGATAAGATAAGATATTAATTGATTGATAAGATCTTAATTGATTTACTGATTGATTAGATAAGATAAATCTAGCTTAACCTGAATATTGGTTTAGGTAAATCTGATTCTTCTTCCTTCTCCTTCTTAGCATCTCCACCATCTACTCCTCCATCACCCTGGAAATCATTTAAATAAAACCAAGGGAAAAATCTTTAAAATAAAGCACTTAGCTCAAATATGTATATTGTTTATGTTCAGCTTAAATATATTTTTTTAATGTTCAGCTCATATATGTATATTTTTTATGTTCAGCTCAAATATGTAAATCTTTTATGTTCAGCTCAAATATATATATTTTTTTATATGTTCAGCTCAAATATTTATATTTTTATGTTCAGCTCAAATATATATATTTTTTTATGTTCAGCTCAAATATATATATTTTTTATGTTTGCTATAGTTGGCCAAACGCCAGGACAAAATTGACTAAACAATTTTAGGGAACCCATGCATATCCCTTATCCCAGGGGCGGCAAAAGCTAAAAAATTGAAATTTTTAAAATACTAGGAGTAAGGCAGGGCCCGGGCACTTCAGCCAAAACAAATGAAATAATAGATAATAGCAAGCATTAGTAAACGGCAGGAGTAACCATGACTATAAATAATAATATAAATCTGGGCAACGCCGGGTACTCCAGATATTGCTGAAAATGTAGATTTGTGGAGAAATTTTTTAGGATTCATTTCAGACATATAAAACAGTTTTAATGATGTATAATTACTGAGTTTAAGCAATCGACTTTTAAAATCATCCATTTGGGTGGTTACATTATGAAAATCGATTGTTTTAAAATAACGACGACAAAAAATGTAACAAAATTCTACAGTAAACTAATTAATACATTGCCGGTCACTCCCTTTAATAAATCTGATCATGATCAGATTTCGTCGCTGTGGAATTTGGTAGGACGCTGGGACGGGTTATATTATATATAGTGAGACCCTTTAACTGTGTCATAGAAAGACGAGTGTAGGACGCAAGTTACGATTTAAAAGTAATCCAATGATTATAAACAAAGCAATTGTGCGATGAACTGTACACTCCCTTTTCAATAGATAAAATAATTTAAAGCTACTGGTAAACCTTTGCAACATCAAAAACACAAATAAAAGCTTAAATGTCGTCTTACTTTACACAAGTTTGATGTGCATTACTGTAAAATTGGATGTGCAGGGTTCAGAACAAAACATCTTATCAACTTATACATCTAAATCTGCTNATTTACATTTATGACCTATTTTTCTGTATTATTTACATTTACGGCCTATTACAGCCTATTTTCCTGTATATATTTACATGTACGGCCTATTACAGCCTATTTTCCTGTATATATTTACATGTACAGCCTATTACAGCCTATTTTCCTAAAAGACCCCCCCCCTCCACGCCAACTCCTATTAACCTTTAACATATAGAGGCAAATTTAGTTATATATTATCACGGCATAAAGAAATTCTGGCAGATCTCATCTCACATAACGAAATTACACAGTAGAAATCCTATTTTCTAATCGAATCTGGATTCCGCCTTGATATATTAATTACAAATTCATTAAATTCAGGCCGAAGAAACGAATTATAGGTTTATAATATGGTAGCCAATCTAAAACCCAGAAATTACCTATTTCTCCCATCTGGCAGATAAAGTCTTGTAAATATAAACTTTAACTGTCTGAAAAATATTGTATTTGAACAAAATTGAAAATTTCTTGCTTACTCAACGAGTTTTTTGCAAAAAAAATCGTTGTTTGTGTTTTTGAAAAATCCGGCAACTAAACAACTTATTGTTACTGTACACTAATATTTGGTTTGGTAATACGAATATGTCGTCTTTCGCATCTTTGAAAAGTTACTTAAATATATAACGCGGCATTCGATCACTCATCAGAGTCAGGACTCAAGCTCAGTCTTACTCTTGGCTCACTCAGTCTCAGAGCAACTAGTCTAACTCGTCTAACACATTTAAGGTGCTTGCCAATTTGGATGCACATAGAAATAAACGTTAATCAATCAATTAAAACTCGTCTAACTAATGGACTTGGCGGGGGGTGGGTCCAAAAATCGTTATCTATTAAATCACCTTTTAAAAGCAACCTTGTTCACCGTCAGGCGCGTACACAGGAATTAAGCCAGGAGAGCAAGTTTCCACGCGAATTTTTTTGCCCCCCCCCCTGGCCTTAAAAATGCTGTTATTCTATATTAAGTATACTAAGTCCCCTAGGTGACCCATTTATTATTCAAGGACTATATATTACAATGTTTCCCTCTGTTTAGTTCTGTATTACTCTCTGAAGTCCTGAGTAATCTCCTGAGACTACTCCCCTTTCTAGTCCACTGTAGTCCCAATTCAAGGACTATATATATTTTAATGTATCCCTCTGTATAGTTCTCTCAATTCCTGAGACTACTTACCCTTGAAGTCCACGGACTATATATTTAAATGTATCCTTCAGTATTTTTGGGAAAACATGCCAAACGCTTGCATAATGCATATAGCTATAGTTGTTTATCAAGTATGGGGGGTGGAGATTTTAGATAAAAGGGAAATACAACGGTAAAATTTGAAAATAAATTGCGCACAGCACCAAGAAAATTTTGGTAATTTCCTAGTATCCATACTTTTTAAGTGGGAAAACACCCCTTTGATGATGAGGGCAAGCTCTTTTTTATTACCCAGAACACCTGATTTTTACCTTTGCTCATACTTCCCAGGGGGCACGAGGACTACTGCCCCCCCCCTGTGTACGCGTCTGTGCATAATGCATATAGCTATCTATATTTGTTTATCAAGTATGCAGTGGGGTGGAGATTTTAGATAAAATGGAAATACAACGGTAAATTTTGAAAATAAATGGCGTGAAGCGCCAAGAAAATTTTCAACTATACTTTTTAAGGGGGAAAACACCCCTTTGATGATGAGGGCAAGCTCTTTTTTTAACCCAGAACACCTGATTTTTACCTTTGCCCAAAAATCCCATGGGGGGCAAGAGGACTACTGCCTCCCCCCCTGTGTACGCTACTGGTGGGCTTAAAATAAAATTTTCAAAATGTAATTTTTTCCACTACACATGTGCACATACCGAGTGCACACAACGTATTATGAATTTTATAAAAAATATCGGAAATCTGACAAACATGTGAGGAGAAAAATGTACTGGTAGTTTTCTAATAGTGTACAATTAAAAATATTTTAAGGACATTTTATTTTTGCATCAAACTCCATCAATATCATGTAATGTCAAAAGTCTTCTCTTTATTTGTCAGAATATTTCTGTTTTTGTTATTTTCGATCGTATAAATTCTTTATCAGAGAGTAATTTGGGATAAAAGCAAGTTCGTATATATATTTGTACATTGTACTTCTAGCATTTATTCACAATATTGTAATTGTAATTTGGGGTAAAAGCAAATTCGTATATATATTTGTACATTGTACTTCTAGCATTTATTCACAATATTGTAATTATGTTTAAAAAAAATTCTCAGTTTATCAAATGGTTTGCCCTTTGTTTCAATATGTTTCCCCATATTTTTGATCCATGTACGGTTTCCGTATATTTTTTTTATCTTCTCAAATCTCAATTGTAATCCAAAGCAAAAAGTATCTCCAATTAATTCTTAATCTTATAGAGAACCCACAAAAATTTCGAAAAATCGTTAAGGAATTATAAAAAAAATGTCGAATAATATAGCAGTATAAATATATTTTGTCAAAAAAGTAAAGGATCGCAAATAATATCATTGAAAAGAAATAATCCTCATAATATAATGCAGAAAATAACACGTACTTAAGGATTTAAGTTTTGTAGAAATTGTACTAAAGATATGTGCATGTAGTATTGTATTGTACCTGACATATTTACATGTACGGCCTATTTTACTGTATATATTTACATTTACGGCATATTTTCCTCTATATATTTACATGAAGCCCTATTTTCCTGTATATATTTACATTTATGACCTATTTTTCTGTATTATTTACATTTACGGCCTATTACAGCCTATTTTCCTGTATATATTTACATGTACGGCCTATTACAGCCTATTTTCCTGTATATATTTACATGTACGGCCTATTACAGCCTATTTTCCTGTATATATTTACATGTACAGCCTATTACAGCCTATTTTCCTGTATTTATTTTCATTTCATATTTTTATTCAACTACAAAGCATGAGATATTTCAAATAAGCAATCACAATTTATTATGCAGTTTGGACCCGCCTAACCAGGGTAGGTTGTTGTGAGTGGTTGGCCCGAAGTTAATTAACGATACTGAATATAATTGGTTACACATATCAAGTTATGTATGATGGGTAAGGAGTTGTTTGGAAGGAAGGAGATTGTCAGGTTATCTGTGGCAGGGAGATCAGAGGGATTTTTATGTAGATACAGGGTGTTAAGGATGGTGGATACAGAAACACAATGAGATATTACAGTTTCAGTTTTCTTAGTTTTTTTTTATATAAAATCTATTCACCCGATATACAGCTAGGTTTTTCGCATTTAAACCTCTCATAATTCTCAGGATAAATATTGATTACTCTTTGTATAAATATTTTTGCAGACTTAGTTTCTTTAAGGTCAATTTCAATTGCATTCCACAATTTAGGAAACATTGCGGACGAAAAGCTTTCTAGATTTTTGTTTTAAACCCGTTCTAATTTATATGATTTTGTTCTATTTGGTTCAGCTAGAGACTTAATCATATTTTCGAAGGAAGAGGGAAGGTTATTATTAAAGTATATTAATGCATAAATGTCAGAACACAAAGTTTGTATGTATCATCAAGATTAAGAATTTTTAGTTATGAAAATAATTGATTTGAATGTGCCTTGAAAGTACTATTATTAACCGCTCTGATTGCCTTTTTTGCAAAGATCTGATTTTTTGCAGTTTAGAGTTTTAACCCCCCCATATTCAATATGAGGCCTTACAAGAGAGTTATAAACAAGTAGACGAATGTTTAATGGTAAGATATTCTTAATTTGAGACAAAGCTAAGATTGAGCTAGCAATTTTATTCGAGATATGTTCAATTTGAAAATCCCAGTTTAAAAAAAAGTTTAAGTCCAACAAATTTGAAATATTTGTTCACACAGTCATTACCAAT